CTCTTTTACCGGTCGCCCTGTCTTGATCAAGCACAAGTCTTTTGCATACTACCATCCTGCCGCTTTCTGTATCGCGCAGATTGCTGCTGATATACCGGTTATTCTGTTCCAAATTTCGGTCTTCTCTATAGTTCTCTACTTCATGGTTGGACTGAAGACGTCGGCTGCCGCGTTCTTCACCTTCTGGGTTGTCGTTGTGGCAACTACCATGGTACGAAGCGCCCCGTTCTTCCTTGTTTCTCTTGAACTTCTCACTGACTCAACTTAGTGTATGACTGCCATGTTCCGCTCCATCGGTGCCGGCTTCACGACCTTCGATGGCGCATCAAAGGCCTCTGGTTTCATGGTCACTGCTTTGATCATGTATTGTGGCTACATGATTCAGAAGTCTCAGATGCATCCATGGTTTGTCTGGATTTTCTGGATCAATCCTCTGGCATACGCATTCGATTCTCTCATGTCAACCGAGTTCTACGGACAACTGATTCCCTGCGTCGGACCCAACCTGGTACCGAATGGCCCAGGCTACACCGACTCTGCTCATCAGTCGTGTGCCGGTGTTGCCGGCGCCACTCAGGGTTCTACCACTCTCACCGGTGACCAGTACCTCTCCGCCCTGTCCTACAGCCACAGCCACGTCTGGAGAAATTTTGGCATCGTCTGGGCTTGGTGGGTTCTCTTCGTCGTCCTCACCATCATTTCCACCTCCAGATGGCGCTCTTCCGCCGAGGGCGGAGCATCTCTGCTCATCCCCCGCGAGAACGCCCACATCACCAAGGCCATCCGCGACGACGAGGAAGCTCAGTCATCCGAGGAGACCGCCGCCGAGAACGGCAAGAGCGACAACGAGAAGCAGGACAGCAGCAGCAACGACGACAACCTCGTCCGTAACACCTCCATCTTCACCTGGAAGAACCTTACCTACACCGTCAAGACCCCCTCTGGAGACCGCGTTCTTTTGGACAATGTCCAGGGATGGGTTAAGCCCGGTATGCTCGGCGCTTTGATGGGCTCCTCCGGTGCTGGAAAGACTACGCTTCTTGATGTTCTGGCCCAGCGCAAGACTGACGGTACCATCCACGGATCCATCATGGTCGACGGTCGCGAACTTCCCATGTCCTTCCAGCGATCCGCTGGATACTGCGAGCAGCTCGACGTCCACGAGGCGTACGCCACTGTCCGTGAGGCCTTGGAGTTCTCTGCACTGCTCAGACAAAGCCGCGACACTCCGCGCGCTGAAAAGCTTGCCTATGTCGACACTATCATCAACCTTTTGGAACTCCACGACCTCGCCGACACCCTCATCGGAACCACCGGTAACGGTCTCTCCGTCGAACAGCGAAAGCGCGTCACCATTGGCGTCGAACTCGTCTCGAAGCCCAGCATTCTCATCTTCCTCGACGAGCCCACTTCCGGATTGGACGGCCAGTCCGCCTTCAACACCGTACGCTTCCTCCGCAAGCTCGCAGACGTTGGCCAAGCCGTTCTCGTCACCATCCACCAGCCCTCCGCCCAGCTCTTCTCCCAGTTCGACACCCTTCTCCTGCTCGCAAAGGGCGGCAAGACGGTCTACTTTGGCGACATTGGCGACAACGCAAAGACCATCCGCGACTACTTTGGCCGTTACGGTGCCCCCTGCCCCGAGGAAGCCAACCCGGCCGAGCACATGATTGACGTCGTCTCGGGCCACCTCTCCAAGGGCAAGGACTGGAACGAAGTCTGGCTCGCCTCGCCCGAGCACGACAACGTCACAAAGGAACTCGACCACATGATTCAGGACGCCGCTTCCAAACCCCCTGGCACCGTCGACGATGGCCACGAGTTTGCGCTCGCCATCTGGGACCAAATCAAGATCGTCACCCACCGCATGAACGTATCCCTGTACCGCAACGTCGACTACATCAACAACAAGTTCGCGCTGCACATCTTCTCCGCCCTCTTCAACGGCTTCTCCTTCTGGATGATTGGCGACTCGGTCGGCGACATCCAGATGCGCCTCTTCACAATCTTCAACTTCATCTTCGTCGCCCCCGGTGTGCTCGCCCAGGTCCAGCCCTTGTTCATCGACCGCCGCGACATCTTCGAGACCCGTGAGAAGAAGTCCAAGATGTACTCCTGGATCGCCTTCGTCACCGGCTCCATCGTCTCCGAAGTCCCCTACCTCATCATCTGCGCCGTCCTCTACTTCGTCTGCTGGTACTACACCGTCGGCTTCCCCGGCGACTCCTCCCGTGCTGGATCCACGTTCTTCGTCATGCTCATGTACGAGTTCGTCTACACGGGTATCGGCCAGTTCATCGCCGCCTACGCCCCCAACGCCGTCTTCGCCTCCCTCGTCAACCCGCTCATCATCGGTATCCTCGTCTCCTTCTGCGGTGTCCTCGTGCCCTACTCCCAGCTCCAGACCTTCTGGAAGTACTGGATGTACTGGCTCAACCCGTTCAACTACCTCATGGGCAGCATGCTCGTCTTTGACATTTGGGGCACAAAGGTTGAGTGCAAGAGCAAAGAGTTTGCTCTCTTTGACCCAGTTAACGGCACGACGTGTGCAGAATACCTCTCGGATTACATGCAGGGCATGGGCTCCAGCAGCAACCTCATCAACCCGGAGGCCACGTCCGGCTGCAGAGTGTGCCAGTACCGCGACGGCAGCGATTACTTGAGGACGATCAACCTGATGGAGTACTACTACGGCTGGCGCGATGCGGCCATTGTCGTCATCTTCGCCATCAGCTCGTATGCTCTGGTGTACCTCCTCATGAAGCTCCGAACCAAGACCTCCAAGAAGGCAGAGTAAACCCACTCGCCTCTTTGGATCTCGAACTTTCATCATCTCTCTCACAATATCTCACTATCTCACGCATATACCTCTCTCTCTCTCTCTTATATCACGTAACACTAGATACCTCGTACGCAGCCGCAGCATCTTGGATTGCACCACTCTCGCGGGTAGATCTCGGGATTAGCAATGGGTGGTCTTCATGTGTATTTTGTCAATCGTATGCATCTAAGCCAATGCATCAAATTTCTTCTCTCTCATCTAGGTTTGGAGTAGATCTCATCAACGGGATGGTTCATTATTGGGTAAATTTAATAGACATCAAGGTCAAATAGAATGGGACAAAATCAATGTCAATCATGTCAAATCATCGTCTGAATCATTTATGTCTTATGCAGTCCCCATGACATCATACAGTGAATCGTCATTCAGAGACTATTCAATGAAAGTGATTGCTTCATAGTGGAAAGACCATGGAGACTCAACTCATCAAGTTTGCTTCACTGAATTTCAGTACGCGTAAGGGGCTTCGCCGGCCCCACCTTTCCGAAACGGGCGTGGGTACCTTCACCTCACCGCCAACGGCATCAAGACACCTCACTCACACACAGACTCAAGAGCAAAACTCTTAACAATTCTCAAACATTACCTCGTTTTTTCATCACTCTCTCAGATCACCAAAAATCAGCAAAAAATGCCTCTCAAAGGAATCTCCCCCGTCATCTCGCCCGACCTCCTCAAGGTCTTAGCCGAAATGGGTCACGGCGACGAAATTGTCCTTGCGGACGCCCACTTCCCATCCCACTCCATCTGCCCGCCTCACATCCCCGTTCTCAGGGCCGACGGTACGTCACACTTACAACCCACTGACATAATGACAGCGCCCCTCAAGACGATATCATGGGAAAAACTAACACAGAATGTAGGCATCACCGTCTCACGCCTGCTGGCTGGCATCTCCCCGCTCCTCGAGCTGGACAACTACGGCGTCGTGCCCGTGATCATGATGGAGGTCGTCAAGGGTGACACCTTTGACGCGAGCGTCGAGTCCGACTTTAGGTCGTCGCTCAAGTACGACGGTGAGATTGAGAAGCTGGAGAGGTTTGCGTTTTACGAACGGTCCAAGAAGGCCTTTGCCATTGTGGCGACGGGGGAGACGAGGAAGTACGGCAACATTATCCTCAAGAAGGGCGTCACTCCCATCACTGAATAGACTTTTGGACAAGAAATGATCCGACAAATGAAGCAGATCCATTTGGTAGTGCAATTGACACCCACCAGCACCATTTCATTGACTTCGTGCCAGGGGTTGGAAATAGGATAGTCAGAGAAACCCGCGAATGCCAAAAAAAAACGAGCGATTGATTGAGCTAAGTATACTTACGCTCTAGGCATGCTAAGTAAGTATGCTCGGGCCGTGAAAAGAAGGACAATAAGAATAAAGGCCCCCAAAACGCTGATTCCAAGACAGATATTTATATTGAAGCCCCCCACCGGGACCTCGGCCCTCAGCTCGAGGCCCTCCTAGACCTTGCGGGCCGCCTAGACCAGAAGTTCCCCCAGCCCCCCCCGAGCCAGCTTGGCTCCCCCCCGCCGCCGCCCCGCCCACTGCACTCGATCCGTGCCTAGGTTGCCATTGTTAGTTTGAAGCTGGAGGTGTGCCGGGCACTACGCAGCACTTACTGTTGGGCCGGCGAGGGGGACTGGCCCGGTTGGATAGAGGCCGGGTTCCTTCCTTCTTCGGACCGGGCGGTCGCTCGGAGTGCCTCGGCCTCGGCCCGGGGAGGGCTCCTCGCTATGTTTATATTGAGGCGAATAATTTCCAAAATTCGTCTAGGAATAAGTGTCAGTACCAAATAGAATACTCAGACGATAAGGGAGAAAGGCAATGAGGGCAGAGATGAGGACCTACTCCATGGTAAATGATGGGGGATGATGATAGATGTCGGAGATGGCGTAGATGGCGGAGATGGTGATAGTGAATGTTTGTAGAGCGAATGTTGGTAGCGATTGTGGTTGGTTATTGATTGTAACGATTGAAATAACCAAAAAAAGCAGCGAGTGTGTGATGTGAATGCTTGGAGAAGAGAGGAAGAAGAGGAATGGGAGAACGGGGGATGGTGTCTATATAGCCCCTTTGTTACCTGGGCATTCGTCTCGTTGGCACCTTCAGTCCACACCTCTCTGGTGGCATTTCAGAGCCGCAAAGGTATAGGACCATATGCATTTACACCTTCCGTTCTATCAAGGTACGAGACCTCACAGCCCCATTACACCGTGCATCCTTTCTCCGATGGGCCTGCTCTGTCCCTCAGGTAACTTATAAAATGGAAGCGACCAGACCCTTCAGACATTGACTTGCACCCATCTCGTTCTTCACTCTTGCCAATACACCACCCAGCAATACATCATAGTTGCAGCAGCAACCCAGCTTGTCCCTTCATCGACCCCGACCTCAAAGCACAATCTGAAAGTACATCCTGTAAGCCGCGATTAGAGGACAGACCTTACCAAACATGTCTCGCTCCTGCACTTCAGCAGACGCCATTCACGCCACCGATCAGCCTCCTTCTTACGACACGGTTCAGCAGCAGCAAGACCAACAGTTCCAAAACTTCGACTCGAAAGAGTGGGAAAGCGTGCCCAAGAACCTCAGCATCATCTACACCCCCGTTCCCATTGGAGCAGGTGACAATGTCAGCAGAAGAGGAATCAACTGGGAAGCCAGATTCCGAGTAAAAGCCAAAGATCTCCCCCGCCTCATGAGAGAGGGCTTCCACTGGACTGTCGCCAACATTCATCGAGAAGCCGGTTATTTCGAATACGAAGCCAAAGAACCTATCATGAAAGAAGCCGGCTGGACCTGCACACGCAACTATTACCTCTCCGACCTAAGTCCCGACCAGAACTAGACCGCCAAGATGACAGTCTGCGCTCGGGACTTACAGACTCTTTCGCGGTTTGACATGGCCAAACTTCGGCCTGAACAAGCGTACGCTGCCCTCGCGTGGACCAACGTCCAACCAGGCCAGCACATCTACAACTTTGAACGTCTGGCTCCCAGTAGGAACTTCAATGCAATTTATGACGACATGCCGATGGAAGGATGGTGGCCATGGCCAAAGAGACAACCCGAGGCTGACGGCAAGCCCGATTCAGCTATCAAGAGCTCATAGGAAGGGACTGGGCGTGATATGAGAACGTCCTTCTATATTCGAGGATTACAGGGAAAGGACGTGATCCAGGGGATCACTATGGATCTATTGCATCCTTCGCGAGACAGTCGGCGCGCCGTGGAAGGGGCGGGGTATATCTCGAATTCGATCCGGAGTGGCTCGGCGTTGAGGCTGTACTTGATATCATGATGCATATCTCGACGGTTGCGTGTGGAGTGATATAGAGAAAACGACCAAAACACAAAAAATGCAAAAATAACAATGGTCCGACCGATCGAGGAATCGAACTTAAAGCCCGAAATAGACAGGAGACTTCACTGCCTAGCCGGGGCCTCTACAGCCCAATTAATCCCTCGACCATACGGCCCAGGTACTTGTTGTTACGACAAGGTGATGATTCATCGGCTATGAAGCCTCGCAGGCGGTCTGACCGTATTCTCATGGTGCCTTCTTCCTCATGCTGAAGGCATGGGCTGTAATTTTATTCCTCTTCTATACACTTATCACCGCTAGATATGAATCATTAAAAACTGATAATGGAATACCCTGAAGCGCGCAAATAAGACGCCTTCTCGTGAAATAGACGCCAGAGCTTCACCGGCTTCTCTCTCCTAATCTTCACTTTCATGCCACCTTCCCACATCCTACCTCTTTTCCAGAGAAAGTGCCTCCTGCACCTGCCTCCGGCCCTTAACGTCATACCTGGCAAGCACCAGGCCGCTTTGATAACAGGTCCCGTCAAGACCGCAGCAGGAGCGTGGTATGGAACTGCGACTTCCTGAATTACACGAACGTGCACTCCTGCCATGCGGTTCATCTCTCAATGACTCATGACGATCCTGTCTTCTCAACATGTAAAGGCCAGAATGACGAACCCTCGGAGCTACGGCGTGCAAATACACAGTTCAAACAACAAGAAACGGACCAAGGAGCCGGCCCGGGCTGCACAAGCCTCCCAGTCAAGCGTGTTCCAGCGTAAAAAGTAAGCGATGATGGTTTGTTCTCCAGCACGACGTGGACCTCACATATATTCTTCGTGGACCATCCCCCGCCAATGTCCAACTGCGAATGCTAGAAGAACCGACTTGTCCCCTGAATATATAAACGCGACACAACACGTAATATCTTACTCGTGTTCAGAGCTACGGAAGGTTTGAACAACTGGGGCTGCGCTACAGCTCGATGTGGCATCATCAAGGCCCATAACTGGTGGCGGCACTACATAGGTAACAGTCAGTACGATCAGCGTCTTGGTCCACAATCCAGTCCAGCCGTCAGGCTTCCTCGTCTTCTCTTTAGGACGTTTTTATTCCACGTTGTGTATTTGCTTGATAATGCGATCCTCGGAGGGGCGCTCGAACATCAAGGTACATAGGGAGAAACGGTGCAAGAGTGCCAAAAGACTGACTATGCCCGCATCTGGTCATATCCAAGAAAGACACAACTTTTGAAGCATATCCAGTGTGTGAGGCTTCTCATTCCATGTTCAGGGTTATTCTTCTATAGTGAGAACGCTGTAGCTATCGTCCTTGGCGTTCAGGTAACACGCTTGAATTCCTCGTCCGTTCTTCAGCACCTGCGCCATGATCAGGATACCTTGATATAAAGATACAGCCCGCCTTCCCGATACAGCCTCCTTTCTAGGCACTTCGTCGTTGGTACAGTTGCATTCACATTGGATGAGCCGCAATTCATACATAGGCCGCAGCCGAACTACCCGTTCAATATCCCAGTTAAGCTCAGGGGGGCGGTCAGCCATTACCGCCAAGCCACACATACGGAAGGTCCAACGGCTGGCGCCTCAATGGTTCAAATGGCTGCCCTCGGTTCAATGCACGATTGCGGTACAGTCTAACCACTGATAGTCAGTCCAAATAAACCCAAATCTGGGGGCCTCAGGTTTGTTCGTGGACGGGATCAAGTGAAAGACGCATGTGGCGTGCTTGGCCCTCGGAAGAAGTGGATCAAGCATAAGACACGGGTTCGGCAACACTCAACTCGTGCCATATTGATAGCCTGGCCTAAAGGTCGACCGAGGCATGTTGGATAATTCAAGACGGAAGTCGGTGGGACGTTTTCTCACAGCGATGCCTTTCACGAAAGTGGAGGGTGAGGCGCAAGGCCAAAGGTCTAGTATACATCCTGTAAGCTCCGTGAGACAACGTCGCAGTAAGCTCAAGAGGTTCCACCGAACAGGCGTGGTCGCAGAGCTCCAGTACTCCATCGCCAAGCTGCTTCCTTGCCACAGTGGACACTGGAACACGTTTTTACTGCGCAGACCACACAGCGACCCGCTGCCGTCTGAACAGAGTTGTGTCTTGTGGATGGCGAGGGGAAAACCTGGGGAGTTGTTGTCAAGTACGTAAGAGAAACTGAGGTTAATTGGCATGCGGACCAGCGATTCAGTTTTCATCTCGTGCGCGATTCCACTTCCCCAGACGTAAAGGGACGTTTGACAGTCGTGGCGTGCTTTTTCTCTCCTTGCGCGGTGGTGTGTTCCTGGACGCGCTATTAGTCACAACAATTCCCCCGCATCTCAGTCTCTGGGCGAATTCGAGCTTGAACAGCAGTGACAGGCTACAGAAGGTCCTCTGCCGCCGCCTTGGGTAATTAGTTGTGAGCCAAGAAGATGGTCGCTGTTGAAAGCTCGCTTGGGTCGCCAATCGCAAGCCGACTGGGCGACTGGGCAAGTACCCATCAATATGGTATGGCCAAGGTGCCGTGATTCCATGGCTTTGCTCGGCGCATCCGATCGAGGCTGCACACCAAGACGATCGAAAGCCTTTGCTCTGGGTCAAGCTTTGGGCCCTGAGATGCCATGAAATGCCATGAGATGCCAAACTCTTGGATTTTGGGGAATCTCAACGACATGTCTTGGAAGTTTGCGATATCGAGGAGGATTCGCAGCATCTCAAAGCGTCCATCGCAGAGACGCCCCGAAAAAAACATAATTTCGCAAAATTTTCAGGACTTTTGACGAATCATTCTCGTTTTTGGGTGTCGGCTGTGTGATTTTAAGTTGGGCGCACAAGAATGTGCCTTCCCGAAGCGTCGCTAGCCCAAATAGATTGAGACTCTTGGCGTCAGCGGTCGTGATGGTCAGAGAGAACTCAAAAGTTCGTATGCGCAATGGACGAGACTTCAACCAGCTCAGGTGTCTGGCATCTGGCGCATATTAGTAGGTCTTGGCTCGCGTCAATCGAAAACGCCTCATTCAAAGAATATGGCCGACAGATAGCCCGTTCCTAACCGTGATTGCCATTGATTGCCCAAACAAACCGCCGCAGTCTCGTCGCCACGGGGGAGGAATGGTGCTGATAAGCGTTGCCACCCTCCCCGGATGCGCCCCGGGCGCCTCACGGGTAACGTATGCCAGATAAGGCCTCAAGAGGGCACAAGTGCCAGCCAAGACAATTATCGTTTGGGTCAACCTTTAGTGACATATTGAGGCAGATATCCGAAGCCACGGAACGCCAAATGACATTAGGTGCAGTCGCGGGTGGGTTGGCGTGCTCGGATGACACGACGGGAGAGAAAAGATGGGCCGTTTCGACCGAATTGAGACTTTTCAAGTTCAGATGTCCTGAATCGTGGCAGCTAAGTGGGCGCGTTGCGAACCTTCGACCAACGAGGCTATCAAGACAAAACCGAGTGACAGAGCGAATGACGGCAGGACCGACTCTGGTATCGGTGGTAGATATCGTGACAAGGGATGGTTGATGGTGGGCAGGTCAGGTTCGCCAGCGGTGCTGTCACTGTCCCTGTTTTCTTAGCAGATGCGTATGACACACGCACATCATGTACCATGTAGGATCGCCCATGAAGGACTGTTATCTTTGCCGAGACTTTATTCCCCATATTTCCCGCCAGAGGGGGTAATGTTGTGTGTGTCGTAGACCAATTGCAGCAGATGGTGGTGCAACCCCCAGGGATGCGTACGGACGAGGAGGAAGCACTGCGTGGGTATTCGTAGAATTATAGGCTCTTCCATTAAAATGCAAGCACCAAATAACGTAGCTCGACCGGTTTGGCGGTGGGATGGGGGTACACAGCGCGGCACAATCGAGTCGTGTCGCCCCAAATAGGCCGGGGATCGAATCGCCAGAATTTTGCGCAATCAATCAAAACTTTGAAGGGTATCAAAAGCGCCCCCAAGTGGCAGTTGGAGCAGGGCGACGGGGCAGCGGCCGGAGATTGGGCGTCTTGTGTGTGACGCGATGGGAGATGGGTGGTCCGTTCCGTTTCCTGAGTGGCTCCCCCTCAAAATATTACGGTTGGATGTACGGATCCGTCGCTTTGCGAATAGGCGTATCGCATCACAAGACGGGACTTGAGGTTTGTGGTGTGGTTGAGCGGCCTGGCGGCATTCTAGAAGGATTCCTTCGCATAGTTAGTGGCGGCCTCCCTGTCCCGCGGCGCCCGCCCCTGCGAGGACAAAGGACGCGCCGAAAGTCAATCAGCGATGAGTATGACGATTCCGTAAGTTCCCAGCAGATCATCGAGGGTCTGATACTGATAGGGATCCTTCTTCGTACACCGCAAGGGAATCGCACTTTGTAGAGACGCGCCGACATGATAGATGGCAGTAATTGCTAGGCAGCCCCGGTCACGAGGCGCTGGGCCAAGAAGCGCAAAGAGGCAGGAGAGAAGCTGGAGACCGGCGGCCGGGAACCGAGGAAGCCTAGCAGCTCCCATCGGGCTGGCAGCCAAGCCGTTGCATCTGAGGATTCCTGTCGAGATTGATTCCAATGGGATTGGATGGGATTCTGTCACGAGCTGTTAGAAGTTGGAGATTCGGGGAAGGGAAGGCCAGTCACAGAGAATAGCAGTGAACGGTAAGAGAGGGTCGGACTGCGAGATCCATCAATCAAGCAATAACGCCCCAGTTCTTGGTCCTTCCCAAAAAGGAAGCTCGTCAGGATGGGTGGGCTTGGATCGTGAGGTACGGCCAAGAGACACCAAGCCGCACAGCCCTGTTCCAGAAGACCTTGGCTGCAGGTCGGTAACTCCAGGAGGGAGCCACGGCCTTGGCTCGAGTAGACGAGTTCGCGTAAAGTTGAAGGGTCGTGAGTGTCAGAGACGGCGAGTCTCTGATGCCGCATTGGAAGTGATTCGGGCAGAGGAAAGGAAGAGAGAAGAAAGAGGCAGGGTTCTGTCGTCTTTGAGTCTGATATTCGGAGGCAGGGACAAGGATACGTACATGTACGAATACAATGATGTGTACCTACTTTAGGTACCTTGACCTATCGACCTTAAGTATCAAGGTCTGCAGGAAGGCAGGCGGGCACTTGTTTAAGGTGAGGAAGGCATGCGGCATGCAGGCGGCAGGTCGCGCATTTCATTCTTGGGGAAGGAAGGTGTGGTGGAGCACCGTTCATCCCTTCAGTGTCCAGGACTCGTCGTCGAAACGGAGGTACACCAGGTCACCTAGCTCATCTCAAATTCTCACTCCTCATCTTGAACTCTCAAGAGTCTCATCTCAGTATTTGTTTTCTCAATCCACCTCGATGGATCTTGCTGGCTCACAGATAAACGATATCTATCAGACGGTTATCGCATGGACCGTTCTTCACCCCATCCAAACTCTCATTGTGCGGCCGTGCCCCATCTCACTCCCAGTCTTATGGGTCACTCACTCCCAGCCTGGGACGGATCTCCACTGATAGCGTGCCTGTGGAGTGCGCTGGCACCGATGGGTGTCCGTAACAATGATGATGAGTGTGCGCACTGCGTCCCCTGCTCAGTGAAACGTCCCAAACAAGTGAGAGTAAGTGAGTGAGAGTGTAAGAGGAGCAGTGAGACTGAGAGTCCGGGCCAGTCAAGTCCAGGGCAAAGGCCCGGCACTGTCCCACCCCCGCGCGCCGCTACCAAATCAACGTCTTCCACTTCTGCCAAATCAATTTCCATCGCATGGATCCATCTGTACATTTCCCAACCTGAACATACAAATATCGCAACCCATCTCCAGCCGGCACCGTCCACCAGCCAATAACCCTTCTGCCAAGACTCACCAAAAATCATGACCGGTTCTTCTAATCACTTGGCAAAAACCCCCCATTTGCGCCGTCTGGCATCTATCTGCGCTCCCCACCGAGCCCACCTTCTGCTCTTAGAAAGCTTACTGGTTCCGCCAAGCCGCTCCGTTGCCTCTGATGGGACATATCCGCCGGCCGTCGACGTCTCTAGACCAAGAGACCTGGGAGAGACGCCTCCACGCTTTGTAACCCTCTAGAGGCATCGAGCCATGCACCGTTGACCGAACACATCGCATCCCTCCCAGCGGCCAATGGGCATCATGCGAACCTCCGAATCAAACCTCTTGTCGTAGACCACCGGCCTGCCTGATGGAGTCAACTGAAATGCCGCGTCCCATAGTCTGATGTCTCGAAGGGCAAGGCTCAAGGCTGAACCGACAGTGCGGTGTTTGCCTGTCTACCGAATCTGCCACGTCGAGTGACACCGATGCAGCCCTTGGACATGAGGCGAGTTGACGACGTCGCGCTGGGCTGTATGTGTGAGATGCTTCGACGATCTCGTCCATCCCACCATCTCCCAAGCCTTGCCGTCTTCGCCTTCCACGCAGCTTCCATGGCTTCCGAACACCCACATGATACCTTACATCCGCCATCCGCATCCGCATTCTCATGTACGATGAAAGTGTGCGTAGTGTGAACCTCCGCCGTGGGCTCTTCCTATCCGTGCTGCAGTACGTACACTACTGCTAGATACCGGCCGTCCCCCTTCACTCCCCTTGACCTACCCTTCCTTCCCTCCCGTCTCGCGGCTGACCGACCGGTCCAATTGCCTGCCAAGACTATACCGGAGAGACTCGTCTACCTATCCGTCTAGACTTCTCAAAGCCTAGGTCACCTTCCTCCTACCTCCTGGCATTCTCTGCAAGCTAGCGGCGCAGCTATCATGGGTGATTTCCCGGGGAGAAGGTATCCCGGAAACGAAGAAACAGGCGAAGAAGATGGAGAAGAAAAATGACAAGGGACTAACGTAAGACAGGCAAGGTGCTCTTGGCAACTTTTGTACTTCTGTGGAATACTCGAGACAATGTGCTCCCTCCATCGGGAAACATGTACAATGTTGGCAAGGTAGGGTCACGGAAGGAAGAAGAGGAGGGGGTATTCGGTCGTTCCCTCACGCCGGGGTCTCCCTGGTCTCTCTAGTCCATGTTGCAGCTTCCCATCCGTTGGATTTGCGCCGGTGAGGTGAGCGCGTCCAAGTTGGTTGGTCCCCTTCTCGTCCAGCTCCAGCTCCAGCTTCTCGCCCGAGCCGTATGCTGCACACCTCCCTCTCTGTCTGCCTCGATGTCTCTCGACGGAAGTCTCGAGGGGTCTGTCCCTCACGTTTCCTTTCAGTGTATCCGTAAAGTGACCCTCCGTATCCTACCATCTGCCTTGCTGTTGTACCCCTACCCATCTCACCAGGAAGTCCTACCCATCCCACACACCTTCCTGTCTTTGGTCTGGTCCGTTTCTACACATCCAACGACTTTCCCCCGGTACCTTTACAGAGACCCTACATGGTACGTTTACATGGGGCAATGCACCTGCACATGTCGTCGCTCCCGTCGTCGTTGTTGCGCCTGGCTTGTTCCTCCCCCTCTGCCTTAGCTTCCCCGTCCCCGTCTCCGTCTCTCATCCCGGGTGCTGTCTCGAGCCTTTATTAAACGGCATCCCGCGCCACCTCCCTCTCTGTCTCGTCCTTCTTGTCGTCCCTTCCACCCCTCATACTCTTGTAGTTCTTTACAGAGTAACACCAGCTTTGTTACTCTCTCGTCGTTGACAAGGGCAAAGGTCACGACAAGCGCCAACGCGCCCTACTTCTTCTTCCACAACCAGTCTCTAGCCTCTATCCAGAGCTATCGAGCTTACTCTTCATCATGTCCAAGGAGGATGCCCAAGTCGGCGTGGTCCCGCCCACGTACGACTCCGAGAAGGGCGCTCGCCACACCGCCGGTGATGGCCACGTCCCCGAGAACTTTCGCGAGGATGACTTCATGACCCGCAATGGCTTGAACCTCAAGAGTTTCCAGCGCCGTGAGTGCATTCCCCTCCATACAACCCCGCTTGGACCGCTTTGCGGCCTGTCCAAGGGCTCAGCATGGCCTCCTAGATATCTCTCCATAGATGCTCAATAGATGGATTGCTAACACGGCATCGTTAGGTGACTGGGGAACCGGTGACACTGAGCTCGATCGCTCCATGAAGCCTCGTCACTTGCAAATGATTGCCATCGGTGGCTCCATCGGTGCTGGTTTCTTCGTCGGGTCCGGTAGCGCCCTCACCAAGGGTGGCCCGGGCTCCGTCCTCATCTGCTTCTTGATCGCTGGTGTCATGATCTTCAACGTCGTCTACGCTCTCGGTGAACTCGCTGTCCTGTACCCTGTCTCTGGCGGTTTCTACACGTACTCTATTCGCTTCCTTGATCCTTCCTGGGGTTTCGCTATGGGCTGGAATTATGTATGTCACTTCTCACCGCACCGCGCATCGCAACGCAAAGCTCTAACATGTGTCAGGTCTTCCAATGGGTTATCGTCTTACCACTCGAACTAACAGTCTGCTCATTTACGATACAATATTGGAACAAAGATATAAGTGTCGCCGTATGGATTACCATCTTCTGGCTCTTTATCATCTTCGTCAACGTTTTTGGAACCTTGGGCTTCGCCGAAGAAGAGTTCGTCTCCTCCGCCTTCAAGCTCTTTGCCACCGTCATCTTTATGGTCGTCGCCCTTGTTCTCATCTGCGGTGGTGGCCCCGAGGGTGGAAAGTACGATGAGTACTGGGGTGACCGTCTCTGGAGCGACCCTGGCGCGTTCCAGAACGGCTTCCGCGGCTTCTGCTCCGTCTTCGTCACTGCCGCATTTGCCTTCTCTGGTACCGAGCTTGTCGGTCTCGCTGCCGCTGAGTCCGCCAACCCCGCCAAGTCCCTCCCTGGTGCCATCAAGCAGGTGTTCTGGCGTATCACCCTGTAAGTCTTTTCCAAACCAAACATCTTAAGCTCTGGCTAATCATTCATCAGTTTCTACGTCTTGGGCCTTACCTTTGTCGGCCTTCTCGTCAGCTCTACCGATGAGCGTCTCCTGAACTCCGCCAACCCCTACGCCGATGGTGTCTCCCCCTTCGTCCTGGCCCCTCTTGATGCCCATCTCTACGGATACGACAGCTTCATGAACGTCGTCATTCTCGTCTCCGTCATCTCTATTGGTGTCTCTTGCGTCTACGGTGGTTCCCGTACCTTGACCGCCCTTGCCCAGCAGGGATACGCCCCCAAGATCTTCACCTACATTGACCGATCAGGCCGCCCCCTGCCTTCCGTCGCCGTAAACCTCGCCTTCGGTGGCCTGGCTTACGTCCGCATGGCGTCTTCCGGAGGTGTCGTTTTCGACTGGCTGTTGTCGCTTTCTGGTCTCGCCGCCCTTTTCACCTGGGGCTCCATCTGCGCTGCTCACATTCGTTTCCGCTCTGCATGGAAGGCCCAGGGCCACACCCTCGATGAGCTTCCCTTCCAGGCCATCGGCGGTGTTGCCGGCTCTTGGCTCGGTCTATTCCTGATTGCCATCTCTCTGATCGCCCAGCTTTTCGTCGCCATCTGCCCCCCTGGTGGCGGTTTCGCTACCGCTGAGGACTTCTTCAAGGCTTACCTTGCTCTGCCTGTCGTTCTCTTCTTCTGGGCTTGCGGTTACCTGTGGAAGCGCAAGGGCTTCTTGAAGCTTTCCGAGATCGATCTCGACACTGGTCGCCGTGAGGTTGACTGGGATGAGGTCAACGCCTACCGCGCGAAGGTTGCCACTTGGCCTACGTGGAGACGGTGGGCAAGCACCATCTTCTAAAAGACTTCGCTGTCTTTTAAATTTGCTGGATTGTCTAGCACCAAAGGGGAGGAGGCATCTGAGGGAGATGTAAATAGGAGATCTTGGCCTAAGAGCAGCTTTGGCTCTCGGCGTGTCTCACTATCATGATACCTATCTATTTTCTGAACTAGTAATCAGCCATGATGTCCCTATCAAGGGCTTCAATACATGGGTCTTTTGAACCACATCTACTCCACTGCCATGTGTGCGCCTGTGATGATCAAAGTGTAGCAGTAAGCATCATGTGTGACTGTGCTCATACGCTCCTGGCAAGGAAGTCCTCCCGCGCATGGTTACGCCAAAGCTTTTTGATCCCGCCTTGGTCCTCATTATGAAGTCAGTGATGGTGCCATTTTACCCCGCGTTTACTACATCCAGACCACAGCACCCAGAGATGAAGGCTCCGATCACGAAGTAGAATGGTCTGCATTCCGTTCCTTGCACGAAAACAGAATCAGATTATCATCACTCGATCGGTCGTTGCAAAAAGGTTTTTGGAAGCGGTTTAGCGCGGGCTGGCTGATGCCGGCCTCAACCCCCCCGGAACATGGAGGCTCCACAACGGCCCGAGGTGGACAACGCTATCGACGGGTGGCTTGGATTTGTCGCGTGCCGAAGTTCCGGATAAGGTCCGATAAAGGGAGGTTGAGTAAGGTAAGGTAAGGTAGGTGACGATTGCAGGGTGAGGGGATGGAAGCCGGACTCTGTCTTGGAGACTAGTTGGTCTAATCTTTGGTGTGATATTCTGTAGTGATTGGTTCCGCGCGGAGTGCGCCGTTGGGCAGATAAGAATAGGAGATGTGACGGTGAGGATGCTCTTCAAAGGCGATGACGGACAGGCATGCCTGGCCCCTTCTCGAATGGAGTATGAATCTTTCGTAACGCCTCAATGCATGCTTCATCATTTCCCTATTGCATTGTTTATGAGACTTTTGGAATTCACATAGAATTTTCGATCCATTAGATGCGCTTCTCAACGGCTCGTCTTTACTGGTCTCTTGTGTCCCGGTCGGCCGGGGCAGTGGATCCATTTTTTCCGCACCGACAGTGGGGCCGGAACCTGTTGCATCTCCGGTGCCGAGCTAGACGTCGAAGCTGGGCTCAACGGTCTGCCCTTCCAGGCTGGCGCAGACATTCTTCGACGTTCAGAAAATTCAACTGGGCTAGCCAGGTCAAACACGCTCGGCAGTAGAGATGTTGAAGGTTAATAACCGATTCACCCAAATAGCGTACTCTCCTCAATACTAGACCCGGGACAGCTTCAAGAAATTGCAAGTTGCGACGTCAATCATGCTGTCCCTCCCGATCACAACGGTCTTCAGAGACACCTTGTGATTCAAGGTAGCCATTCACCCCGCAAAACAACTAAACTGCAACACGCAGATCACCCTCAAAGCTTCGCCCCCTCCCTCAACCCAACCTCGATGACCCCCTGCACCGCACCCGGCACCCTCCAAATCTTGACGACCCTCAGCCCGGCCGACTCAACCAGCGCCCGCCACTCCTTCTCCGTGCGCTCCTGCGCGGCGCCAAACGCCATCATGCTGATGTCGAACACGGCGGCGTGCGGGTGGACGGCCCTGACGTCGTCGTCCATGATTTGGTCGTGGATCAGGATCCTGCTGTTACCCACGGGTCTCAAGGCGGCTTTTTGGATCTCGAGAATCTTGCGGGCTTGTTTGTCGGGCCAGTCGTGGAGGATGTGGTGCATGTAGTACGCGCGGGCGTCTATTGTTTCTTGTGAGCTTTCTGTTTCTGAAATCCTGGCTACTTGAGCAAGTTGGGAAAGAATCAGGGGTTGACGTACGCTTGATAGGCTGAGGCGTATAGAAATCATACGCCACCTTATTAATCCCCTCCAACACATTCGTCTTCTCATCCGCCAAAACAGATGGCAGATCCTCCAAATACAACCTCGACGCCGTCTCCGGATACAGCTCATAAAACGCCTGCAGATCCTGCCCCACGCTCCCGCCGATATCCACCAGCAGCGGCGGGTTCGGATCGTCGTCGCCGGAGCCATTGCCAAGGAGGGTGTGACTGGGGAAGATGGATGTCCACCTGGCCCTGTTGAGGGTCGTCGTGCGCTGGAGGGTGTTGAATGCCTCGCCTTGTTCAGGGTGGGCTTCGAGGTAGGCGAAGAGGCCGCCTTGCCAGCCGTGGGCCGAGTCAAAGACTGTTTTGCGGGCGCTGCGGGGGTTCTTGTACGAGGTTTGCGAGAAGAATGTGGGCATGTGGGTGAACATTGGGACTGTGTGGTCGTAGCTTGCTGGGTCTTAGAACTGCGTGGGACGGAGAGAGAGCTGCCAGAGGGATGGAAGGGGAGGCTGGGCATTCACATACTAGAATTTGGCGGTGGTGCTAAAGTCCGAGTCCGCGAGCTGCGTGCACAATCTCGTGGGTTTGTAGACACCATCTGAAGTCATCTCGACTACGTTGTTTGAGACTAGTAGACGGAGGAGTCGGTCTGAGAGAGGATCAGATACTATTGCAAAATACCCAAGACGACGGGTCTTACAAAGTAAAGCGGCATCGCAGGGTCCTTCCGCGAGGCCTGAAAGCTGAGCGCATGTCATAGGTCTGCTTCCGCAATCCTTCCATTTCTTGAAGATGTCAAGATCTTGCAGTATCTTGACTGATGCCAGGACGGCCGGCTGGTAGATGTCCAAGTCAGCAAGCTATTTCGAGCCGTCCCCGTGATATGAGCGGCACTTACTTCGCTACAGAAGAGTCTGACAAACGTCTCCCAAGGAGATTCCACTTTGGTTGTGAGCTCATACAGCTTGAGAAGGACTTTTGATCTATCCTCTTCGCTGAGTTTGTCGACTGATGTAGCCAGGGCCTGTGCTGAGCGAATGAAGTCCCCAACGGCATCATGCTTATTCATCGTTGATGCCATACTGGCTGTTAGTTGGATTACCCGTGTATTAGCGTCAGTATTTTGACTAGTATTCCCGTCTGTTTTGTCGACCTAGTGAAGCATTGGAGGCAGACTAAGTAAAGGTTGTAAACTTTCCGTGATGTTCCAATCTTGGATGTGATGCCTAAAACAATGAAAAGGACAAGGCTTCTGAGGTCGGCAAGCTATTTATCAACAACGAGAAATAACGACGTTGCACCAAGTCATAAGTCCCCGCCAAACACGGAGACTTGATTTGTAAGAATCATATGCCGCGATCTGCCATGGCATCACTAATATCTACCTACTCCTCTCAAGCCAAGTAACGAGCGGGGATAGTTGGAACGGGAACGGAGTTTAGCACTAACCTTGCTCAAGAAAGTCAAATATCCCCGGAGCTTGGACTTGGTTCCAAACTCAATGTCTGAGGAAGCGTTGTTACATCGTACTTGATTCGCTGCAATGTTAGATTAGATCATGGCAGGCTCTGGATTGGACTTGGGGAAGGAGAAGATGGTGTAGTCTGCGTATAGAACTGGCTGTGGTTGACGCCAACGCCCAGAAACCCCTGGTCACACCATTTGGCATTGACAAAGCCTGATATATGGGACGAGAAGGAACGGAGAGTCGGGGAAACATATGCAGAAATGTAAAAGTAAGTCTAGCCGATAGAACTGCCTCGTCATACAACTAAAACGAAGGGGGAGCGGTGGTCTAATGCATTACATGTTGAGCTCCATACCAACCGTGTATACGACATATTCCCTGTTGATAGAACGCGTGGAAGCATACAAAGTGTCATATCATCACTTCGGGTTACACACAAAATGCATTCGCCTTATACGCTCCTGAAGTGGAGAAAGACCTCTCGCCTGTTTGAGTAAGTAAAACGTTCCTCGGAGGTACTTTGTTTGGTAATCTTCTAGATACGCGATTATCTCATTCATCTAACCGTCTCCTACATCTCTTGAAAGGTCTCTGGGAATAGGTCAACGGTATCTCGCTCATCATAGGCTTAGTGACACTCCCGGCCGTTGTTGGCAGTTCGGTGTCCCCGTGCCATGAGGAAACACGAACCTACTTACCTAAAACAGAATGGTTGCCATGACTGTCCTGGAGGTAACAGCAGTCGGCAGGTATTCTTCATCAAGAACAGTCATACTCCGGTATAATACAAAAGCAACACCGATTCCGAAAAGGGGTAGAGACACCAGCCCCTCCACCTCCCTACCCATAACCTCTAAATAATCACAAAGAAAAAAGAGTTCACCCCCCCGGTGGCGAATGGGGACTACATCTCTGGTGCGCATGCTGGGACTCGAACACGGGACCTCTTAAGCCTTCACCGACTAGGCTGTTCGTGGACTTCAACCACTCCACCACTCAGCCAGTTTTGACCTGACCCCCGACGGGGGCGCCTGCTGGCTGGTGACGGGAATGGAGTTGAAGGTGGGTATAAAGGGTTCTCACGGGAGGTATGGGAAGGTATGGGAAGGTATGGGAAGGTATGGGAAGGTATGGAGAGGTATGGGAAGGCATGGGAAGGCATGGGAAGGAGCGCATAAGCCAGCGCCTGCCTCAGTCACGTGAGGATATTGAGCCACTCCATGACATTTATGCCAGATTTCGTGGAAGGATGAAGGAGCATTTGATTGCTGCTATTCTACAAGAAGCAGACATTCCATTCCAGTCAACCCAGCAGTGATGTATTGAGCTATCAACATCCGCTATCCGGATGGTACTGGTGCAAAATACGCCTCAACGCCACCTAATGCACAAATCTAGATGCACCCATCTTTCCTTCCCATCTTCAAGCACCGTATCCTGTCGTCACCATCCCAAATCACTGCGTCTTCGGCTTTCTAAGCGGAGCAGTGACGGAGAAGGAGACTATGCTATACTCAGTGTTCTCGGCGTCCCGCTTCTCAATAGCCTTCTTCTCCTCCGCATTCTTCTCTTCCTCGTCCTTCTTCTTTCTCTTCTCGTCCTCGTCCTTCTTAAGCTCCTTCACGACATTACCGTTACCGTCGAGCTCGACGACAACATCGCGCGTGTCGAGGCTGCCGTCCTCGGTGTACATCCACATCTCTTTAAGCTCGCCACGCACGAGACCAGTCAACCAGAGGGAACTGAGAACGCCAGGGACGAGGTATAGCAGCGCAGGCTGGCCGTGCTTAAAGACGACCAACATGACTAGTGTAGTCACCATGCCAATAGCGTAGCCGACCAAGGAGGCATAAAAGTACGTCTTGCTGAAAGTCGATCCACGCACAGTCGGCGGCGCTGTCTGCGTTGCAGCCTTGAAGAGGCCCAGCCACGAGGGGGCGGACCAGAACCAGTCGCCCCAGCAGTTGGTGATGTCGAGGTACGGGACCTTTTGCGCAATGTGCTGGGTTTGGCTCACGGTGACCACGTCGCCAGAGGCCACGTCGTGCTGGTCGGACTTGAGATCAGTTGGGACGTACTTGATCTGGCGCTGGTAGTGAAGCCACATGTCGAAACGGAGGGCGAGACACATGACGATGCCCGGGACGACGATGTCTCCGAGTCCAAGAATGCTGGACCTAGCGGCGGACTGGAACTGGAGCTTGATGGGCACATCGAGCTTAGTGGCGACCGTGATCATGTAGGGACTGGTGGATCGTCAGATGACTTGCGTTTAAGGGCGATGCGCAACTGGGATAAGGGGTAACTTACGTGTAGAAGACCATGATTATGTCATAGAAGAAGAGTCCGATCAGCACCAAGCTCCCCGTCGCAAACGTCGTCGGGGACATCATGAGGAACGAGCCGTAGCAGAATCCGTAGCCCATGAAGTTGGACAGGAAAGGCGAGCCGGACATGAAGTAGGCAACAACGGTTGCGATAGCCAGGTTAAGACCAACGACGTGAAGGATGGTCATATGAAACTTCTCGCGGAGGAGGCCATGCAACTTTGCCTTCACCGTCCACTCATCCGTCAAGACGTGGCGTAAATCCCATAAAATCCGGTTGGTCTTGATGGTGTTGAGGCGCACGATACTGCGCAAACCAAAGGGCAGCGGGTTGCTCTTCTGGAGAATCTGCGCGCTGTTCCGATCCACCTCCTCGCCTGTGACCTTGATGAAAGCCTCGTCGTCGTCGTTGACGTTGTAGAGCGAGCCATCGTGGCGGACGTAGTTGGGGAAGACGAATCCGGTGGCAATCCGCAGCGAGTGTGCGATCAAAGTGGTCAAACTGGCGACACCCATGACGGACATGTAGACACGGAGGATCTTATTGAGAATGGCGGGGTCCTGGAGCCATTGGATGAGGTAGTAGAGGCCGATGAGCATGGTGCCGGCCAGGATCGGAAAGAGAATGGCGTCGGTAGGCATGAGGCCCTCCGTTATAGGCTCATTCTCCTTGCGTTCTTTCCCATCCTTGCGCTTCTGAGGAGCAGCAGAAGGTGGGCGGCGGAGTGAGCCGTGGGCGCCAATGTAGATGATGGCTAGGGCGCTGAAGATGAGCTTGGCCTCCATCGTCAAGAAGCTAGCATATTGGGTGAAGCCCCATTCTACAGCGGCAGTGGTGACGTTTCCAGCTGTTGAGTTGCCAGTGAGGTTGCCGGTGAGGTTCTGGGCAAGCTCATCAAACGGCGGGTTGATGGGGCTGGGGACCGGCGAAGCCATGTTGCCGGAGTCGCTTTCGGTCTCAGTGTCGCTGTCGTGTCCCGAGTGCCAAAATGCAATGATATGTCCAAGAGTGAGGATGAAATCAATTGTCCAAGGCAAAAGAAGCTCGTAATAGTCGTCGAAATGAAGAGACGGAAGCTGAGTCCGAATGAATGAGACGATGGCCGTTGCGAGTGGCAAGCAGAGAGGCCAGTTGCCTGTAATTGTTTTATGCCCTCGGAAATAACCACTGGCGGTCGAATGCTGGGGAAATGTTAGAAGGAATGCGACCCTTGTCGTCGGTATTCTGATCCTCACCACTGGTAAAAGTAGAAATTGAAGCCACCTGTTTTGGAGATGGGTCGGATGAAAGACGACACGGTGTTTCCTGCCTTGCCTAATCAAAGAAAAAGTAAGAAGTCAATTCTCAGACCCGGTATCCGCTCAGAGCCAGGTTCGCTTTGGGTAGCAGGATCCTTGCAGAGGTAAGGTAGCAAGTGTGAGCTGTCTGAGGTTGAGACCAAGGGACTCCGGACGTCCTGAGCAAAATGAAATCACCTTTTGGTCTATGTTCTTCAAGAGAGAAGTCGCACCTTGCCCGTGTCCAAAATCTTGAAAGGCGGTATCGATATCCGTGCGGCGCGAGCGTTGCTGCAGGAGGTTCGCCCTGTGCTGGTACAGAATGGTAGGGTACCTTAGTTGGCAAGTGAGAAGTGATGTCAGGTACCTTAGCTAGAGGTAAGGTTCGCTCAGCTTAAGGCAGGACATGCGGGGGAGCCAGGCTTCAGCTCCCATGACCCCCACCTCAGTGCTGTAAATCATCCATCAGTAAGGTACCAGCTCGAATGTGCGACATTGAATAAACATCTACGAATACACCACAAACACTCAGCCCCTAAGATCTATATGGCAAATTTCATTGAACTACAAGCATGAGCAGCCTCTGAAGTGTACATGACCTAGCGGAGGAAGTAATACCGTGTAATTGGGGCCTGCAAAGGTTGCGAGTTCGAACTTGGTGGTCCTACATAATGCCACAGACAGCTCATTTTTTGGCTTCTGTACCTACCTACCTTGCTTCCAGCTTCCAGTGGCGCACCTTCACCCACGAAGTGGCTGAAGCTCCCCCCTGGTCAGCAACCAAACAGTCAATAGGTAGCAAAGCGCAACCCGCAATCGGGCGCGCGACCTGACTGACGTGCGACCGCAAAACCTCAATCGCATCGCATCGCCAGCCTCGCCCAACTTAATTCTCCGTGATCCCCTACACCGCCGCCACCAACACCACAGTCCACACCAATCCGCGCAGCAAGCACAGCTGCCAATCCCTAAAAATGACTACCAACGTCTCCCTCGAGACCTCAATGGTACGTCCAAACATCTTCCGTCCCCCCTCAGCCCATACACCAAACATCCAATTGCCAATGCGACAACCCCCAAGCTAACAACCTCTCCTCAACAGGGCACAATAATCCTAGAACTCTACACCGCCCACGCCCCCAAAACCTGCACAAACTTTGCAACCCTCGCAAAGAGAGGCTACTACAACAGCACCGTAATCCACCGCATCATACCAAACTTCATGATCCAGGCCGGCGACCCGACGGGCACAGGCCGTGGCGGCACCTCAATCTACGGCGAGAAATTCGCAGACGAGATCCACGCAGGGCTAAAACACACCGGTGCGGGCGTGCTCTCCATGGCCAACGCGGGGCCCGACACGAACGGCTCCCAGTTCTTTATTACCCTCGCCCCAACGCCGTGGCTCGATGGGAAACATACCATCTTTGGACGGGTCAAGAGTGGGTTGAGCGTCGTCAAGAGGATGGGGCTCGTCAAGACGGGGCCTGAGGATCGGCCGCTTGAGGAGGTCAAAATTATCAAGGCTTCTGTCGTTGAAGAAAGCGGCGACGAATTGTGAATGAGGTAGTGGTAAAGGTCTGCCTTACATAGAGGGTTGTATCATCAGCATCTACACGGAGTTTGGCGTTTGGTCGAGCAGACTGTACACTGGGGAAAATTTATATCCAGTTCATGTAGTCTACATCTTTCACGTGGTCATAAATCAAACAGAGTATGACAGATCACAAACTTCAAACTCAATTTTGGGGGAATCAATGTCATTTGTCACAATGCCTATAAAATGTAGCCGCAATCTCTAAACGCCGCCATCCGCCTCGCCAGGCGATGCACACGAGTATGGAGGGAGGAAACCTCCTCATTCCTAGAAGACCTTCCCCGACTGACTCCCTGACCATGCATTGTTGAGTATCGTGTATCGAATATCGATCTTCTCGTCGACCAGGGCTTCAGATTTTTGATGAGTACATAAAGAAAAAGAAGAGAAAACGGCTGGGAACCCGGCTCAGTGGCCAGTCCCACGACCTATTCTTTCGTCGTAGAATGCGGCCCAGAGGAGTAAGGTACGCCCATCCCGGCTGATATCTGAAGCCGGGCCCGGGACACAGAAAGAAAAAATTGTGGTAGTGAATACAAAGGAGCGACATTAAGAGCGACGCCGTTTGTTGACCTGTTTCTCGTGCTCATCCGAGGCTCTCTTTTTACCTCGGGCTGGCGGCTGGGCCTGAACGGCAGATTGACTTTTGGCGGGCTTTCCGCCTTGAGTTGGAGGCGTTCGACCTCCAGTGGTCCTGGGCCTTGAAACCCGTCCCGTGGATCGAACCGTGTCTTGCGAAGATGTCGGCGAGTTCGATTGTGGAGCAGAACGACCAGAAGAGTTGCTTTGGGAGGAGGAGGTGCTTGACACAGACGCCAGTCGCTGTCGAGTTGGCCGCGACTGCGATTGCGGTTGTGGAGGTGAACGTTTGACTGACGAAGGCGCCGATGTGCCCTTCACAGCCAACAACTCGCTTGGTCTCCTAAGACCACAGCCAGTCGTTCTTTTGACGCTGGTTGTTGAGCTGGCCTTTGTGCTGCTCGTTGCGCAGGTCGTTTTGCCGCCCATTGTGCCGCTCGTCGTGCTTCCAGGCTTCTAGTGTGGCGGCGACGACAATGTGCCAGACGATTCTGATTCTGCATCTTCGTCCTTTTCTTTTTCTTTTCCGTTCCGGCCATTTTTGGATAACGGCGAGGACAGGGGCGGCTTGGCGGCACCGAGCTTCAATTTCTTGGCCGGACTAATGCCCTTGGCCTCCTTCTTCTCCTTCTTTGGCGCGACTTCAACGGTAGAGTTGTCGCCGTCGTCCGCCTTTGCCTCACGACTCAAAAGTGAGTTCGTCTTCACCTTTTCCTTCTTAGGGCCTTTTGTTTTAAGGATGACCTTCTTTGTCATCAAGGGTGTCGACTTCAACTTCTTCTTCTTATGGCTGTCTCCCGATTCGTCCTCGTCTTCAGGTGCCGCCACCTCCTCGCTGTCGCGCTTCTTAGGGCTCGAGGCCCGCGATGCAGGCGCCGGTGTAGCCTTCTGGCTCGATGGGGGCGTTCCGTCGTGCTGGCTAGCGCCATTGCTACCATTTGAAATCTTTGCCGCCGCAGCGCGACTGGCATTACGGCCGCTGTTGCCAATGCAGGAGCCCATGTGGTTGTTGAGACGGGTGACAAGAATGCATCGTTTGCACTTGCTGCAGGTGGCGGAAGGAAAAGAGAGCACGTTGGCTGGTCGCGTTTCTCCGGGCCCGGCAGACTCGATGTTCGGATCGGGCTTCATGTCCTTCTTCTTCTTACCGCGGCCGGGGCCAGGCTGAACCCAGGTCTGTCCGTAGATGTCGTAGCCGGGCTTGTCAATGTAGGGGTGCTTCTTGCAGTAGATGACGCTCGGATCGGGCTTTCGCGCGCCTTTGCCATCGGTCGGGTAGAGCAGGCGAGGCAGGTGGCATCTGGGGCACAGGATCTCGGATGTGGTCTTGAGCGGGTTGCCCTTGAGCAGAACCTTGCCGTCTTCGTATATCGCAGCGTCGGTTTCTATTCGCACGTCTGGCTTCGAGTCGGGGGTAGAGCTCTCTGATGCATCGGAAGCCAGCTTCTCGACACGAATGGCAGCGGTGGACGCTCTCGCCATCTTCTCGTCGCGGTGGACTTTGAGCAGCAGGTCATGGACAATGTTGTACATGAGATCGTCGAGGACAGCGTGTGCCTGTTGCCCAGTTACAGACTATGGTCAGCATCACGTCAAGTCATCGACCACAGCGAACAGCAGTCCAGTCCAGCCGCAGCGATTCGTAGAATGGAATGGCCGCGATGGTTTGAGTGAATCTGGGCAAGGAAGGGGAGGGAGGACGGAGGTAAACATAGGTTGAGGGCAGGGGATGGAAGAAGACTTACAAGCTTGTCCATATTGCCAGCGTCGTCGGGAGCGACAATCACTCCAGCCTTTCCTGTGTTGGAAGCCATCTCGACGAGGCCGACGGAACGGCGCACAGAGGCTGAAGGGAGTAAGATGCCGTCGTGATCGCAGCCTCGGAGGGCGGATAGCTTTGTGGTCGTGTGCAGGAAGAAATGTGGTTTGTGGAATCTGAATCGGGTTGACGGGTAACTAAAATAAGGTGCCACACGGCCGGTCGAGGGGCGGGTGGTTCAGCAGCCGCAGCAGTGAGGTGAGCACTGAGCAAGTCGTAGTAGCGGCAGGTGCAGTGCAGGGGAAATGAGGTCAAGCTGAGCAAATGGAAAGAACGAACAACCGACCGACGCCGCCGCCAGGGAAGGGTTAGAGGGGGAAAAAAGTTTCGGAACCTTGCTTTGCTGAAGTAATAAGGGTGCAACAGCGATGGCGAACAAGCAACGAACACAAGGATTTGCGGTTAAGGTGTAGGTAGGTTGTCTCCGATGAGCTAGGGGGTCGACTTTCCCTTTGTCGTACCACGCGAGAGGCCCTATGCCGAATCTGGATAGGACGGGGGGTTGAAGGTGCGAGGCGAGAGAATCCGATGGGCGCGGCCAACGTCGGTGTTGGTTGACTGGCGGAGAAAGTAAGGTAATTGGTTTAACGGGTAAGATGATAGGGAGAGAATTGCTCGGGGCAAGGTAAGCAAGGTAAGATCCTCTCGAAGCCCGGTGAAATGTGAGGTGAGGTAGTTGATGGGGGATTGGAGAAGGAGAGAATGCGAATTGGGTGGGTTTTCCGGATTACCTTAGCAGATTGCTCAGGCATCTTTGGCCAGGGAATTGCGGGAAAGAGCGACTTTGGTAAGAAGTCCGGAAGCAACTTCCCAAAAGTGTCAACGTCGATCTGCGGGCCGCCTCACTCACAACCACTTACATCTGGAGCAGGAACTCAATGGCCAACCTCCACCTCAGTACCTTCCTCGCCTTACCTTACATTGGATACCTTATGGTAAGGTAAAGGCAACGGATAAGGTAACCAAGTACAAGGCGCCATATTCTCAATTGCCAATTGGATAGCATCCGTCATAGCATAATGGCCCTTCCTGGAATCGAAACCAGAGTCCAAAGAGAAAACATCAAGCGGTGCTGACTTTCCCTAGGCTGACCTTACGACATCCTACGATCCTACACGGCACCCAGAACATCTGCAGATATCAACAGAATTACACCCCAATGCACCAATGTACTCTCAGTTACATCCACTCTGCCAGACACACTCGCAGAACAGGGCGACGGGCTTGTATGTCATCCCATCCAATTCAAGGATCCCGTCGTAGAAACCACAGAGCGGATACAGTGACCCCATCGGCGCATGCATGTGCCTGACTTTAGTCCCCTTTTCGCCTAGGTACCATGGCCAAGGTGCACAGGGGTCCAAGGGCTAAATACCGGTCAACAACTACTATGCTGATCACTACTATCCGCATTGCTCTCTGGCCGAGATACTTTGAGTGTAATACTCAGGGAACAGTAAAAGAGAGTACTGATAATAGCAAGAAAGAAAATGGCAGACCTAGTGCAAGCTGTAGAAACAGAGACTCAGTGTATGGTGAGCGCCACTTGGTTCATCATCCACTTCACGCTCTCCAGCTGTACTCCAGAGCAGCATCCAGTTCCTGGGAAGAGACCGAGTCACCTACTAGGTATTGTGTTGATGGTTGATCAGACCTAAGGTAATCTCGCTGGGCTCTCTTTACTGTCTAAGGTCTTGCAACCGTCCCTCGTTTTTTACCCTCGCCGATACACTCCCTCCATCCAAGAGAACACCCTGGTAAGTATGCTGCAGACATCGTCATTGTCGAGTCAAGACGGCGGTTTGCCAGGGGTTCACTATTGTTCCATGATTCGTTCACAGAGTCTAGCCATCCATCAGTCGCTGAAGTTCATGCAGTAGTTTTAGCACTACCACTCTCAGGTGCCCTCTAGTCGGTCTCGCTGCCCTCTATATACAAGTACGGAATACGGAGTCCATGTACGGGATATCTTTAGCACAACACCGCCTCTGGCATTCGTCACCCTGCAATTGCTCCAGGGACGACACGGTGGAGCCGTCGCTCTCCCGCCAGAGCCTCTAGAGCCGCGTCTGACCGCATCTCTTAGACCCATACACACACAGTAAGGTAAGTTACTATCGGTGCTGACCGAACGCATCTGTCCGTCTGAGCCTCTGAGGGTGTACGGACTATGGAGTACCTGTATCCTTTCCAGAGACAGCCCAGGGAGAGGGAGGCACCAAACCTAAACCGAGTCACGACTTGCACCACCTTCCGTCTCGCTGCAAGGAACCGTCTACCTGCCCTGCATCCCGAAAAAAAAAAAAAAAAAAAAAAGTCGCAACCATTTAGAGACAAGTGACTTCCTTTACCTCTTGTCCAACTCCCCTTTTCCCCTTTCCCTGCATTCGTCGTCGCCGGATTATTGGAAACAAGACATCACCACATCCCAAACCAGGCTCTTTAGGTACTGCACGCGTGTAACTGCTCACGCCTACGCGCACGCGCATCTGAAGTCCTGTCCGTTCGGGAATTATTTCATAGAGTAACATCCCTCCAGCTCGAGTGCTTGATCTACCTTGCTACCCTGCTGCTCCACACTTTCTTTCCCGCCATCCTCCCTCCAGTCTCGACAACTCACCTAGGAATACATTTCCCTCATTCACAAGCCAAGCAAACGAAACGATCCTCCGCCCAACACACGGCATGCCTCTCCCCCAGACCACGACAATGAAGCAACCTCCGACCCAGTCCTCCATTAAATCCTTCTTCCAACCCCGCCAGCAACCATCCTACGCTCCGCCGCCCCCAGCGTCAAAGTACGCCCCCGCGCCGTCATCGAATGGAACGTCTGCTGCCCCTCCTCCCACGACCAAACCCCCACCATCGTCAACATCAACACCACCACCACCTCCCCCTCCTAAATCCTCAGTGACGACGGCGACAACAACGACGACACCACCGAGAACCTCACCTCCAGCAACGACACCGCAAACATCACAACCGCCAGCCTCGACTCCCCTCCACCCAAGCGCTTCGATCCGCCCCGTCTCAGACCAAGACCTCCAACCCCTCCGCCGCATAAACTCCCTCCTCCTCCCAGTAGCCTACCCAGAAACCTTCTACGCCGCGGCTCTAACGGGCCCCTTCTCCCGCGTCGTCACCTGGCGCGACCAACCCACCACAAACTTCTCCCAGGAAATCGTCGTCGGCGGCGTCGTAGCCCGCATCGAACCCTCCCCCTTTCCCTCCGCGACACCTACGCCGACCCGCCTCGAACACGCCCTCTACATCCAGTCCCTCGCCCTACTCTCCCCCTACCGCTCCCATGGCCTCGCCACCGCCGTGGTAGACCACCTCGTCGCCGCGGCCGCAAACTCCTCCCCCGACGTCAACCTCCGCCACATCTACGCTCACGTCTGGACCGACAACGAGGAGGGCATGCGCTGGTACGCCGCCCGCGGCTTCGAGCGATACGGTGAGCCGCTGCAGGGGTACTACATCAAGCTCCGCCCGGACTCGGCCTGGATCGTTCGTCGCGCCGTCGGCCCTCTGTCCATCGGCGGGCAGCAGCAGTCCCTGTCCTCTGACAGAGCCACCGCACCACCTCCGATCCCAGGTCCCACCGCCGCCGTCGCGAACCTGCCACCCATGAACGGAGGCGGCCCCCCTCCTCCACCACTGTCGAGGACAATCTCAGGCACGTCCTTCCAGAACCGCCGCGCCGCGACAGAGTGGAACGACCTCCCCGACGAGATGGCATCGGCCAAGCTCGCTCCTCCCAAGAGTAACGGTGGCTCGGGCGCGAGTTCCCGGAGCAGCTCGACGGTGAGGAAGAAGAAGGATAGATCATACCCGGCTGCGGCTTTCCAGGGTTAGGCGTAGGGAGAACATGTCTACTTCAAATGCGCCAAGATAATCAGATGACATCAAGGAGTTGCCGCCACGTGCAAAGGAATCCTCAGGAGATATCAAGGATACAGAGGATTCATGCCAAAATTCGAATCGTCCTGGAAATAAGGCAGGACGGGTCCATGGCATGCACCATCTAAATCACAAGAGGCTTAGAAGAAGAAGAGACACAAAATACTAGAAAAGATTCGCCCCCAAATTTAGAGGCTAGCCTGCTATAGACGTTTTGAACTTTCGTTTTAGAGAACATTAAAACAAGACGAGTATTTAAACAGGTAATGCGTTTTGAACAAAAACCTTTCCTAACGCAAGCAAGTTTTTCTGTTTTGCTCAGGCCCAACTCCGGTATTTTCCCCCTTTGTGTGTGTGGAATCATGAAGAAAATGATCAAATCCCCAATGCCAAAAAAAAAGATGCTCACACGGATGGGGACGCAGACAACGGAAGAGTGAGAATCACATTTCCCTCTCTTCTCGTCTGCTGTCCCAAGTGACTGATGGGCTTTGCGTTCCCACACTTCCACCCTTCCCCATCCCTCAATGCCCCCCATTCATTCATCTCTGTTATACCTCGTTCATCATTGACGGTTGTACCGAGACCACCAGACTGCCGCAATGGCTGCAACACCAACGATGCCTCCGATGATCAGTGCGGTGTTGGTTGTTGACACCTCTTCACCTGTAAAACACGCGCACAATGTGATTAGCCGACAGTCTCGCAATGCATCGCAGCGGGAAGTTCATCACGGTCGACATCGCCCTTTGTCTCGGCGACTCTAGTGACTAGCAACTTACGTTGTTCAGGGATAGAGTCAAGTTCCCTCTTGACGTTCTGTCTGAACTCGGTCAAGACGTCGCCCTCCTTCTCCATGCCAGCTGCCACAAGGGCAATGAGGGCGGCGCCGACTCCACTTCCGTCCTTAGCGATGCCGATGCGGATCTTGTCAGCACCCTTGGGGCCGATGCTCTCAATGGAGCGGAGGGCCTCGTAGATCATGTCGCGGAAGAAGGGGTAGTGTTCAACCAAGCTGCCGTCGACACCAACGTCAATGACCTCTTCCGTCTCGTCGTCGAGCTTGCCGGACTGGAGAACAATGGCGCCAATGGCGACAGCTGACAGGCGAGCTGCACGGCGGCCGACGGAGCCGGCAACGGCCTTGAAGGCCTGGGCGTCCTCGAGCGAGGGGCTGTACACCAGCATCTCGGACTCCAGCTGCTGTCTCAGAGTGGAGAGCTCAGGGGTGTTGTCGGCAGCGGCAACGGACATGATGGAGCTGTCCAGGCCCCACTGCTTGAACATGCCAGACTGAGCGCCGATGCTTGTTGTTGACTTCCAGTCGTTGAAGCTAGAGTTCTGGTCCTTGAACAGGGAAAGCTTCTCGTCCTTGAGCATGTCAAGGATGGTAAGACGGACAATCTCGCCCAAGAACATGCCAGAGACACGCTTCTCGAACATCTGAATGCCCGGGTTGACACTGGCCTTGTCGAGAGCATCATCCCAAGGGGTGTTGGGCAACACGTTGAGCTGGTTATCGAACGAACCCCACTCAGTGTTGACAACCATCTCGCCGGTAGCAGACTCGAACTCGCCAACGATGGGCTTCTTGATGTTGGACAGCTTCTCGAGGTAGGCGCCGTTGGTGCCAGTGCCGAAAATGGCACCCAAAATGGAGCCGGACTTGCCGGTGGAGGTGTAGGACCTCGCCATCAGGGTTCCAACGGTGTCGTTGACGAGAGCAGCAACGCGGACGGGGAGGTGCAGCTTGTCGATCTCGACCTGCAGCAGAGCACAGACATCCTTGCCGACGGCATCGGGAATATCGAAGCCCTTGGTCCACCGGATCAGGTTGCCCTTGTTAATGCCAAGTTGCTGAACGGGGAAGCTGAAGGTGAAGCCCAGGCGGAAGACGTGCTCGTCGCGGTAGCCCTCGGGGGCGCTGTAGGTTTGGCGGCGGCGAATGTGCTGCTCAAAGTGCTCGGCGTGGTGTTCGCGAAGGAAGAGCTCAATCTGCTTGGCGAGGAAGGAGAAGAGTTCCTCAGCAGTCTTGGCAACCATGAGCTCCTTGGGGATCGCGACCTTGCTGTATGTGAGGTTGAAGGTAGTGTCGCCATTGAGCTGGACGGAGCACACGCGGAAGTTTGTGCCGCCGAGGTCGACGGCGAGGTACAGGCCCTGCAACAGGTGTCAGTGAGTAGAATCTCGCAAAGTGGGTTTGCGAACACCAAGCTTCGTTGCTGCGCAATTTACCTTTTCGGTGCCATTGGGCACGCCAGTGACGTAGGTCGGAATCTGGCTCATGCTAGATCCATCCTTTTCGAGGCCAGTTTCTGTGAGATACTAAAATCAGCTCACTTTTCTTGACTGCTGAGTGTTGCCGCGCATTTTTTTTCTCTATTTGGCGCAAATGTTTGGCCGTGACAAAGACATTTCCCGCAAGCGAATACTTGCAAAGTACGGGGTGCGAGGGAGAATGAGCAAACTTACGCATTTGGCCAAGGAATTCGCTGACGGCACGGTTGATGTATGCATCGGACAGCTCGAACTGGTCGACGACGCGTTTTGTCTCTGCTTCGAGCGCCATTGTGAGAGGTATAGAGATTGGCGGCGTGGTTGGAAAAGGCGCTGGATTTTCGCAGACGGGCTCCTGGTAAATTTGTGCCGAAGGAGAGTAGAAGGGAGGAGGCGGGTAGAAGAAGTTGTGAGAGGGGAATAAGTAGGAGCGAAGATGCAGTTGGAGGTGCGGCGGAAGGAGCTTGGCGTCTCGGAGGAAGAGCTGCGTGAGCTGTTTTGGTACAAATTAGTCCAAGGCAATCTTCGTCGACAGAGGAGGATGAAGTGATTCTCCAAATACGAGAGGAAACAGATGTGAGGAGAAAAAGTTGAAACTTGAGATTTCGAACGAGGCAAAGCCAGGTCAGGTAGAAGGATGAGGAAGAGAGTAGGTAGGTATGGGACAATGGGAGAAAAAGGTCGGACAGAGCAAAGATGAGGAAGTTTTTGGGGGAGCTCTGAGGATGATGTATGTGACGAAATCGCAGTGGAATGGACGGGGGATGGGGTTCATTTGGCATGGGAGCCAACATGGAGCATGGGGAGCAAGTGTGGAGCTGATGGTTGCTGGTCCCATGGAGCAGAGCGACAGGCATGCAAGGTAGTAAGGTACCTTGTCAGCACTCAGCACCACCACCTCAGAAAGCAGTGAGGTAATGTCGTGGTGGGGTGACTGAGGTAGTCGGTCTCGTGTGACTACTCGTAGACACGATTCTTCCTCCAGCTCCAAGCCTCCAAGACTCTTGTCTTCCACTCTGGGTAACACAAGCCCACGACATTCTGGCAATTGGCCATCATGACAGAGGTCGCCCGAACAGCGAAGCCGACGCCAAGGATACGGAACAGGGACGATGACCAGGACCCTGCTACTGGAGTTGTCGTTGACTAACTCTCAGTTGATGATTCCCCAGGTCTGCATGTGGGATACAAATGCCATTGGGTCACATCCAGGCCTTCAAGTTCTGCAAGTCTCGAGACCTTTTTTTTTTTCCCCTTCCAGATGTTGGGCCGGACGGAGCACTAAGCTGCGTGATGAGAATAGGGTCTTCTGCAGCACGACCCAGCATGGTGGATGGACAGCCTGGACGGGTACACCTGCGTGGTATGAGGCGAGATGCGTGGCCGCGGAAAGCTGGAACTGGAACTGGAACCTGAACCTTGGAACCAGCTCTGGCCTGGGGGGTCGACTGCTGCGGGGAATCGTGCGCCCGTGTGTATCCGCACAAAGTAGGTCTAGTAATAAGTGTAATTCAGCGAGAGAGACCACCCAGACTGCCATAGTTTGGCATGACGACAAGGTACCGAGGCGGCGGCAGAGTCCGGTCAAGTGTTCCGTTCCTTGGCCTTGGCCCTGCTGGCAAAAGCTCGGGAGCCGAAAGCAGCTTTGGTCGCCTGCCATTGGATCGTGGCATCAACTTCGGCCCCGCCGTTGGTTCCAATTGGGTTCCGGCGAGCTCCCGATCATCGATTGCCTCTCGTCTCTCGTGTCGCTCGCTCGATTTTCTCGCCCGTTTCTCCCTCCCCGAGTTCCCTGCCCACTGCTGTTCGTTTTGGCCTGGTCTGCTGCAGCGTGCGAACGATACGGCAGGTGAGGAAGGTAGCCAGCCGCTTGACCGTCCATGGTGAAGATTCACTCAAGGACAGTCTCCGGCGCTTCTCCCGGCGCAAGTCGTCTGCATGCTGCCCCCATGTCTCCTGCTCCCCAACAAGTAGATTCCCCAAAACCTGGGCCCCCGTGGAAGTCCGCATGATGCCCCAGGGGAAAACTCCCCCAAGTTTGGGACATGGGATAAGGTACTCGGACAACAACCGTATCCATACCCAAGGCACCCAGGCGGCCAGGCCACCACGCGCGAGACTGACGCTGACGGCGGCTCACCACGGTTGCACTCGCAGGGCTCTGAGTCTCTGACAGGCGACACTATCACCCCCCCGTCCCACGGTGGCCCACTTCTACGCCGAAGAAGCTCCCGTCTCCATCCACAATCGTCCACACCCGGGCGGGCCACCGAACATGCCGGAAATGGAGAGACTTTGGTCAAACACAAGACGAAATATCGAACCGACGGAAAATGAGCGCATGCAACTGCAGCACGCTGTCGCCGGGGAGAAAACAAGAGGGCGGGGACGTTGAGTCTTTCGAGAGACTATGTGTGGTTTCAGGGCAATGAATTGGGATTTGGAGGTCCAGGGTCAGGGAGTGTGAACTGTGTGATAGCTTTGTCTGATGGGAAACGACGGATACAACGAAGGAGAATCTGCACTGCTGCAGAGGTACTTACTAGGACGAGTGCTAAAAACACCACCGAGCAAAGGCCGTACCAAAATGAGGAGACCCCATGGGAGACCAGGAAGCTGCTCCTCCTTCTCCGGTGTCTTGGTCCGTGGCCCTTGATGTGACTATTGCTTTTGTTGGTCTCGTTGTCGATAGCTTCGACGTTGCCGCCATCGACAGCACCACCTTGCCTCAACGCCACCCCGTAGTTGCTCATACCCTGCGTGTCGTCGTCGAATGCCTCGCCTGATACAGCTGTGGTCAATAGGTCTTTCTGGCTGGCAATTTCCTCTTTCCCGGCCGTTGACCTTAACTGCTGCTGCTGCTGGTCTTTGATGTCTTGATAGTCGACACCAAGACCACCTGCGCGCCAATGGGCGCCTCGCCTGCCGACGTAGGCCGACAATGTGCCCGTGTTTGACAGCTTGAAAACGCTTGGGTTCTCGCTGCGGGCGCGTTGCTGCACCTCGTCGCGAAAACACCAACGTTTTGCTGATATAAGGCAGTAATTTGCGCGCACCTAGGCGGAAGTCCCAGACTGAAGTGTGGTGGTACGGGATCTGGCGCCGGTGAAGCGACCAGATTCACCTTGGTGCGTGCAAGTACAACCTGCGAGACGCAGCGCAGTAATGGTGCGCGGCGTTTGGAGAGCGGAACGATAGCGGCGAGCCGCGACCGGTGGTGCCAGTGGTGACCTTTGGCGCCGAATTTCTCCCTCTCGGCCCTTTGGAGGAGACAGAACACGTTTAAACGGCCCGTCTGTAATTAGTTTCCCGGGTGTGACGCTGCGGATAGACGAAGAGGACCCAGGCCTGGTGCCCCAATGAGGTCATATATGGGGATCCCGGGTGTACCTGGACTGGACTCTTGCAAAAAGGTGGGAAGACGTCTGCAGGGTTTGCGCCAAATTCTGATGTCCTCGTGTGTCGTTTTGTCGTGGATTCGTGGGTTGCGCCAGGCGGCGGGGGCTAGCGGGGAATAAAATCAAAAGATGATAATTGTGGAATTATGGGATGAAGAAGAGTACTCCGTACTGGAGGGAAGGGAAAGGCGGAGAGGGCAAAGCTCTAGTGTCCTTTCTGGCCTCGTGTGAGGAAATCGTAAATGCTTTGTCTCGTTCAATTGCTCGTGATAGTCGTGCGCTCGTCACCTATGACCGATGATCAGGGTCCCTCAATTCTGGGCTGCTGGATCCTGGATGCTGGGTCTGGGTCCCCGGATCTTTGGGGGGTCTCAAATCTGAGTCGGTCGGGAGATTCCCTGGTGCGTCTTGGTGGTGTTCGACTCAGAGCGTTGGTGGCTCTACTGGGTATTAATAAACTGGGCTCCTCGGCTTGCAACTACCTCTTCTCTAGCACTTCATGTGCGAAACGAATGTCGCTCCGTCTCTGTCTTCTTTTTCTGTTGTTGCTTCCCCAGCTAGTGTCTGCAGTCGTGTGTCACTGCCATGTGATCGCGATGAATAGGCTGTCCTGGCTGATCCTGTTCGAAGGAAGTTGGGAGACGCCGAAGTATGAGGTGACGCAGTTGCCCAAGGTGCAGCGGTCTAGCCCTTTAACAGATCGGGGGGCACGTCAAAGTGCAGAACGAATCTTGATAACGAAGCGTCCAAAGATGCTTCCTACAGTAACGACCAGCTTCCCGGTTTTCGTCTTGGTAATGATGGTTGGTGGCAGCCGTCCGTGGTGGTGTTGGTGCGGAAAGTATGTAACTCTGATCAGAATGTGAAGATCGAACGCTACTCTGGTTTGCTAGCGTAGACTGTCGCACAATGGGTAGTCGCCGTCGGACTACTTATGGTTGACGTGGAACAAACTGAAGGCGAGATAGGACGGCCGCTTCTTCAAAAGTTGGTGGTTTCAGGAGGAAACAAAACAGCCGAACGAAGAGGCGACGGGTCAAGTTCAGGTCAAGTCGAGACGAGACAAGAAGGCAAAGAGCAAAGAGGAGGTTGGCGCGCAAGCCGATCCTTCTTTTTTTGGTCCCCTCCTCTGCGTTTCTCTCTTTTCCCTCGTCTCTCTTTCTCGTCAGCCGAGGCGGGTTCTCCTTCTCGAGCGCTTCTGTCGCATAAGAAACACTCCTGGGATTGGATTGGAGGAGGGGGTGCGCCAGATTTGAGATTTGGGTTGACCACTCAAATCGCTATCGAACCGTTGCAAGGTCCCGCCCAACTGTGCGGTGTGAGCTGCAGGGCCGGGGTGCTTGTCAACAGTACTCCGTAGAATCTGGATCGTTGGAGAGAGGAGGATCTTTAAGTGGCCTTGCTGCGAATGAGAACCGGCGGCGGGAGGGGAAGACAGATGGCGCTTGGCCGTCTTGAGGTTGGCCAGTGCCGACAACCTGACTTCTTGGACAACAAGAGGTTGAAAAGAGGGAAAAGGCTGGGAAACATGGAAGGCCAGAAACACTTCACACGATGTTCCATGGACCGTGGATAAAGTTAAGAACCTTCCATACATTAAGTATTTGACAGTATGGCAGGAACGGCTCTCCCAAAAGGGAAAGGAAGTTGGAGAGCTGATGAAACGGAACCCCCAACGTGACCACCTGGCCCCTGCCTCCAACTGGCAACAGCGATGGAAGCACGGCAGGTCTCTGCCCCCACGACGTCGCTCCCCAGCATTTGGTTGACGGCTATCACACAATCCCCGGCACTCAATATCATCTCTACCTTAGCTGGGGGAGCCTCGCACACGAGCCATAGCCCACGCGCTAGATACCTTTGATAGGACACTTTGTCTTCTTCTTGTTAATTTCCAGAAATTTCCATTCTACTAGGTATGTGTCATGCTGTATTTAGCAGTAGCCCTGACCACGTATCATCTGCTTTCCTCAATGGTGTCCTCTACCAGCTGAACCATTCATACCATTGATATATCGTAATGCTGCTTTTCTTGTCAAACTCCCCATTTCATTCCTGTTACTCAACCTCACTTCTTTCAGGAGATAGATATTGTGCCACTGATCATCGTCCATCCATAACTAGCCCTGGGCAAAGTTCCTCTTGACAATGAAGAAGGACATCATGAGCAGAGCAGCGCAAGTCATAAAGACGGCGTTTCGGTGTCCGTCGCCTGTTTCTTCGTTAGCAACGATTTTGATACTTGAACTCGGACTAGCAACTTACCCTCTTCATCCAAGCTATGCGCCACGACAACAAACACGTTGAGAGGTAGCCTCAGCAGACTGTAAACGCGACCACGCACACCATCCTCGACAACCTGACTCTTCAGGAACGACATGCTTGGGAAGTAGGCTCCAATGCTGGCCTCAACCATGCACAGCGCCCAAAATAACAGCTTCTCGTTGTCCAGCACAACTGCTCCGGACAGGCAGCAGCTCACCACGAGCACGACCAGCATGAGGATAAGCGATGTCGTCTCCTTGGAGTGTGTCTTGGTATAGAGCGAGAAGAAGGAAGATCCAGCCATCATGGCGCACATGAAGCTGGAGAAGATGAGTCCAAAGGGAAGTTCCTCGTCTGAGCCAGCCTTGGTTCGCGCACTTTTCAGCGCAGCAGACCAGAAAAACACAAAGAGGTACATAGCGCCCTCGAAGAAGGTCGACGTCAGGCCCAACGACAGGATTCGCATATCGGCCAGAATCATTTGAATGCCGCTCTTGACCTCGGCGAGTGATGTCGTTGCCGGACCATGCTGCTTTGTTCCATAGTTCTCGCTCCATCCCTTCAAGATCAACCACATGGCCGCCCCAGAGCAGACCACGCTTGCCATGAAAGGCCAGACGCGGCCGCCCAGTGAGTTGACCAAGATGTCACCGACGATGCCGGACAGGATTGCAACGATGGAGCTGATGGTGGTCATGTTGCCGAAGATGGAGCCTAGTTTGAGGTTCGTCCGCGAAAGACCACGCTGGTTGTACTCCGTAATCAGCCAGGCCTCGAACACACTGTACAGAAGTGTCGTCGAAACGCCACCGGCGAATCGGCCGAGGAATAGGATGAAGAGGTTGTCGGTAAGCATCGTCAGGCAGGTCAGAATGTAGGTAGCGCAGTACGTGAGGCAGGCAAGGCGGCGGCCATATCGATCTGCCAGCTCGCCGGCAAAGGACGCGGAAATGGCGCCGGACACGAAGCCTGCAGCGTACAGAGCAGCCACGACCCTCTCGGGGATGTTCTTCTCGTATCTGTAAATGGCATAGATATGGGGGCCCTGTCCCTACGTCAGTCTGATTGATTCCATTGTAGTGATCGCATGTCGCATTACCTGGAGCCAATCCGCTGCCATCGCCAGGGCGTAGACCGGGAAAAAGTCCAGCTGGAATTGGCGGACTACATTTTGAGATTCGACGGGCGAAGAGAGCAATTGCTGATGCTCAACATCCCCTCCATCGGAACCCTCCTCCGAGTCAGCCGCCTCCTGCTTCAGCTCCTCGATGACTTCTTGTTCCTGGCGCTTGTATTGCTGGTAGAGCAGATACCCATTGCCCGCCGCAAAAACGGCCAGATTTATCTGGTAGAAAGCCATTTCGTCGCAAGTGTGACTTTTCAAGTTGTGTAGAAAGGTGAACTCTCGTTTGTAGAGCTTGTGGGACGTTGAATCGGTATAATAAGGCTGTCGACGCGGCAGACCAGCATTCCACGAGCCAAGTATCAGTAGGCGTCGCGTATCTTGGGATATCCTGACATTCGTGGTGTCTCAGCTGCCCTTTGGTCGGTGGCGCCTCAGCTTGGCATTTATTGGAGGAAGCTGGAGCGTACTGAAATGATGGAAGAGACACAGGCTCAGAAATCGTTGTCGAGGGAAGACTATCACATTGTAACAAGAATGGTAAGGGGCAGTCGGCTCTTTCTTTGGTTCCTTCCTTCCCATCGGCACGGTACCTGCGGGCCTGTGTTATCCCAATTGCAATTGCCAAACATCAATCGGCAAGCAGCTGCGACGGCTGAGGCTTCCCTGTCTGGAAACGGATGAAAAAGAGGACAGGTTCGTCAACATGGGACGCCATGCTGATTCAGTGGCTTGGCTGCGCTATTGAATTTGTAACGCAGCCCCTACAGTTATACTTGCCTCGACTGCCATTTTGTGTGTGCAATCTGCCGGTCCCCTAATTCCCCTTCTTGATAGAGTTTGGCTGGCCTGGTATCCTGAGTTTAACCCAAATGCTGCTGCCACCGCGGCTGTTCCAAACCAGCGGAGACAAATGCAGCGTGTACCTACCTTACTGCGTAAGGACGGGAGGGAGAAAACTGGGACCAATGAGACGTCGTCCGTAGCTTCCAGCTTGGCATCCAGCTCTCGGCCCAAGCTCGAACGAGGAAGGAAGTGTTGGTGGCGGACACTAGCCACACTCAGCTGTTAACCATGAACTGATCCAAGGATGCCTAATGTACTTGGATCGTACCTGTACATTCCTCTCGATTGGCACGTAGGAAGAAGGCGTGTTGTCTCGCGTATCAAAGCCTAGAAAAGGGACTGGAAGGGAGAGAAGCGGCACGCAGACTTGCGAAGAAAGCCTCCCTCGAATGCCCCCCTCGAATGCCCCCCGCACTTACACGGAGCTGGTTGAAAGCATGTAGGGCAATTTCACCACCCCTCAGCTCAATGGTGAGTATGAGAGACCCCACGATACATTGGAAGAAATAGGAAAAAGAAGCAGCGTCAAGGGATGCGTAAAGATCGCCGTAACTCGGCGCCGAAGCTAGGTGCGCATTGCATCAAACCATGTATGATGTATGTCTCGTTGCACCGACACCCGGCCGCCGGTATGTCAGGATACTGCCGGCCATAACGGCTCGGGTTTCAGTCAACAGGTCTCCAGAATGCCCACAAGGAGCGGGTGGGGAGCGATTAGCCGCGAGCCCAACGCGTTCGGGAGCAACGGCCGGAGCCCCGAAGGACCCTTACGGCGCCCTTCCGGGCACGTGGACATATCCCGGCCCACGGCGTCACGGCGACAGCGATACTGGGGACTGTCCACGCGGCGGATACAGTCCACATTCTTCCATGTTCCTGGTACAAGATACTCGGACCTAACCGTAGTAGCCAGTCCGGAGCCTTCAAGCTGCTCCGAGGAACGTGGGCTAACCGAACGGATGGGGCTGGGGGGCAGTGCTTCCATTGGAATTACGCGGATTCGAGAAGCTTAGGTCGCAGTGGGCAAGGCGGAGAAGAGTTGGCGGTGTCCAGGACGCGTGGGACCCTCGTAACAAATGTCCACAGCACGAACAAACACGACGCAACGGAAGCGTGCCAGCGACCAGGATCCGGGACATTGACAGCCCGACCGGAGCGACGGCGTGCCGGGATGGATATCGGTGTGCCGTCATGGCAAACCTGGCAAAGTCCTTCCAACCATCAGATCAGTTGGAGGCTGGGACCATGGGCGCTATCCCATGGTCCTGGGTCCCTATGCTCCTACGGCACGGAGATCCAGTTCAAACTTTAGAGGGCTCCTGTGAGTTCACGCACCAAGTTACTGGGGGTTGGAGACGGGCAAGACTGGCGCACTGGATAGAAGGGAAGTTTGGCGCCGGCTCGGGGAAAGCTGCTGAATCCCAATAGCTGTGCGGCTGAGCTTGCGGAGTTGGATCAGAGGACGGCGGCAAGTAGGGGTGCTCCCTGTCTGGCCTATCGCACGACCATGGGGCTTAGCATGGCTGTTGTGCTACGCCTCGCGACGGCTGGTTTCCATTCACTAAGGTATTGTGGGAACAGGATTATCTCGCGTAGCGTTAGTAGGGTACGAGGCATGGTTCGTAACGAGAGGTCTCCTTCACCTTTCTCTCGATTCCATCCTCGGTTTCGAATCTTGATGTATTTCGTTGGTAGTCGTACGAGGATGGGATTGGACGTGCAGCTATGGCATTGGCTAGTCTTAAAGCCGGTGCTCTCGAGACGGGAAAAGATTGACGCGAGCAAGGCTTTTTGCTTCTTTGGCAGTGAGGGCGAAGAAGGGGTGAGGCCTCTTGCATCTGCCTCAGTATTGTATAAGGTTGAGCGCTAAGCGGATTATTGACGTACCTTTTCGAAGACGAATTTCTTGTTGGAAGCTAGAAGGCCAGTTCGTTGCGCAGTCATATGTATTGAGGGCCATGAGGAGGGCGAGGGCAATGGAAGACATTGGATGAGGATGAGTACCTACCTACCTTACGGTATTTCACCTTAGGAAGGTGCCTCTTGACTTCCTGCCATTTGACAAGGTGGGAGCAAAATTGGCAGCAATCCAAGCTCTTCAAGTGCTGACGAAACCAAGGTTGGTACCTTCCTACCGTACTTGCTTCCCTTGGTCTGGCGGGGTAGCCACGAGAGAAAGAAGGACCAGGAGAGAGAGAGGGGAAACGTGAGTTGCTTGCTTCTCTGTGAGGTAGGTTTCCGTAGGCTACCTTAAGGCTTCCCTTAGTTGCAATTACACCACCCACCCCCACGTTCCTCCCCGAATGATACGATTACCAGGACAAAGGAAAGAGCCACCGGTTCGCGATTGATCCGATGTTGGCTCCTTAGCTACGAACACTTCTAGGCCAGATTTACCAAGGGAAGAAAGTACTTAGATCGATAAAGACAATGGCAACACTTTTCGATCTCTGGATTATCGCCTCTGACTCCCAAGTTGTGACGACGCAGCCTGAGAGAAAAGCTACTGGCCAGACAAGGTCTTACAGACGGCGAGCTGCAGGTGCGGAAGCCTCCCCGGCGTCAAGGGCACATCATGTACCTCGAGGTACTTGGTGCTCCATACGGAGTACGGATACCCGTACACTCGATTCCCAAAGTCCTACGCCAAAAGTCCTGCATTGCGATCCTGCTACTAGGTATGTAGGTGCCCTGCTTGTCTGCGTCTCTAGTCTCTACCAGACCCCCACCAATAATTCTCAGGGTTCGAAGAGCTGCTATCCAGAGGCGTACTCCCTCATTGCTCGGCATAGGTTCCATGGCACTATGATCATTGGGCGCTGACAGTGGCCGTATCCCTCTACATACAGAGAAGGCGAGCTGTGCCCCATGACGCTTCCATAAAGTCATTGACTGACTTTGGCTCCAGATAACCGATGGCTGCCCCCTGAAGCCCTGGATTTCCTGTGCAAGGACTCAGCCAAAGATGGACAGAGGTTGCCGGATTTCTGGGTCCCAACTCCCCGCAGCAAGGTATCGTCGCAGACCGACGACTAAGTCCATACCTTGTCTTAGTTGTGCTGTTTCCCAACGCCTAGCAGAATCGCAACCACACATCGGGAATCCCGTCTCCAGTTTTCTCCACGAGAGTCACATCGGCATGTACCCTGCTCTGACGGCTGGCACTGGCTCGTCAGAACATGTCAGTTGTCAGACACCTCTGACGGGAACGGCAGGGCTAAGGTAATTAATTGTTTGTTCCTTTGTAGGCACCAAGATTGCGGTCGACTTTTTGATCTTGACGTTAAGTCTTTCCGCAGGCCGTTTCAGTGTGATCGCTTGCATCTTTCATCATCAAGGTACAGTAAGTATCCGCCCGGGGTTGAGACATTGATATTCAGCTCGAGGTTCGCCGTCAACCTCGTTATGTCTTGTCATTCTTTCGCTGGGGGGTGGGGATGGGCAGACAAAGGACCCCGACAGACGTCGTCCAATGTACTGGGGTTCTCTGAGTCTCTGACACGGGCACCGGCGAGAAACCAGTCTCGAGATGCCTCGTGTAGATGGCTACGGCCCCCTCCTCCGCCCGGGTCCCAGACGTTGACAACGGCGACGGGAGACGGGACGAAACGCGTCGGTGATCTGATCTGGCCGCAGACGAGACGGGAGCTGGCTCAATCAAGCACTCCAGGGGAGGCATCCCTTTCAGCTATTTCATGATGCTTTGTGTGCTGACATGCAAGTAGTGTGCGTTCTGTACCACTTGGAGGTGAGAAAGGTCCTGCAATACACGTTCGTACATGGATGAATACGTGGGATGTACACACAGAGCCCAAGTCGGTACTTTGTGAGGTTCCGTTCCTTACACAGTTACGAAGTGAGCTCTTACGAAGTACATGCACATGGGGCTCCAGTGCTCTGCAGCCAGCCTGAACCCGCGCAGCCCAATCCAGAGGCAGCATTGGGACCATTGGGCGCCTTCTCAGCCTTACACTGCCCAGAAAGCGACCCGAGGGGGGTTCCTCCATCTAGCGCACCCGCAGCTCGTTTTAGTGCCATCAGCTGGCTGGCGGGAGTATTCGTGGGTACCTTAGCAACTTCATCGCCGGACCACCGTCTGGCTGAGGATCCCGGTCGAGGTCACTTTCGCAGTTGATGACGGCGGAGAGTGACATGTGTCGTCGAATGGGTTCCCCACCCTAGGTACACAGTTGACAGACATCGCACAGGACTTCCTTTAGCACCTCCTCTCAAGGTTTCCTTCCTTGTTGGATGCGCCAAAATGGGGGGCACAGAGCAGCAGGCAAGCAGGCAAGCAAGCACTCGTTGGAACTTGGACTGGGAACAGAGCAGCGGCAACCCTTCGTGGCAGTGGCATACAAGGGAATGGGCGAGGGCAAACGGGGTGGTCCTTTGAAGCAAAGCGAGGCCGTAAAACAGAACGAAACGAGACGAGACAAGTCAATTTGGCCAGCAGAAGGCGTGAGAAACAGCTGCCTTTTGTGTGCGTACGGGTGGATGGGCAGGCAGGACATTCAAGAACGTGCTCGAGTACATGACCCTTGAATGATGCCAACATAATGTACCTAACTTCTCATCAGGTCGGCCCATCACCTCTTGATTCCCTTGACCAGGAACAAGCTGAATAAGGTAGCACAACAAGCAGCAAGCTGTGGCTTTTCTCCCTCTCATGTCCGCTTCATCTTGTCTGCCTACCTTACCTTACCTTACCTTAGTGTACCAGTGTGTGCTACCTCCTGCTCGTGTTGCTTCCATTTGCTCTTACGGATTCCATACCTGGACACCCGACCCCGCGTCCAGCCGCCCAGCCCACCTCAGCGTGAGCCTCCTTCTCTAGGTACCAGGTTGTCTTTGAGGTAGCGACGAAGGAAGGAAGCGTCTCGTATCGCCCACCGTCGCTTTCCTCGTCGCCCTCCTCTGCATGCCTAGCCCGCCTGCCTGCCTGCCTGCTTGCTTGCTTCATCCACAGCTCATCGTCACCGTTTTTGACTTCCGAATCTCACCTTCTTCGACATTTTCAACTCATCGTCTTCACTGCAGCCTTTGCACCCTTGTTTTCGTCTTCTTCAATCCGCCGACAGCAAGCAACACATGCTTACCGTCCCGCGCCTGAGCTACATCAAAGTCCTGTTTACGCCAGACAGGTTTCCTTTCTCACTACCTAAGGTAGAGTAAGCGAGCGAAGGGGGGGAAAGGTACCTATCCGTAAGTATTCACCTGTACATCTTGTTGCTTTCCCCGGTGCCTCACGATTGGAAGTTCTCCTCTTGTTGCTTGTCGTCCTCTTGGCCAAAAGAAAGAGAGGAAAAACTTCCCATCCCAATCCACCATCCCAATTCACTATCCCAGTCGTCCATCCTACCTCACCTTACCTTATCAATCATATTCTCACATCTGCTCGCATTCACTCACACGCAGTCTCCCCAACTGTCCCGCACTTTCCCTCTCCCGCTCTCATTCAATGCCCTTTGCTTTCTCTCTCTGCCCATCGCTGTGCGTCCGCTACTATACTGCATTACAAACACCTACCTTACTGTTGCTGCTGCTCCTTCTGCTGCACCCGCTCTGCTCCTGCACTGCACATCTCAACCCGCATCATCCCAGAAACGGCGGATTCGTTCAAGCGCCCACGGTCCACGCTCCACGCTCCACGCTCCACCCCCTCCACCCCCCCATTCCCAAGCAAGCACCGCATTCTATTTTCTCACTCCTTCCCACTTCTTTTTTTTTTTTTCTCCCCCTTCGCCTTCCCGCCTTTCGTCTTCGTTTTCGTCCTGTCAAGCTCCGAACCCCGTGGCAACAAGTAGCAGCAGCAGACCCAACAGGCCCAGCAGCTGTGTGAGGAGAAAGAGTTCTAGGATTCCTAGTCCCTTTCCCAGACCTCCCAGACCTGGGGGGGAAAGAAAAAAAAGCCCTTAGTCAAGTCCTAAAAAGGTTCTTGACTTTTTCTGCTGACCTAAGGACCGTGACTTGACCTGCGTCTGACTTGAAAGTTGACCGGGACGGACCACCACTGCCTACCACCGAAAAATCACCATCCACCCCCTCCCCCTCCTCTTCACTCCCCCCAACCCCGACACCCCAGCCCAAAAGTCCAAGCCCAAGCCCAGCAGCCGCAGCAACAAGTCCTAAAAGTCTAAGCCCAGGCCATCCAATCCATCATCCCGCCGATTATTACTCGAGTACGACCAAGAGCACCACCACCACCACCACCACCGCTCCTCTCTGCTGCTCTGCTCTGCTCTGCTGCACCGCACCGCACACCCGCACCCGCACGGCTGCCGACGCCCTGCAACCCAAATCGATATACCCTCTGCTGGTCCTGCCCACCTTGGGCCCTCGCTTTTCTCCCTCTTCTTCTCCCCGACTCAGTAATCCCATATGAGCTTTTCCAACTCCCGCCTGAAAGGCTTTGGTTTCGGCAAACGCAAGTCAACTGCTAGTATCCAGACACCCGACCCGAACCAAACCCCAAGCCCGACCCCTCCTCCTCAGGGTGGTCACCCCTCCGGTGCCCCTCAAATACCGCAACAGATTCCCGTCCGCCCAGGCTCCATTGCCTCGACCTCTTCCGCATCAATCGCTCCCATGAATCAACACCCAGGCGCCGGTAACCGGCCTCCGAGCTACTCGGCCAACTTCCCCCAAGGCGGTCCTCCTCCCATGGGTCGCACCAGCCCGATGACCGGTCAGGGTCCGGCTCGCACCCCGCCTTCTCAGATGGTCGGCGGTCCTCCTCCCATCAACACTGGTGCTCCTGTCGCTGGCTATCCCCCTCAGCTTCCTCCCATCGGCGGTCAGGGACACCCCATGGGTGGTCCTCCTCAGTACGGCGGTGGCGGCGGCGGTGGCTATCCTCCCCCGGGTCCTCCTCAGGGTGGGCCCATGGCACAGTACCAGCGAGGCGGCAGCGCGGCCGAGGTGGAAGGCAACAGCAGGAGTAAGGCTCAGCTGATTGTCGGTATCGATTTCGTACGTGGACTCGTGGGATTGAGACAACGTTTGTCAGATGCCGCGTTGCTGACATGACCCACAGGGTACAACTTTCTCCGGTGTGGCGTTTGCTTTTGCGACAAACAACGAAGCCAAGGAAGACATTATAACAGAATGGCCTGGCGCTGGTTCATACACGAAGCAGAAGGTAGGAAGACTTGCGGTTCCCGGAGATTGCGCGTTGCGTTCTGCGCTGGTACTTCGCTGACACTCTTTTGTCTCCAGATCCCCACGGTTCTCTACTACGATCAGTATCAGAAGGTTGTTGGCTGGGGCCCCGACATCGCCGATGCCCTTGCCCCTACTGGATACCCGAAGCCCGGCGTGCAAAAGGTCGAATGGTTCAAGCTGCAGCTCATGTTGTCCGGCAACACATATATCGACCCCATCAACCTGCCCCCTCTGCCTCCTGGAAAGTCCGAAATCGATGTTGCGGCCGACTATCTTTTCAAGCTCCGCCAGGCTATGCGCTCGGCCCTGCAAAAGACCCTCGGTGAGGTATTCAACCGTGAGGAGCGAAACATCCGTTACTATCTCACCGTCCCTGCCATTTGGAACGATGCAGGAAAGGCCGCCACCAGAGCCGCCGCTATCCAGGCTGGCTTCTTGAGAGACGAAAACGACAACCGGTTGACGCTAGTTTCCGAGCCCGAAGCTGCCGCTATTTTCTGTTCCAAGACGGGACTCTTGAACCTCAAGGTCCACGACGCCGTGCTGATTGTCGATTGTGGTGGTGGTACTGTCGATTTGATCGCGTACGAAGTCGAGGAGGAGAACCCCTTCACCGTTGCCGAGTGCACGGCAGGATCTGGTGATTCTTGCGGTTCAACAGCGCTGAACCGCAACTTCAGCAACATCCTCCGCACCAAGATTCGCAAGATGAAGCTGCCCGACGGATCCAAGACGGCGGGCCGCGTGTACGCCAAGTGCATTATGGACTTTGAGAACCGTATCAAGGCCGATTTCCGCAACAACGGCCAGAAGTGGGCCGTCGACGTTGGTATCGAGGCCGAGTTCCCCGAGGCCGGCATCGAGGAGGGCTACATGACGTTCACCAACGAGGAGATTCTGCAGTGCTTCGAGCCCGTTGTTAACCGCATTCTCGAGCTCGTCAGAAACCAGATCATCGCCATCCAGGCCCAGAACCGGACGCTGCAAAACATTCTCGTTGTGGGTGGATTCGGTGCCTCCGAGTACCTCTTCCAGCAGATCAAGCTTCACGTTCCTCCCCAATTCCAGTCCAAGGTCGTCCGCCCCATGGACTCCGTGGCCGCTATCGTCAAGGGTGCTGTTACCGCCGGCATCACCGAGCGCGTCGTCACACACCGTGTTGCCCGTCGTCACTACCTCATGGCCACCTTGCAGCCCTTTAAGGAAGGGTACCATCCTGAGGCCTACCGCGTGCCATCCCTCGACGGCAAGGACCGCTGCAAGTTCACCCGTCAAATCTTTGTGCAAAAGGGTCAAAAGGTCAAGATTGGAGAGCCCGTCAAGGTCTCATTCTTCCGTCAAGTTGCACCCGGTGCGACGCTCATGTACGAGGATATTCTGTACGCCTGCGACGACGATGTTTGTCCCGAGTATACTAAGGATCCTCGTAAGTTGAATCACAGATTTTCATATTTAACCACTGCTAACCTCGGACACAGGCATCAAGGAAGTTGTCACCCTGACCTCTGACCTGTCGCGGAAGAACCTCGAGAAGGACTTTGAGAGAATGGACACACCACAGGGCACATTCTACCGTGTCTACTTTGACATTTACCTGACGCTCGACGGATCCGAGTTCAGCGCAGAGCTGGTGTGCCAAGGCGAGGTCATGGGCCGCTGCAGAGCGCGCTTCAGGTAAAGACGGTGGTGGAAGGAAGGGGAGAGAAAGAGAGAGAGAGATTGATAATGTTTGCTTGCTTGCATTGGGCATTTCGTTTCCATACACTCGGATGATACCTCGAAAAGGTGATGGGGGCCAGAAGGACAGGCCCCGAGGCTAATAATGGCCGAGAGTACATATCACGAAGAGACCTCCCAGAACAGATGACTGGAAGACGAGGATTGGATTTGGGAGGTTTTTATGACGCGGAAGGATTATGGCCTATTGTCAAGTGTTGTAGACGCACGACACTCCCCGCATGGGAGAAATCAAGATTTTTTCACAAGACAATAATTACCTGACGGGGTCGTCGAGAGGTCCACCCAAACTTGGGGGAAGGTCGTATGCAAGCCTGTTGAAGCCACCGCCCTTTCATCCCAACTAGTCAGAAACTGAGGTTTACACTCCCGTGTCATTTCACCTGAGCGGGCTTGGTCTTCTTAGATTTTCGTAGGCTCTCCATGAGGAAGACTCAGCTTTTGCACTTTTTGGTTGTAATTGTGAACTATCCGCTCATGAGAGCTATATCTAGCCAGCTCTGAAGTAAACCTTGTTTGGCTCGACTAGAACCAGACTTGCCAAGAATTGTGTTTTGCGAACTGTGAGCGCCACGTGGAGTGGAGGGTCATGGATGCCGGGCTAGCGGTTCTCGGAATCAAAACACATCCTGATCCTGCATTTGTGAGGGACCGTGTTCTCTATCTCGACGAATGTTCCTGACCAAGTTCATGACGGTCAAGAGCAACGTTGTGGGGGCCATGTCGAAAGATAAGACAGCCATTGACACGAAGTACAGTCTTTGAGGGGAGAACAGCGAGAGACTACCTTACTTGAGAGGCTGACCGCTCCGAACAGGCCCTGACTCAGCCACAGCAACTTCAATATGTGGAGACTAAGTTGCGTCCACTGGCCCAGTTGGTACACGGCGCGGGGGAGCAAGAGCCAAGCAAGGAAGGCCCTGGTCACTAACGAGCCGAAGGTGACCAGATCAACCCCGGTCAGTAGCAGCGGGAAACCGGGCAGCCAGTTGCTCCTGCGTCATCGTCTGAACATGAACCGCTGGGAGGTTCGACCCAAGGTCGGGCCCTGCATCTTGCACCCTTCGACAACTGAGAGTGGCAGCAGGTAAATGGGACGGGCCAATCGCCCCCTCAGTTGGGTAAGGTAGTCGGTGTATTGTGAATACAGCAAGTAAAGGACTGTAGTTCAGGAGGTAATGTAATTGTGCGATGACAGTTTCTTCTCTCTGCTTGAACTTTGACATCGCATCCACCTCGGTCACTCGAGGCTCTCGTATGCCACGAAACCTCCACTTCGTACCCTCCTACAAAACTTGACGACGTCCCTTTCTGAATCATTAGTGCCAGATAACGCTTGTCCATTAAGCGCGAAGAAAATAACCTACTTTTCCTTTCCCTGCCCTACGAACCCAGTTCCAGTTCCACCCTTCCGTGCCCGCCCAACCAACCTGCGTCTCCCACCTGGACGAACTCTGACGCTACATCGCGCGTGCAGGGATAATCAGGAATTGGCCCCTGGATTAGCCAGGCCGATCGCACCTCTGGACAATCCCGCCGCCCCTTGCTTTTGCTCATTCGCTCTCACGTCGTTGCTCCCGTACGTCACTCGGCGCTGGTCCGTCGCAGGCTATTGGTGGGCGTCTGATTCCTCAACATCGTTGGGTGCTGCCGGTTCTTATATCTACTCCAGATCGTCGTTCGTCCAGAACCGCGGAAGCTTGGATCCCTCTGAGCCATGAATTGTCACAGCATCCAGGCGTAGAATCACATTGGACCCTTTCAAGTCGACGAATTACCGACTTGTTATCACTCTCAATCTTGCTACTTTTCTTGGGCTATACCAAAGACCTGTCAGAGAAGGCCGACCTACGAAACCATGAGACCGTCGTCATCTTCGAAGAGAGGCGACAAGCGGCCTTCAAGGACAAGCCAGAGCCTCTGCTTTGCGCTGGCCATAGCCTCGCAGCTACCAGCAGCCAACGCAATCGTATTCCCAAGCTACCATCCAAACTACAAGACCGACTACCTTCAACTGAATAAGCGGTACAATCCCGCCAGACGAGGCCCACCCGAGGACTGGAATGGAAGAATCCCCTTGAAGGTCACCAACTCATGTCCCAACACGATCTGGCCCGGCATCACAACACAGCATGGCGTCGGTCCTGGAATCGGCGGTTTCGAGCTTGCCTCGGGCGACAGTCGGGACATGTGGGTTGGGCCAACTTGGCAAGGCCGCGCTTGGGGAAGAACCAACTGTACCGTCAATGGAGGGTCGGCAGGATGCGAAACGGGTGATTGCTTTGGAAAGCTGGACTGTGAATTCAGTGTAAGTTTCGCCCTCTTGAATGCATCGGACGATGGCTGATCAACCCAGGGTGCTGTTCCCGCAACTCTCGCCGAGTTCAACCTGGCCGGCGGTGTCTCTGGACGCCAAACATTTTACGACATCTCCCTGGTCGACGGCTACAACATCCCTGTGGGCATCAACTACATTCCCGCCGAGAATACCACGTATATCCCGCCAAATCTGACCAACTGCGCCTGCATCGCAACAACAGGCTTCCTCTCACAACGCGCGGCAAGCGGCACCGTCTATACCAACAGCACATATCCCGTTCCCTGGGAGCCAACTGAATCCAACGAGAGTTCCAAAGACTGGTGCCCATGGCCTCTGCTTTCCAACCCGCCAGACAAGCCTGGCGATGGTGTCTATCCCTATCCTGACGATAACATTCAGCGTCCGACCTTCAGCCCGTGCAAGAGCCAATGCGCGGCTACGAATTCGGATCACGACTGCTGTATAGGCAAATGGCATGACCCCAACAAGTGCAAGCCAGGCTTGTACTCCAGACACGCCAAGGCCCTGTGCCCTGACGCATACAGCTTCGCCTTTGACGACCAAACATCGACCTTCATCATCCCATCGGGCGGCGGCTGGGAGGTTGTCTTCTGCCCCGCTGGAAGGAGCACTAACATTCTCCGTACCATGGGACCGCAGCTTTTCGAGCTCGCGAGCGCCGGCTTCTTGAGCCAGAAGAACCTGGATCTGGTTAAGAATCAATCCTACATAGAGTCTGAGAGCGAAAAGAACGCTGCTCCAGGCCTGGCATCGTCGTCTCTGTGGGCCATCTGCGCGGCGGCTACAACCGCTGCCATGCTGTTGGGCTGGTAGATGAATGCCTTCAGGCTGTTTGCCTTTTTTGCTTTCTCTGCAATAAGCACGACAGGGCTGGACCCACGCAATCAGCTGTGCTTCTTTGCAACTTTGGAATTTTTGGCATTGGGATACCCAGGAATGATTGTACGAGGCATGGACGATAGATGCATGGCGCAGGACGATGATACAGAGGCTCAACGGCGTGAGCTAGAAGACACTATAACCGCAACCTTCCTTTCGAGTACCTAGAAAACCTATACCCATGACGAATACAATACACTTTATACTTTGAATAGTGTGGTTCCTGTGAATGTAGTAGACATGTAGAGTCATCCCCGAAATCTTGATGGAGAACGAGTATCATAACGTGACCCTGTACCTTCGCGGTCCTTGAGAAACCATGCCCTACATATCGAGGTTCATGATCTGCTTTTTCCCCCTTACCGGTACGGTAGTCGTGTGCGACGAGTGGAGAGTTTTAAGCTTTCGGAAGGGAACCGACGGAGACGGTGATCCGCAGCCGTGGATCCGGGCCCAGGGCATTCACAAATTGGTAGGTATGATAACTAACGTGTGCTCTCTCTCCATAACCTCGCGGAATACACGACTTGTACCTCACGGGAGCATTGATTCACTTGATTCAGGACACCGACGTGAAAAAGAAACTTCATTTTGGATAGTCGATACTACGTGTTCCGTGGCTAGAAACCAACTGGAGAGAAGACAAGTTATAACCATGTGGAATGTTTTCGATTGTGTATTTGTAGGTAAACATGGCTCATGTCCCGACTCCGATGTAATGTACTTTTCTTTTTCTTTTTCTTTTTTTTTTCTTTACCGTGAGACGACGCCGCCTGAAAAACATGCTGATCCCATGATCGTGACACTGGAAAAGTCTAACAGTTATAAATTCTTTTTTCTTGCTCTCTCTTTCCTACATCACCTCTTTCCTCTTGTCTTCCTCTATACTCCGTACTGCCGTGTCGTTTTTGTACGTGTCTTGACCCTCGCCTCCTCCAATCCCCCGCCGTTTCAGGGGCGGAGGATGTTAAGAGGCGAGGGGCTGACAAGGAACAGATGTACCGGCGAAAAAAAAAAAAGTGCAACCAAGTTGTGCTCGAAATCTGCAAAGTCCTCCCTTCTCCCTCTCTCACTTGAAGGTGATCGAAACGCCCCTACAACCCTAAGACTCAACCCTTGCGCGCGGCACGCTCCTTCCGTCTCCGATCCCACTCGGCCCTCTCCTCGTCATCACTACCACTAAACTCGGCATCATCGTCACTCTCCTCGTCGTGAGCGTACCCGCCAGGCACAGGCGGCGCAGCAGAATTAGGAATCGCAGGAGGCGCACCAGGGGGCGCCGACGCCGGCGCACCGCCCTTGCTCTTCTTGCCCGCAGAGGAAGCGTCCACGTTGATAAAGTCGCCCGCGTTGAGCGAGGCGTACTCGTGCTTCTGAATCAGTTCGCGGAGGGCCGGGTTGCGGGGGTCGACGAGCTGGAGGGGGGTGAGGCCGCCCTTGTTCTTGATGCGTGGGCTGGAGCCAGCTTCGAGCATCATGTCGACGAGGGCGTTGCCGAACTCGCGGTTGGCTTGGGATTCGTTGTTGATCCAGCGGATGGCGCTGTGGAGGGGTGTGTCGCCTTCTTGGCGGTTGATGGGGTCGCATTCAAAGTTTGGTTGGTCGAGGAGGAGGTCGATTATGTCGTCTGTGGGAAGGCGTTAGAGTCAGCATGGTGCCTTTGGGTAGTTTGAGGAGGATGGTGTGGGAGAAGAAGGAAGTCGGCGGTGTTGTAGCAAGGCTCGAGTATCTGGAGGAAGTGTGCGAGGGCAAGACGTACAGTTTCCTCGGGAGGCAGCTTCGTGGTAGAGGTGGTTTCCCATAACGGTGGTGGTCTCGTTGAGGATGCGGGATAGCTCATCCTCGTTCTTGATGCCGGCAATGACCTCGTTAAAGAGTTCAGTATTGTCGCGGCGCGCAGCCTCGATGAGGAGCTCCTGGACGGAGGCGCCCTGCAGGTATCGTGTCAGCTCTTTCCTTGAGATTTCTCACGAGAAGATTGCCTCTGTTAGGCAGAGAAGTGGGCAGACCAACCTCGTGCTCCTCGTGATCCCCTGCCATGATTGTGGAGTTGGGGATGGGTATGGGTGTGCGTTTTTGTTCACGACGAGGCTATCGTGGGGAAGGAGACTTTCTCGGAAGGGGAAATGACGAGGGTTTGCTGTTGCCGTGCCGTGGTGTGCTGGGTAAGGAAGGTGGTGTTTCGAATTGGCCTTCCGTGCTGGGTCGGGGAGACGTCGCCTTGGTGGGGTTCGTGGATCGGAGGTCACGGCGGGAAGGAGTTGAGGTAGAAAGAACGGTGAGGGGTAAAAAGTATTTAGTGGTGCCCTGGTGGTCGTTCTTTTCTTAAGGTGCGTTATCGTGGGGTGGAAAAGGTGAGGGGCGGTTTGGGCGATAGGCCAGGTACGATGGGTTCCCGTCGTCCAGGGCGGTGAATGTGTGAGGTTGCGGAAGAAGAATGCTGCACAGTAAGGTAGATGGAAGAGGAAGAAGGTGAGTCGTGCAACGTCCGATCGCGCTGTGAGGTAGATCTGGGTTCGGGGAGATGTTGCGAGTCGTCACTTGAACTTTGGGCTCCGTTTGGCTTTCAGATGAGAGTGAGGTGCAGCTACGTAGGTACCCAAACTTCCTTTCTACCTAGGTAAAGGCTCGTGGGGCTGAGAGGCTACGCGGCAGTTTCCAGGTTTGTGGTGTCAAGGAGGTGGCAGTGATCGCCAAACCCCTGATCCAGAACAGAAGGACCTGATTTAGGTACCGTGAAAGGCGCTAAGTCACTCCCAGCACTCCGAATACATCCAGTTACTTGCTAGGTGCCCGGTTCAGGAAGTTAAACTTCAGCAGCAGCTTGTTGCAGTGCTTACAACGAACAAAGGGCCAGCGATCCTAGAAACAGTCCGCCAACCCCGCTATTCGTACTTCAGGTGGACGGACGGCACGGGTAAGGCGGGGTGAGAACGGGTGCCTCTTGGAGGGGCAGCACGGAACATTATTGCGACCGGGTTCCGGCGGGATGGACTCCTGTAGGTACCGTTTTGTTTTTTTACCCTCCATGACGCTGGTCGCTAGTGACTGTTCCCCGGCTGGTGAATGGCGGCTTCGTCCCCCACCGTCACATTCGAGGCCCGCTGAATTTTCCACGACAACCACACCGAGGAGCGATTTCGCGGTGAGCTGAGCACATCACCAAGCAGCAAACCATACCTCTGTGAACATTCAATCGCTCGCACAAACAATCGCCGCCTAATCTCAAACCACACCTACCGCCAAGATGTTGCTCTGTAAGAACCCCAAAGCACCCATCCCCCACCCCTCCTTCTCTACCTACCAGGCGCATTTCGCTAACAAGAAAACAAAATCCCAGTCTGCCCCAACTGCGCCAACATTCTCACCGTCTCCGCCTATGCCGGCGTGCGCAACCGTCTCGAGTGCCGAACCTGCCCCTTTGAGCACGCCATCACCGAGCCGATCTACTCCCGCCGCGACTTTGAGCGCAAGGAGCGCGAGGACGTCTTTGGCGGACCGGGCGAGTGGGACAATGCCGACAAGGCGCGCGCCCAGTGCCCCAAGGACGGCTGCAATGGCGAGGAGGCCGCCTTCTTCCAGGTCCAGATTCGTAGTGCCGATGAGCCTATGACTACGTTCTACAAGGTATGCATTTTTGCCGTGGTCTCTTATCGAAAGGGCAGAATGCTGACTGGGTGTGTTTGCAGTGCATGTCGTGCGGAAACAGATGGAGAGAGAACTGATGCTGGACGAGAGGGAGGTTTTTGATATTTTTCACTGGGCATTGCGAGGCGTTGGGGACGATGTATGGATTTATTCTTGTTTAGTCTGCCATACGCAAGTCGCTACAAGTGCGTCTCTGTGTTTTGTAAAACTGTTCAGACGCAGCCTTTCCTACTAGTGTTTATCCGCGACTTGCTTGATCACACGACTTACACTTCCCTCTGGCCCTCCCCTATCCTAGTCGTGAAATTCGTGATATGTCTGTTGCCATGCTGCTCAACGGCCGCGCGCGTCTTTCCGCCTCACCTCGCCTCATACCGCGAACGGTCCTTAGCTCCTCGATCCCATGGTCTCTAATCCTGGCCGTATGCTCGCGGCACATCTCGCGGGCACCCAAGGCTTGTCGTTCCAGTACGCGAAGAGAACAGGAACCAATCGCGTGGCTGTCAATTGCATGCCCTCATGTTCCTCCCATCATCGAAAGGCGCATCCCATCCAAAGTCTCCCAAAGCTCTCATGCATCACTCCGATGCCAGTCGACCGCGGCCCGCATCCCATCGTCCATCAGCCTCTGCACGAGATCGGGGCTGATGACGTCCTGCCGGAACTGCTCCTGCTGCAGGAGCTCGAGGTGCTTGAGCGTCGGGCCGGGGTACATGAGGTACTTTAAGTACGGCGGGCGGGTCCAGTACTGCAGGTAGGCGAGGTAGGCGACAAAGTCGGGGCGGGTGAGGAGTTTCTGGGTCGCGAGGTGGTTCAGGTAGAGGGGGTTCGCGAGGGATTGGACGAACTGCGCGCGCGAGGACGTTAGCGGAGGGGATCTCTCTTCCCATGATTGACTTCGTCGGTGTGTGTTCCATGTCGATGCGATGGGGGAGTAGAGTGCGCGTGCGGCCGGGTGCCTTTGGGAGACGAAGGAAGTGTGTTCATGCATACCTCGAGTTCGATTTCGAATCGCGTGTAGCCGCCGTAGACTGGTTCATTGTCGGGCGGAGGGGGCGGTTGATCTGGTACTGTCGTCGCCATTGTCGCAATCGGTGGTGTGTGGGTGGGATGCGATTGTGAAGTTCGGGGCATCGAGTGCAGGGTACCTAGATTGAAGTCGATGAACGGAAGTGGAGACTGAATCTGAAGCTTGGACAGGGGTCCACCAGCTCCTCCAACGGCTGATGGGGAGTGACAGAGCTTGCATACATCCAAGTCAACTCAAAATCTTTGGGAGCGAAGCCTGAACAGCATTTGATACAAGACGCTCTCAAGAAGATGACCATGTTTCTCCACAAAGAACAGCAAGATGAATAAGGCCGAATGGTAAGGTAGTTTTCTCAGGCCGCCAAGACATGCTGCCAACAGAGGCAGAGTGGGCCGCCTTATCACGCTTGGTTCCATGAGATCATGTGCCTCATCATCGATCCATCTAGGTTCGTGTATCCGGGTGCCATAGCTTGGCTTAGCTTGTGCGTTTCTCTCTTCTGCGAGAGATCTTGAGCCGCCCAGAGTTGTGGCAGTTCTCAGTGGTGAGATGGTGTGAGGAAGGCTGGATTGGTCCAGGTCAAGATACGTAACCACTGCACACATTCTTTCCCACCGAGCAACGCCTTCATCATGTTCTACGTGGTTCGCTGCTTGCGGGTGTCAGTAAAATACTATACAGACTGACGGTCCCATCTCATATTACCGTAAACCTAAAAAAGGGCATTTGTCTCATCGGGCTTCTTCAGCGGTATATCATTCAGTGAATATACTCTAGGCGAAATCCGCGGATTCCCCGGCTTCCCGCGTGCTGCTAGAAGCCTATCAGGGGAGAGAGACCGTCCATCGCATCTTGGCGACGCCAGTTTCTCACACGGTACCAATGCTCTTTTTCTCCCGCGTGGCCACCCTCATCAACACCGCAAGAGAAGTCGACCTCTTGGTTAAGGACATCCTGAAAGAGGACCCTCTGGAAAAGGTCATGATATAATAGTAACATAAGGCTCATTCGAGCCAACGGAGAACATAAGCGAATTTGATATTGTACACAAGCCGGCGGCTTGCTAGACTCATCGGCTCGTTAGCGGCAATGTCAATGACACGACAGCAGAGGCATGGATTGTGTTCCTCAAGAAAGAGTGAGAGTCCTCAAACACTCTCAGCACCTCCACCTACCTCAAGGACTCTCCATATAATCAACGCAGAGATGCTACTATACGATTTATGCCGAACTTAGGTAGCGTCGTTAGGTTGACAGACCTGTGTCTACTGGTCTTCTCACCCATGCCCGGTGCACTCAGTAGAGTAGCCTCGCGCGCAACATACATCCGTTCATATGTACTAGACTCATTCCTAGGTGATAGAAACTGCAAACCCTTCTCATTCTTGCACGAGACTAGGGCTGTTGATAGATTGTGAAAGAGAAGTGGGCTCTAATACATAAGTAGGGGTCGTGCTATGCGGCATGGAAGACCTCCTCATGTCGTCAAGTAGGATAAGCACCAAAGGACCTTGTAATAAATACCATAGACCAACTAGTGGATTCACAAGAATACAATTGGATTTTTGAGCGTGGGTTTTCCACTCTAAACTCTTTTCGAGACACCTTGGAGCCTGTGGGAATCAAATCGTAGGAGCCGTCCAAGTGATCCGAAATCTGCTTCACGTCTATCGAACGCATCATACTCATCTGAGAGGCGAACAAATGGGCCTCGTGAATACTTAAGGAGGTCACTCAGGCAAGTGAGTACGTAAAAGATGCCTCCTCTGCCTCACCACTGCTGTCGCCCTCGATGAATACACGAGGTAATTTAGCAATAGAAGCTCAGACTCTACAAAAAGAAAAGGCATGGGAGGAGAAATATTGACCTTATAATTCACGCCCCTGCCCGGAATCAAACAGCGCGCCCCTCAGTCAACCCGAACTCTGACTTCATAGGAGTATTTGTTTATTCAACCACTCGACTCCCTCGCACACGGCTTGACCTGACCTCGCCGACCTAGACAGGCGCTGGTGAGCTGGTAATAGCAATATTGAGTAGACCCCTTAAGCACCTCCAGGGAAGGAGAGCCGAGGCGATGGGAAGGAGCGATATAGGTATTACCCGTGTGGTTGAATGGGAAACCTGAGGCTGAGCGTCGATCTCATATGTGTGTGTGTGATGGTATTATTCAGACCACCTGATGCAGAATCGAAACTGACCACCTCGAATCGGCTACTTCTTATCAAAGCTGTTTTTTCCCATCTACGACGGGAGTTGTGTGCTGTGGGAGCGGTTAATTGCCTTTAGCTCCAAACATACGTTTCCCTAGTAAACCCTCTTGTTCCCCTCCTCTTTACCTCTCTTAAGACTCAAATACCAATCAAGAAGATATGAAAATTTGTGCGCATAAACTTAATCCTACCTTCAACTCTATATGACCTCACGCGCTTTCTAAAGGTACGCCACTTCCATTTGTCATGATTGGGCGGATTCAATTCATTCGTTTGATAGTTTGAAGTTAGGAATATGTTTTCCATATGGGAAGAATTGTTTAATAGCTCAAAATCCGCCTCTTATAGATGCTCAGAGCAATTTTATCCAATCTACTATCAACAATAAGCGGAGCTATAGTACCGTTTTCTGGACCCTATCCTAGTGCCTAGGTCTTAGTACGCGGCATACGACTGTGTTCGTTGCTCAGGTTGCTCCTGAAGACAGGTCGCAGAAGCTTTATTGTCCCGAAGCTAGTCGGATGGCTTTAGCCCGGTGACGAAGCCCCACTAAATAAAGACATTTCTCCACTGAAAAGTTGGGGATCAGCGCCGGGAGGCAGAAGCTTCAACCAGGGGGAAATTTCGCGACCGGGACTCGTCAACCTGACGCAAACGCCAGCGCTGCACAAGAATCGCCAACTTTTCTTTTGCCCTTCCCAAAACCACCTCCTGGGCCCAGCGGCAAAAAAAACCCAAAGATACCCTCAATCATGACCTCGAAACGCAGCTACGAAGCCTCCGAGGGCAACGACGGCGCGCAGCAGCCCGCATCCAAACGCAACAAGAACAACAAGGCGCGCGACCACCAAAACGCTCACATCGACCCGACGTGGGGACAGAAATACGTCTTCTCGTCCGCCGCTGGCTCGACGACGGTGCCTGTGGACCCGGAGTTGGATTTTGAGGATGACGGAGATGCCATGGCGTATCTCAAGTCGGTTAGGTAAGAAGCGCCCCCCTTTCCCCTGTCCACTAAGCTGTGTCTTCCCTTGTGCTGAACTGGTCTTTGAAGTAGCGCGGGTTGATGCTGATGTGGTGAGTATTGTAGGACACAAGCAAACGGTATACCGCACCTCCTCGTCGCGCCGAAGGTTCCGATCGGCCCGCAACTACCCAAAGAACTCCAGTACGATGACGGTGACGGGGATGATGCGTACGAAGAGGAGGAGCGCGATCGCGACATCTACACCACAGGCGAGGGCGACTTCAGGGGATATTACGCCGACGGCGCCTACACAGCAAGACCAGACAACTGGGGCAAACCTTCCACAGCCGGCCATGACGACGAGGTAGAAGAAGGCGAGTGGCCCGGCAACCAAGGCGTTGACGACGCCGAAGATCATTACTCAGACGCCGGCGCCGACTCCGATTCCGCCATCCGCGAAGCCTACTTCGCCGCCATCCTCACCCGCTTCAAACGCCTCCGCAAACTCCTCCACGCCACACCGCCCCCCTCCGCCGTCGCCGCCCTCCACCCGGGATCCCCCCACGACTTCCGCGTCGGCGCCTTCGCGCCCAAATCGGCAACCTACACAACCTGGTCCAACCGCCTCCGCGACGCGGACCCTCTCCCGGCACAACTCGCCTCCATGGACAAAGAAGGCGTCCTGCGCGTGCTCCGCGTCTTGTTGGGTGGCGGCGCGTTCCTCCGGCGCGGGAGCGAGATGAGGGAGCGCACGAGCCGGTGGCTGTGGGCGCTGCTTGCGCGGCTACCGGAGCGCGGGGAGATGAATCACGTCGAGGTCGGGTGGGTGAGGGATCTGGGGAGGCGGGCGGTGCTGATGATGCAGAGTCTGGCGGATATGGCGGCCTTGCGGGACGCGTTGGAGGGAGAGGGGATGGATTTGGGGGTGAATGATGCTGTTGATGAGAGTTCCGATGATGAGGATGCGTTGAGGGAGATGGAGGTTGATGAGAGGGATGGGGAGGGGAGTGGAGAGACGTCTGGGGCGGAAACGTCGGGTGAAAAGGTTGATGGCCAGGTTGAGGGATCGAAGGACCCTGTCGGCGACGGCGAGGTCGAGGACGGAGAAATCGACGACGACCAAAAGTCAGAGCCCATGGACGTCTCCGAAGACGGCGAGATAGACGAAGGCGAGGTCGTGGAAGAAGAGCCGGCACCGGCCGAAACGCTCGAGGAAGCACGCGCTCGACTCCTCGCCCAGATAGACACTGCGGCGGCCGTCGAGGATGCGCCGTCAGAGGCACCGTCAGAGGAACCTATCGCGGAGGAGGCTGTCCAAAACGACGACGACGACGAGGTATCCGACCAGCTGCGGGCGCGGATGAACATGCGGGCTACGCTCAACATGATTCTGACCGTTGCCGGTGAGTTTTACGGGCAGCGCGATTTGCTCGAGTTTCGGGATCCTTTTACAGGTATGTGAGTAAGTTGAAGCATCGACTCTGAGCAAGGTATGGCAAAGGACAGAGAGGACTCCAAGGGGATCTCCGATCAAAAAAGTACTCAAATTTGCGGGCCCGCGAGGGCTCCTGGGTAACGTGCTAGCCTATGATACCAATACAATCAAAACACAATGGCGCAGACCATTAGCCTTAGAAAGAGGCGTAATACAAATCTAACTATTCATACCGCTCACGAGGCAAGATTTGTTGTCTCTTGCTCGCGGTTCCTCCAATCACCCTACCGAACAAATGTCCTCAAAGCAGCTCTTGCCGAGTACAAGTGAAACAGAAACGCGCTCCGTGATTCTCTGCGACCTTTGGAAAGAAACTCCAGGCGCCCACCTCTGTACCGTTCCGGTACTCAAACAATATCATAGCACGAATACTTCACTCCCCTTCCAAACGTCCGACAAGAGGACGGCCTTCCTTTACGCATCGCTCATATCAGTGTCAGGTGTGACGAGGAAATCCGCTTCCTCGAAATCATCCACGACAACATTCTCCTGCCCCAGTCTAGTCTTCATACTACGACGGCTCTTCCTCGGAACAGCCAGCGGACGAGCGTTCGCCCACCCAGACGGTGCCAGGCTCCGTGGGCTCACCTCGCCCTCCAACCACGCCGCGCGGTCCGCCCACATCTGCACCGGCTCGTCGCTCTCCTCGTCGTGGGCGAAGAAGCGCTTCTTGCTCCGTCCGTCGCTGGCCGTGCTCTCGACGCTTTCCACGCTCTCTTGGGAGCTGCACAGACCCGGCATATCGTCCAGCCCGGGCACGCTGCCGTCGTCGAGTTCGTAGTCGTCCTCGTCGCTGGAGTGGTGTACCGGCTGGCTGGAGAGGCCTCCGACCTTGTTGATGCCGCAGAAGGGCAGGAGTTCGCGCTGAGAGGCGGCGCTGCGGGTACGGTTGGTAGAGGTGGTTGACCGGACGACGGGGGTGAGGCGGTCCGTGGCGTCGGTCCATAGCTTGAAGCTACTGTAGGAGCCCGTCTTGTAACCCTCCGGCACGGACTTGCGGACGCGCATGCCAACGGAGAGGAGGTTGGATTGTATGTCCGAGGGGATTGCTTCTTGGACGTTGGGCGAGGGGCCGGCTGGGGGAGGAGCTGGGCCGGATCGGGTGCTGAAGAAGGAGGTGATTTGGCGTTGCGAGGGGTCGCTTGATGCGCCAGCGAAGAGACGTTTCGTTCTCGGGGCCGACATGGTTGTGATGTGATTGGGAAAGTCGAGGACCTAGGTGAAGTTCACACAGTCGGCCTTTAGAAAACTAGTCGAAATTGACGTTGAGGAAGAAGCGAGGCTCGTCGTGAAGGCTGTGGTCCAAGCGTTGACTTCTTCTTGGTCGGCGTAGGAAAAAGTATCGTGGGATGCGGCAGTTCGCTAGTGTAGAGTGGAGAGTTTCAATTCGTCGCCGAAAAAAAAAGTCGGAGGAGATGGTAACCGTAGAAACGATCGCAAGCGAGGAATGACGTACAGAAGCGAGAGGAGATGTCGTAGAAGAAAGATGGGCGGGGAGGAGGGGAGAAAGAAGAGGTTGGGAAGATGATGGGAGATTAAGTTGATACGAGAAGAAGGGGGAAGGAAGGGGTGGTGGTGGGGGATACCTAATGACGGACCTGGACCGCTGGGTCGGGCGGTTTTCCAAGGTTGCGAGAAACGCGCAGCCCAGAGTGGCAGAGAAACGGAGGGACAGCGCATGGGACATCCGACGATCCGCGGCAGCTGGGTGATTAGGTGAGAGAAAGCGCGTCTGGGCGTGTTTTTTCGCGAGACTCGCGCGGCCAGAACCCACTAATAACCACTTTAGCTGAGCTGGTGGGGGGCCATGTGCCCTGAAACTGACATTCACCGGCGGATGATTGGCGCCCCTGCGTTACCATCGCCCCCTTCCTTGGTCGGGGCGGGTTTCTCTCACCCAAGTTTGCTGCTCCACGGGCCAACTCATGCCTCAATGAACGGGAGTCCGTTTGACAACGGTCGACACGGCCTCTTCAGAATCGGCCGAGAGAGCACAGGAGGCGGACTCCTATCTCATCCGTGTTTTGTGTTATATCTAGTTTTTGAACAATGCTTCCTATTATGATTGTTTCTTCCTTCTATTCTTCCTCTCTTTCGCCACCCTTGTAGGTTAAGTGTCTGTGGCAATGAAGGTCGTGTCATCTAGCATGCCATCGCAGCAAGGTGACGCATTTGATAGGCGATCATCCTTAGGAACGGCCTTGATGTGCGCCTCCATTGTCCAATTGAGGTAACTGAACACACAAACAGGGCAGCATGCAGGCCGTGAGGAGAAGCTCTAGCGGTGTAACAGCAAAAGCATTGTCTACCTAGAGCATGGCTCAACTCATACCTATCCTTGGTCTCATAGCTTCAACGTTTCCTTTGGCAGCTGTTTCGTTTAACAGAGAGATAACTGCCAAAGCATCCGTGGTCCTTATCAACTCCAAGTCCCGGCAGCAAGCTCTCCAAATTAGTGAGGGCTGCCACTTACACTGGTACTAGGTTGCGGAGAGCAGCGTTACGCAAAGTTTAGACATTCTCAGTGGCCCAGCCATTTGGAGAGCCACGGAGAGGCCGATGTGAGGTGAAACAAATCTTATGGTCGAGACACACGAGCCCGCCCTCACACGGCCATGCATCTTCACCAGCAACTTCAACGTTCAAATAGAGTGGACATCGAGTGGGGGTCGTCGCAGATTCGTCAAGGTACACGCGAGCACGTCACTACCACATCCAAAGACACATCACAGGATCACGAAAAAACACATTTTCAGGGGTCGACCGGGGCGTTTGTGGAAACCATTGAATTTCGCAAGCAGTGCTGATTCCTCCGAAACTCACTGCACTCCGGGTATGAAGCGATCATCAACCAGCGGTTCCACGTCCTCACGTCTAGGTCATCCCGTGGACCACCCAAACGCTCATGTGAAAAGCCATTTCCAGCTGTCCACCCCCCATGCAGAGAGACGACATAAAAACTCCCATTTGTCGTGTACTGACTGAAGAAACGCAACGCATCAAAAAGAGACGGGCGTCGGAACGAGACAGAATGAGGGAGTGTTTGGTGAGCGATTGGTTGCCTTTTTGTTTACTTGTTTGTCGGCCGCGTGAGGAAAGAGAAGAAAACTGAGGAAAAAGATGCCTCGATTGGTGATGCAAAGGATATCCGGAGACCCCAAACGCCCCTGTGTTTTTTGGTCAAGAGATTTTTTTGGAAGCTCCATCTTCTATCCGCAAAGGTGTCTGATTATGTTCTGTTCGAAGACAGCAGACTCTAAGAGCCCGTGCCAGGGTTGTCTATACGCCCATGCCCAGGTCGCTTGCTTTTGCAGATCCGAGATGTCCCACCAGTGATGAACCGTCCAAGTCGTTAATACCCAAGGGCTAAAAGAAAACCGTCGAGGCGAACAGTTTACTTTCTGCGGAAAGAGCAGCCCTCAGTGAGTCTCGCCTTACCACCGGTAGGCTGGCAGAGGACGGTGGTGCATCCCTGGCAGATGACGACGGTCTGGGCGTGGGAGAAGACGGTGGTGATGGTGAAGCAACCGGGGCACTTGACGTCCATGAAGAAGGAGCGGGGCGCGGGCACAAGGGTCTGTCCAATGTGTGAGTATCATCATGTCTGTCACCATGTATTCGTGGTGTGGAGGGGTAGGGTAAGGTGAGGCAAGGTAAAGATGTCGTGAGGGCATCGTGGGTGTATTGTACCTTGAGCTTGTGCTTGCGGGCCTCGGCGGCCGGGGAGGGGTTGAGGAGATCAACGGCGAGAACCTGGGGGAGAAGCCATCAGCATGATGGTTCCTTCATCAAATGTCGCATGCGCAATCGTCGTGTCCTTCCTCCACAGCCCAGCCGTAACCATCTTTTCCTCCTCTTGCCATGATATTTTTTTTTTCGCCACTCGCGTGTTCCCAATGCGGTCGGTTTGTTCGGGTTTCGTTTCGTCGTGGAAGAAGACAACATCACACGAGTGATGCCAGGCATAAAATGCCAAAGCAGCAGGAGGGCCTTACCATCTTGACTGATCTGATCGAGGATTGATTGATCGGTTATCGGATGCGAGTGCTGTCGGGCTTGACGGGAATCTGGTGGTGTTGAGAGAGCAGATTGTAGCACTCGCAAAAGAACGGTGATGATGGGGTGGTGGAATTGTGAGCCAGAGAGGGGACCCGTCCGCCAAAAATCCTCTCTCCGAGGACCCACATAAAAAATTTAGGGGAGGACAGTGTGCCGAGGAGGGCTGGATCACGGGACTTGACGCCTACACTTCAGCCCCGCCTGTGATTGGCCGTAGACATCATGCCCCGACGGTCTTACCTAATGCAAGTGCACTCGCAAACAGCTTGGTGAGGGCGGGGTGCCGGTGCTGGCCTGCCCGAGTCGCTGGTCACCTTTGAGCCGCTTCCATGTTCCATGTCCTTCTTTCCAGGCAGTTGGGTACTTAGGCATCTGCGACATTAACCTGCAACCTGAAGTCACTACCCATATCACTCGGTCGCGACAACCAAAGTTCTGCCTTCAGCCATCCGATTTTCGACACTTACACCTTTCCCATTTTACTGCGCTCACGCTTGTCGCATACTAAACACCGTCACAATGGCAGCGCCGATGGACCAGAGGATACAAGTACCGATCGATGATCCCAATGCAGACACCGAGTGGTATGTTATTTTGCGACAGCTACTCGGCGACTCCTGACACGTGCTGCCAGGAACGACATTCTCCGGAAACATGGCGTCATCCCAGAGAAGCCGCCCAGCCCGACTCCTATGATCGAAGAAGCCATCGCGGAAGGTCGCAGGTTAGCGCATGAGAACCGACTTGAAGGCAAGGATCTCGACGAGCTTGACGAGCTGGAGGATGACGAAGATGAGGCATTCCTGGAGCAATACCGTCAGCGCAGAATGCAGGAGCTCAACGAGCTTACCAAGAAGGCTCTCCACGGCACCGTGTATCCGATTTCGAAACCCGAATACTCGCGCGAAGTCACAGAAGCGTCCAACAACGGCCCTGTCTTTGTCAACCTGACGTCATCGCTGGGCACAAACGTCGAGTCGCGGGTGCTATCAGAGCTTTGGAAGCAGGCAGCGCAGGAATACGGAGAGGTCAAATTCTGTGAAATGCGCGCGGATAAGGCCATCGAGAACTACCCCGAACGGAACTGCCCGACGATCTTGGTCTACAAGAACGGCGACATTGCCAAACAGGTCGTAACACTTGTCCAGATGGGAGGCGTCAAGATCAACATGCTTCAACTTGATAACCTGCTGGTCGAGGTCGGCGCTGTACCTGAGACGGATATGCGTGTGGCCAAGCGCCGGAGGCAAGCAGAGGACGAAGAGGAGGAGAGGGCGATGGGTAAAGGCATCCGACAAGGAAACGTGTCAAAGTCCAAAGGACATGACAGCGACGATGACGACTGGGACTGAGAGATGTCCTCGGGTTATCAGTGCGAATGCGCCGTGATGTGTGGTAATACCCCGGGTGAGATGGATGGGACGAAATTGGTACCTCGATCATCCGCAGGCTTTACGGCATGCGCAGCTTGACTCACTATGAGTTCTGCGTCGCCACGTTTACCAAGTCATGGAACTTATTGGCCTCGTCTGTACCTTTCGCATGCACTGAGGTATTATGCTCTTCAGAATGAGGACTTGCCTCAATAAAGATGGTCAGGCCATACGCCAATGGAGAAACTGACGATTACCAAGAACTCAAACTTGATCACTATACGACCTAGGAAGCCTTCAGGTGAAAGTGAAAAGTAATGCAAAACGAGGGAGAGTGTCTTGGGCAGCTGGTGCTGAAATGTCACCATTTGACGAGGGGCTAATCTTGGTTCCTGGATTTCATGCATCTGATGCCCCGCGTGTTACCGCTGCGGAGACCCTGAAGGCTGAAGATAACGGCTATCGATTGGCCTGTGCATGGGTGGGGTCCAGGGTGTTCCTGACCCCGGGTCAAGGTAGGCTAGCCCGCTTTAGGGTAAGGCCTTCTAAGTTTGGGGAAGGCCAGGAGGCAAGTGTTGGTCGCGTCAAGACGTAAACAATGCCTTTTTCATGACTACTTGAGAGACAGGAAAAGTTGATAACTCCGAGGTCTTTCGAGCTTGCACTTTGACAGCTTCTGGAACTCAGTACAGGGGTGTTCGGAGCTATCTTCGGAGATCGTGTGAGCGGAAAACCCCTGTGGGACTTGACCCTGGCCGAACGCGTTCGAGCCCCCACCTGCGTCACGACACGCGCTGTCTCACTCGCGGGCGAGGGTCGTGGTGGCGGGCCTCGGACGGGAGCTTCCCAATCTCTTGGTGCCGGCTGGATCTCGCACACACTTCAGACTCGTCTCTCTTACATCTCCTTTCCAATCTTCGCCATGGCCGACGAACCCAGTCTTCCCAGCTTGTTGCCGTCCATCTCATGGAACGCCCAGACCCAAAGTTTTAGCAATAATCCGAGAAAGCGAAGGTACAACTTTAAAAGCCACTCTGTCGCGCCGCCGTCATGGTCCAACTCTAGTGACCCTGCCGTCTTTTCCAGCGACGACGACCCAGGTCTGGACAACTATGTCGAGGGACGGCGAAAGAAGAAGAAGTATGTAGGCTCTTGGTTCCACCAGCAGCCTGCATCCTCTGATTCTGCCACTGGGGAGCCGCGGCCAGCGCTGAGGGGCAAGCGAACCTTGAAGCGCGACCTGGACAGTGGTGTCTGGATGGGCAGCGACAGCACCGATGGCGACGAGAGCGTGATGATGATGCCTGATCTGCCGACGCAGTGCAAGCTACCTCAGCTCGACCGGGTAATGGCTCGGCGGCGCAACGTCATCTCGGCCGAGGAACTGGAGGCGCGGGAGAGGGTACAGCAATGTCTGGACTCTGGAACCGAGTACATTGATCTATCGTGAGTGTGTCATCCAACTGCAGGGACCTAAGTAGATCTGACTGTAAATAGCATGATGGGACTGAAGACTCTCACCGATGCCACCATTCGCCCTCTGTCCGAATTTTCCTGCATTCCCGTTGTTGCCGAAGGAGTACCGTTTGAGCAGAAGGATCCCGCTTTGCAGCTGTATCTGTACCGCAACCCTCTGCAGCGGCTTCCCGGGGCCATCTTCGACCTGGAGCACCTGACAGTGCTTTCGCTCCGTGGATGCCGACTACGGGAGTTGCCCCCTGCGATTGGCAAGATGCGGAGTCTTCGCACCCTGAACCTCGCCCAGAATTTGCTTAGATACCTCCCGGCCGAACTTCTGGATCTCATGGCAGCTCCCTCCGCCTTGGAAGAGTTGCTTCTACAGGGCAACCACTTCTTCCAGGCGGCTGAGCGACCTACGCTGGCTAATTTGGAAAGTCTTGAGAGCGACGCTTCGGTAGGCTCGGAGCTGACCGAGGCGTGGAAACCTGGCTTCGACGGTGTTGCGGGCAAGTTCTTTGTGCGATCGCCGGTCCACTACCTCGATAGCTCGGGCTTCTCGCACTCCGACTTCCGTCTTGACCCTGAGGGAGTGATCGTGCAGACGGAGCGGCTGGACGACGGTGGTGACAGCACTTCACTCATATCCCCACCGTCATCGGCACCCTACCACTCCAAGTCCGCTGGAAGAAGCGTTCCAAGTGCAAAGGGTAGTCGCGTTCCTAGTCTGATGGAACTGGCTTTGCGCAGCGCTTACAAAAGCTCCGACCTCAGCGACCTGCCCGACTACATCCCCGATTCGCTGCCTCACTTGCAAGCCCTACTCGAGCGTGCTGCCGACCAACGTGAAGTTGGCGGGCTTACCTGCTCTGCGTGCAAGAAGCCCTTCGTGGCCCCCACAACGCAGTGGCTAGAGTGGTGGCAGGTTTGCCTCGTTGAGAGCAGGCAAACCCAAGAAGGCCACGTCGTCAAGGCTCGTCCCTGGACGGACTTGGATGAAGAGAACGAGGGGGCTGTTCCGTTCTTGAGGAGAGGGTGCTCGTGGAAATGTGGCCCTGCCAATTTGAAGGAGGGACAGTGGACGATTGCTCCTGCGAGCAAGGCAGAGTGAGGGTTGGGAAATCAAAAATTGTTTCAGGGCATCTGTTACATGGCGCTTGTTATTGGCACGGAGTTGGAGGCAGACTTATTTTGTGTTTTTTTATTCAGGTTTCAGGTTGTGTTGTTCGATATCCAGTTTTCTTAGCTGAAGCTCGTTCCAACCCCTTTGCATATCGTCCCCTTGTTATACCATTCCACCGCAGGCAAGATCTCAGACGCCACCCATCTCGCCGTCTGAGCATGCAAGCTGCCGTATCCGAATGGCTTATCCGTCTTATCCTTCCTCATTCTCTCCCCTAGATCCAACTCCGCCATATCTTGACTCGCAACCTCCAGGTCATCGCCACTACCGCTGCTCGGCGCAGCAGCATGTGGGAACGACGTTGTCCCTTCCGCCAAAGCCTGGAAGATGATGAGCTGATCCTGTAAGTGCTTGTCCACTGTCGACCCAGGTATCAGAAGCTCATTGACCAGTTTGAATACGACCCTGCGGCTGAGCTCCACCACGCAAGCCAAGCTCACAGGCGCAGGTCCATGTTTACCCTGCCTGTGCGAAGCCACAGATACGTAATCGTCGCTGCCCCAACTTAACGACCCGGAGGCGTCGCGGGCTACGAGTAGGGCGTATACCTGCTTCTCGCTGTGTGAGTCCTCAAAGTACTTGAAGTTGATCTCTGCGTCAGGGAAGGTGAGGGTGATGTCTTTTGTTAGTGTCTCTTGCAGGGGAGTTTCCGTGTGAGAGGGAACTATCATGGTGACGTCTATGCGGTGTACTACATTGCGAAGGTCTGAGGGCGTGCCTTTGTATGGATTTCCTGGGGGCGAGACCTGACGCAACGGCTGGCCTGGTTTTAGGGGGTGAATCGTGAGCGCGATGGAGCCCCGGGTCTGGGGTCCGCGACTCCACCCACGCTTCAACACGTTCCGGTCGACGCGTACGCCCTCGAACGAAGATTCCAGGCGTGGGAGGAGAACTTGGTCGAGGTACTCGTACGAGAGCGAGAAGTCTACGTTCGTCCCGCCCTGAACTTCGAGCTCGGTTGGTTTAGCTTCGTCTCCGCCTGCGAAGAGAAGGAATGGGAGGATGGCCTGGAGAATCAGGAGTGTGCTCGCCGCGCTCGTGTCCGCCACGATCTTGATCTTGCGGGACTTGTTGACTAGAGCGGCGGAGGGCGGGAGACGGGGGATGAAGGTCAGGGTGCTGCTGCCTACGGAGAGGCCTTCTACCTCTGCGTCTGTTGCTTCTGCTAGCCACCGGATTGCGGTGACGTGTTGGGCTTTGAGACCTGTGTTTTGTTGTTGTTAGTCTACGAGGTTATTGAGACGGGCTGTGTATAAGTGAACGCGTGGTGCTCACCGCCTCCTTTGCTACTACTGCTGCCGCCTTTCTTACTCCTCCCACTACCACCTCCGCCACGCGAAGGACGATTCCCTCTTACGTTTGTGATGCGCACTGGTTGGGTAGTGACTGCTGCGAGGGCTATGGCGACGCGGACTAATTGACCGCCTCCTTCGCCGGTCCGCCCGTCAATTTCGATGGGCTTGCGGGACATGGTTTCTCTTGATTCGGATTGATTGAGTATGTTGTATAATGGGGATACTTGAAACCTTGGTTCACGGGGGTAAGCGGTGCTAGGTAGTGATTGGGCGCAAGTCCGAAACCTAACGGAATGTCCGTCTTACGTATAGTGAAGTTGCCGGCGCAGGTGAGAATTGGCTGCTTTAGTTGCTGAAGAGGGATGTTTTCAATGAGCTTTTAGGAGAAAGACATTGAAGTCCCCGGATAAATAAGGTATATTCAGCTTTGAGTTCGGACGCCATTTTGACTCATACGCCGAGTGTTGGTTAGGTCCCTCGTATTACTCGTGCGGCTAACTACTACCAAAAGATCCGTTGCGGATGAGTAACTAGGCATCAGTATAATGATCTTAGTGATCCAAATCCTTCGTGTGTTGGAAAGGACGTAGACTCATTTCGTATTCCTCTGAATACTGCGCCCCCAGGATGGCATGCTCACCGTCTAAAGGCAACGCTCGCGTGCTCATGGCCAGGTACAAAAGCAGACCGAGTTCCTATTTCTGCCACAATGCCATGCAGTCTAACATTTGTCTTCTACTGCCTTTCAGTACCAACTGTTTGGTGCATTTTTTCCCTTTCCTAGCGTTTGCTCCTTCCTAGTGGTGTGATGCATTGGCACCTGCCGCAAACAGAAGATCCGGAAGTCTAAGTTTCGGCGAGACCCGCCAAAATCGGCGCCGCTTTGACCTTACCGGAGATCATTTCAACCTCGTATCTTCCCTTCCACCTTGAGGCCTCCATGAAGGGACTTGTTGATGTCGCCATCTTCGCCTACGAATGCCAGCGAGATAATGCGCGATGCTCTCCCCATGAGGCAACTTTTCTGCACAGCATTGCTTTGCCCCGGCGCACAACGGAGATCATTTCTGCAGAGACAGGGGTCCTTCTATGACAGAGGGACCAATCACCACCGCGATGATGAACAAAGTTCACTGCACTCAGGGTTCAACCAACAGCCGGCGGCGCCGGTAATAGGGCGCAACTGAGACCCGTGGACCGCTGTGAAGGCCGAGGCCCCGGAGTTGTCTGCCGCCGCCACGGCACAGCCTCAGCCCCCCTCAGCTGTAGCACCTCGCATCCCAATGCCGCCGCCGCCGAGTCATGCCGAGGACGACGTCGACCATTCGAGTTGTCGAGCTGAAGAGTGGAGGCAAAATTTCTTGAGATAGAGGCGAAAACCGCGAATGATTTGGAAGAGGGCGGACAGCCATTTTTATAAGTTGCGAATTCCTTGCTGTCTGCCTAGGCTCAGTCAGCCTATGATTCGATCAGAGAAGTCGACCAGCGAAACATCTCAGGACAGCCCACTTACATTCAACCAGTGATGTTCGAAGCAGCCAAGCAAAACAGGAACAACGACACGCCTTAGACTTTAACGTGGCATGGAGCCGCAGAATGCGCCGCTTGTTTGAGTCATTCTTTTGACTACATACCATGGAGTCATGAGAGTATAAAGATCCGACCCGCCTCACATATGGACGATGTCCTGGACGCTTTGCAGTATTGTGAAGTAAGATATGCTTAACAAGTCTATTTGTATTGAATGATTAACCCAAAGTCGGAAGCAAACGATGTCGATGAATAGCAAAGCAAGGATACGACCTGACAACCCGAATCTCAATGTAAGTCAAACCTATCGAGACATTCGCTTCTATTAGTCCTCTCTTTCCCTTACTCCTTGCCTTCAGAAGCTATAATGCCCCCCAAGAACGAACATCATCTGCGCCGAACTGTCTTTTTTGTTTACTTCTTAGGGGTCCTCGCGAACCACTCTCTGTTCTTAGAAGGTGCAAAATCTATGGCAAAGGAAACGGTCTATCGTCAACACAGCAAGTCATTGACATATCCAACTGAGGCGAGTCTATTTGAGCCGCTACAAGTGTAGCTGGTTTCAAACACGACTGATAAAGAGAGTCAGAAGAGATATGGCAAGTGTCAAACGATGATGCGTACCTAGGCAGGGTTCGGCAAAGAGCCGGCTCTACTTATGACGACGAGACGAAGAGGAATGATGCCTGCTTCCGGAGGCCGATGAACCCCCGCGTCTGTCATCCCTTCTACTTTGGCTTTGGCTTTGGCTCTGGCTCTGGCTTTGGCTTGGAGTGAAGTCGATATCAAGGGTGAGGGCGTATGTGGATGTAGGTTGATACGGCTGGGTCGCTGTCGATGGTTGACCCTGAAATCTGTGGTCGAAGTTGGCGATCTGCTCTTGGTGGTTGATACGATAACCGGAAGGGGGTTGCGTGGTGGCCGGGAGAGTTCGAGCGTATTCAGCACGTTGTTGACGGCTATAAGCCACGTCTGCGTCCCTGACGGGATCGCCGTACTGCATTCCACTATTCCTTCGTTAGAAGAACCCAAGAAGATAAGTCATTGCTGGGATCAACGTACCCTTGGCTCCCTGTTGAGCTATTCCACGAAGGCTGACTCAAGCTATCGGTGTAGACGGGGTACGGCGCTGAGGTCGAGGATGAGGGCTGATGAGCGTATTGTTGCCCGCTGCCCGCTTGTCTAGACACCGGCGCGGTCGCCGGCCAACCGTTGTACTGAGTGGTAACGTAGGGTTGGCCTGGACCATACGGAGATGGAGCCGAGACCGTCGTGGTCTTCCTTGATGACTTGCGACCGGAGTCTGAAGATCTGTGACTCATATTGATGGTGGTTGGATGCGTTTGGATGCTTGAGGAAAGTATTGAGAAAGGCTGTTTGGTGATTGTCTTCTGGGCATCAGCTCAATGTTGGTCTGAAGAAGGACTTTATACAGATGTGTGGACGAAGAGTCACTCGACACCCCAGGCAGCAATAGCACCAGCCGAGTGGCATCCTCAAGCAAGGTGCACACTGGTGGCCGGCGAAGCTTAAGGTAGGTAGACGTTAATCCACTTCCGAACTCCCACTAAGACGCCTCGCAGGACTTTACGTACTGGACATAGCCAGTCCTAGGCTCCGTGCATCCCCTGTCGACGGTCTCCGGCATCCAGGCGATGAATTCGAACCCCCCGCCCCCTGGTCGCAGCGTTTCACTAGCGAACCTGGGTTTGTTGATGCCACAGTTGACTCGTTGAAGGTTCGAGGAGGGATGTATGACCACTGATGGCAAGCAGGGACGAGAGGAGAGGAAGCAGGAGCTTGTTGTCAGAGTGGGGACGAACTTGGGTCGCCTTGGTTCGCAGAGCGGTCCGCCTTACTCTTAGGTAACGCCGCTATGCTGCCGTCGATGCTGTAGAGTCGCCGTTAGCCTTTAGGCAACGAACTCTTGCCGCCAAGGAATACTCGAAGCTCATGATAGAGAAAGAAAAAAAGAGGAAGCGAGACGGTGCCATGCCATGGTCATGAGGCGGAGCACAGGCTGTGTGTGTATGCCCTAAGCTGTTGCGGTGAAGCTTTGCTGCTTCGGTCAACGTCTTTGGCACTGATGCTGACGGACCAGCGCAAGCTAACACTGCCACCTCAGTTTCCCAGACGGCTCACCCTGGGAATGACCAGACGGCCACGTTGGGGGCTAGTCAGCCCAAGAATCAGCCCGGGTGAACAAGCCACCCTTGGGTCCTGTGGCAGAGCCGAAAGTTGAAGATGTCAAGCCGCATTGGAAATGTCAGGGTGGCAAAATGACGAAGAAGGCCTGGAGAAAGGGGGCAGTGGCATCGGTGCTTCTTTATGTTCTGAAATATCCAATATTTGTTGAACTCAGCGTCATCTTACTCACGGAAGCCCACAAGCGGGGTTGCGTTGTTGGAATTCCAGAGAGGTTGGAGTGCGTGACCCAATCTGGAACACGCAGCGAGTACGCCCGCAAAAGCACGGCAGCTCGCCAACCTGCAGAAACATCCCCTCGAGTTCGACCATTCTTCATAACCAACGGGTCTCTTCATCTCAGCAAGAATGCGCCGTTAGACAACGATTGGCAAAACTGTAAGAGTTCAAACATTGATCTCCGAGGCACACAGCTGCTGCACTGAGAACATGGGCGTTTTCCAGCTTCCGCCGAGCTCTCTAACAAGCCGACCGGGAGGGAGTACAGCACTCCCTGGGAAGACACTGAGAGAGCCTGCCTGCGCTTGCATCGAATGCTGACAGCCGACATGGAGCAGGTATGCAGCTGCCCCTCTTTGGGAATCGAGATACATCCTTACTGTGTCACTGAGTCAACCTTGGGTGACGGCGCCGGCTGTGCGCGCAGCATCAGCCACAAGCGCAAAGAATACGAGATCTTGCATTGTCCCATTGCGAAAGGTTGAGACGATGGATAGAAGGGCATTCGACGGTTTATGCCTACGGACACGGAGCACGGGGTGGCAGCCAGCTCTCTCCACATCACCTACGAGCCCCGGGAGCCGTGTGAGACTGGCTGGTTGGAGAAGCCTACGGAGTACGGGGCATGGAGTACGGAACTCGATTCTTCGCAGTGTGGGAGTGGGCGTTCTGCTACCTGGGAATGCTGCGCTGCCCCGCTCACACATTGCTTTTCCCTCTGTGCCCCCCAGCATGCCTTGCAGAAAGACTCGCAGTCACCAGTATCACATCGCACGGGAGGCGTGATCTACCGTCAATCCGGCCTGCGTGAGCAAACAAGTTCGCAGATGAGCTACATCACTGCATTCAGCCATGAAGGTTCTTGCAGAATCCCGCACAGGCGTTCGCAGTTCTCGATCTTTGCTATGGTCATGCTGTAGGTTGGAGGATCCGGTCAATCTCATTGGTTGCGCAAGCGCCGGCGATCATCAATCATCATCATCACCAGCAGCAGCAGCAACCAGCAGCAGCAGGCTATGGTGTCAATTCTCTTTCTGTTAGGATGACAAAGCCTACGTGCAAGTGGGAAAACCATTGAGCTGTGGTACGTGCTAATTGAGCACATCCGTACGCTCAATTCTTAGTCCAACAAGATTTAGGGTAGGTGACACGCTCTGTCCCGACCTGGAGGTCTGGCTTCACCTCGATACCATTAAGCTTCCTTCTTACCCTTGCTCTGGGCAGAATTTTCCATGCAATACTTTTACTTAAGTAAGCGTCAATGAAGGCGTGCCCCATTTGATGCAATGAGCCTCGAAGTCGACACTCAAGTTGTTTGAGCTTGCCGTTCGAACGAGTGGAAAGTGAAAGCTATCGCAGTCCAGGGAAGAAACGACATTGTCGTCAATGGAACGGACTTGAATGTACGATCTGCCTCATGAGAGCGCTGTTCCGTCTGAGTTTTGTTGGCTCTTTGAGCGACATGAATCTCAACAACACAATCAACTGCTCTTCAGCTGCCACCGTTACACAAGCTCACGTTACCTTAAGGTAGGTACGATAATCGCAGGATCTTATCTTTAACCCCACTTACCTAGGTAGGTTATCGTGAAACTCTAAACCACCAAAAGCGCGTCGCGTTGAGCACTTTAACACATCACGCCATGACCAGTGAAAGATTAGCGAAATGAGACCATGGAGCAATCTGTGGACCCAATGGCAAAAGAAGGTATCCACAACGTCCGGGATCTGAGTCGGAAGCTTGAAATCAGTGAAACATAGATAAGGAAAATTTCCGCCTCCTGGCGCAGAGCTACCGACACTGTCATCATCTCATCCACATTAGCTAGCTCTCTTCTTTCCCGTCCCAAAGATACACGTTTTTGCCGTCACAATGTCTTCTACCGCCTTCGTTCAGCGCCCTGCTCCAGCCTTCAAGGCCACCACCGTCTTCCCCGGCGGCGAGTTCAAGGACATTCAGCTGTCCGACTACTTGGGACAATGGTATGTGGATTCACGCCGAACTAGTCGTAGCGAAACGGCGCGTCGAAAATGAGACAACCTAAAGCTAACTCATCAATCTCTTTTTTTCAGGGTCGTCCTCCTCTTCTACCCCCTTGACTTCACCTTCGTCTGCCCGACCGAGATCATCCAGTACAACGACGCGCTGCCTCGCTTCAGCGCCATCAACACCACCGTCCTCGGCGTCTCGACCGACTCCCACTTCTCCCACCTGGCCTGGACCGAGAAGCCCCGCAAGCAGGGCGGCCTCGGCTCCGACCTCCAGCTGCCCCTCGTCGCCGACAAGTCCCACAAGATCTCGCGCGACTACGGCGTCCTGATCGAGGAGGAGGGCGTCGCGCTCCGCGGCCTCTTCATCATCGACCCCAAGGGCATCCTCCGCCAGATCACCGTCAACGACCTGCCCGTCGGCCGCAACGTCGAGGAGACTATCCGCCTTGTTGAGGCTTTCCAGTTCACCGACGAGCACGGTGAGGTCTGCCCCGCCGGATGGATGAACGGCAGCAAGGGTATGAAGGCCGACCCCAAGGGCAGCCTGGAGTACTTCGCTGCTCAGGGCGAGACCAACGGTACCAACGGCCACACCAACGGTAACGGCCAGAAGAGAGCGAGAGTCGAATAAATATCCTTCTGAGTCCAGGAAGGGCGGCGAACAAGGGTACGAGTGTATAGACTATAGATGTAGAAACTAGACTTGTAGAACACTAGAACTGCTATGCCAGATGTAAAAAGTATTACGCTGGTTGAATCAACCTACAGCGTTTCAACCCCAAGCTTCCTGACCGACGTTCGCCGTTTGACGTGATGTCATGTCGGAGATTAATGTAAGCTAAGGTGGTCAGGTCAGGGCCAAGAGAGGGCGTGTGTCGGTCTGGACCCACCAGTGACATCCCAAGTACATATGTCCCAATCAAGAGCAGTGCTCTAAGTAAAGGTTTACACTGGATTGACTAGAATTACAAAAAAGAAGACAGTAATGCTATGCTGCACAGTTGAAATGCACTGATGTGAAGGGAAGAGTTGTACAAACATGAGGAAATCACATCCAAGGTACTATACAAGACTAAGAGAACACCAAGAAGTCTAAAACCCCAAGATTTCCAGAGCAGAAACTGCCGTATCCGCTTGTACACTTTAGCAACGTGGTACTATGTCGATGTCCATCGCCTACTTGCTGTTGTAAAATGGCTTGAGGGTCTCGTCAATCTTTTTCTTGGTGTTACTCCTATGCTTATTCCGAGTCGATCGACCGCCTTCTCGTAGTTCCTCCCGGTGTCTCCGTTCTTTCTCTTGCTTCTTCACATACTTGACAGTCTCCTTTCCTCCGCCTCGAGTAGATGAGGAAGCCGCAGTGAGTTCGTCGTCGTCGGCGTAGTCTCCGTGGAAGCTATGATGAAGTATGAGTAAGTTCCGCATCTTGTATGCCTCAGGGGTGACGATGTTCAATACCTTCCAGCCTCTGCTGTGTTGTCTTCATGCTGATGATAGCTTGGGCGTTGCTCGGCATATTGGGCTTGATGATATTGCTGGGTCGAAGCTTGGTTTACATTTGTGTAGGATGATTCCGTGTAGGGATACCATTGCCCATCGCTTGCTTGGTAATACAGTCGGCCGTCGGTGCCGTATTGGATAGAAGATGACATAGCTGGTTCCTTGAAGATGAAGCAAAAGAGAGCAACAGGTGTAGCAATCGAAGACGAGAACTTGGCAATAAATGATGTAGATATTTGCGTTGAAATGACGATGAGCGAAATAGCGGCTTGTTGTCGTCGGACGACGATGCGTCCCCGTCATATTTATAGTTTGGCCAGTGACACCAAGCTTGATGTGTGCTCGTGGGACCGTGACAACCTTAGGCGTCCTGTCTATCCATGACCAGAATATCTCGAGCCCTCCCGAACGTGGGTCATCGTACTGAGCTTCGACATCGAATCGATAAAACAAGGCCAAGGCCGTTGCCGTGGATGGAGGATAGTGTCGTTTGAAGTTAGGGATAACCCTGGCCCACTGTCGGTGAAGGATGTCGTCAAGCTTTCTCGAACCGAATGTGTCATGAAGGAGCGGCTATCATAGACTAGGTGATAGGTCAGCTTTTGGAAAATGCAAAGTAAAGAGCAACATAGATCACGAGACAGGGGAGGGATACCGGAACATGGGGCCGATCAACAGCTTCGTTTTTAGGTGCACTGGCAGCACTGCCGAGGCAGACTGCTGCGGCCGTTCGACATGGTATCGCTTGCTAGGAGAACCATAGCCCATGACCAAATCACTCTGCTGGAGCAGAGACTGTCTTCCTGTTGCACCAGAGAAGACGAGTGTCTACCGGTCCGCTGACATTTGTGGACCGCCAGGTTGCATGCGCTGCTATGACGCTGGAGGCAGGTCCACAGCCACAGTCAAAACTTGAACGCAGTTCTGTGCCGCAGATGAAGGAGCTGTGTTCGTTGTTGATGCCGGCGCTCTCAAGGGTATAGCAGATTCGGAGAAGAATAACGGCCACTGCCGGGGGTGTTCACTGCAAAAGGACCACTGAGTCCCCTGAGGTCGTGATACCCTCGATGTTGAGCCGTGGCGAAGGATGGAGAGTCGGGGAGGCCGAAGGTGAACCTGGAAAGATGATCTGGCACAAGCTGGGGCCGTTGGGGTCTAATATCTCAGAACAGCAAGGATTCAGTAAGCTCTGCAGCCGAAAACCTGGCTGTCGGTATACAAAACAGATGATCTTGCGGCAGGCTGTGGAGGGATCTGTGTTGGCGCCCATCCTACGGACGGTTTGCTCCCTGTTGATGTTGTAACGGGCGGCTAGTAAATCCGCCTTTGATAGTCTTCCGGACAAGGAAGTTGCAATTGTGAAGTCTTGAAACAAAGTTGTCATCCACGGCTGCCATTCTTTGCGCCGGAAATAATCAACTAAGAAGACTGATCTGTGTTGGTGTCTGCATGATGACCAAGAGGGGAATTAGACTTGACCATGGATGATTGAGGCACAGCAGACGCAGACGGCACAGTAAAGCCGTCTTGACTGACGGAAAATTATCTCAAATCGCCTGACATGCCGGTGCAGTTGGAGGGAAGGCAAATCTTCGCCAAGCTCGTCTTTACCTTCTCCTCAAGCCTCGGGCCAGAGCAACAATAATCCAGCTCTCGCAAGAGTTGTGATTCCCCGCATTGTAGAGACATGTTTCTCAACGACAGCCGCTCGCGTGGGAGCTGTCGATCTAGCTCACCTCAGCGTTCCAGCGCCACAGGTGCTTCAGCTATCTGCAAGATTTCGGAGATCCTTACCTCTGTCGGCAGGCTGGCGTTCTCGATCGGTAGACCGATGTGACATTGCCAAAGAGATTGAAGTCAAGACAGCGCTTAGAGTTGATCATTGATCCCAGAAAACGCCAGTGCCATGCCATCGGATTTCTTTCTCCAGGATGTTTCAAGATTGACGAGGGTGGCTTTTGTCCGTGGGTCGCAAGTCTTTTTTACGACTTTCCTCTTCGGCGGCAATGTCCAAATCCCATCTTGTTTCCATGGAAAACGGGCCGCATGGTATCAAGGGGGGCAACGGGCCGACCGCTGCTAATTCTTGCGTGCCGAGATGAATTGTGGAATAGACGCAGGCAAAGCAGATCCATCACATTTATCGATTTCTTTTTGTACATAGCTGAACTGTAAAGGTCGGGAAAATTGGGGTCTGTCTCAGTCGATGCAACCCTCATTGTGTGCAGTAGTGGTGTTGCCGAGCTTCCAACAAGCGAGAAATCACAGCACCCAGGCTTCATTTTCCGGCCTACAGCTTGAAGGTATGCCGCGACATGCCAGTCCGCTCGTCAAGTGGTGATAGCCCAAGATGTCCAGTGCGGATTTCTCTAATAGAGAAGCGAATTAGGCAGGTAATTAAAATGGTTTCTAAACGATTCCGATCGTTGCTTTACACTATCAAGCTCAAGTCTGGTACGTCTATCAGAAGAGGAGTCTACAGCCGCAGAGTTTCGCCTTTCCACACAAGGTGTCCTCGCCACACCAATTCATTATTATGAGCATCTCTAAGAATCCAGAGTCACGTTGCATTCCAGCAACCACGCGTTCGCCACTCGAGAATCCGATGCTTCTGCTCCATCTACTCCGTACGTAGATAGGTAGATGACACCCAAGATCATGAGCAATGAACTGCGGTTAAGACCTTGAACAGAGTCCTAACAAAAATAGTTATGCTCTGTGGCTACATGTCAGTACATGGACGTCGACCTAAAACGTGAGCTCGCTTGCATTGCGCCTCTCCTTGCTGGGGTCCGGTGGAAAGATCACTTGCCTGAGTAGTCTCAGCCTGATTTGATGCGCTGCATCAGCGACCCCCTTTCGCAAAGTCTCCCTTGTTTCCCCCAGTCAACCGCTTAGATTTGGCGTCTTCAGACGGTTTGAGAGGTTGCAAAAGAGAATCTAACCCGGGGATGGCGCTCAGCGCGCTTGCAGCCGCAATTTCCCCCTCAATCCTGGCCTGCTTGCCAGAGGTGCTTCGATCTGCAAGCCTCTCATGCGCACGCTGCACGGCATCCACGAAGTCAGTGAGTGAATGCGTAGGATGCCACATTTCTGCAGACCCATGCTCGCCATGGCTTGAATGGCCATCCACAAGGATATTCATAGATGATCTGGAAGTGTTTTAGACAAGCACATTCAGAGAAAGAAGTAGGCAATACCCACGCTGCGGATCCATCCTGGGCCCCATTATAGCTAACAGCGCTGAGTGGATGGCCTTGCAAGGCTGGAGTGGAATGACGAGGGCTCACCATCTTCACCGCTAGAGTTTCGAGCTTTCTGATGGTGGGTGAGCAAGACTTGGGGTCCAAGGAAAAAGCCACAATGGATGAATGGGTGTGAAGAGGGTTTTGTAGAGCCCGCTGTGTCATGTACGCTACCTCTCACTCTCCTCGAGAAGTCAAGCTTGCTCCCACCGACTGGAAGGCTCACATGCCCTCCTGATGTTAGAGGGGCAGAGCGCACGCCCCTATGAGCCCTGCTTGTGGTCAAAGTGCGTAGAGGCATAGTATGGTTACGCTGCGCTTTCTGCTAAAAAACTACTCAGGACTCAAGTCACTTGAACCCCTGAGGAAGCCATGAAGGCCAGCGTGTGGATCCGAGCGAGTACGACAGAAGCCTTCAAATGGGAAGTTCCCATCGACCACCCAAATACAAGACTGCTCCCTACCAATATGAGGCAGAAGTGATGGAGCTAATGCCGAAGTAAGAAGGACGAGGCGATATTGAGGAATACGAACGTTGCCTTATCTTGGGAACCTGGAGTAAGGGGGCTTGTATTGGACGAGAATGAAGTGGAAGTACACTCCTTCTCGCATTATGCCTGATGATACAAACATACAACGGGAGCACTCACCGCCCCGGGGTGTTGGCGTCTTTTAGTCTTGCCCTCTGAGCTGTGAATAGTAAGACACCAAGGTCACTCGGAGGTGCGGCCATGAATCTGAGTCGTCCACAAGGTAGGAAGCCCCATTCTCCTGCCTCCTCCTAAGCCCCTTTGAGGCTTCTGAAGGAATGTTGAGCGCCCTACACATTGCCAGCACATCATGGCGGCCCTTCCATCCAACCTGTTTGCCCACCTTCACCGAGTTTCTTTCACTTTTCGAACACCTCCCCGGGCTGGCGCTGCCGTGCTTCTCATAGCACCAAGCAAGGCTGCCTAGCCCCCTCGCGGTAACTGCTGGGCATTTGGATTGGCATTGTGTGTGGTAAAAACGAGGCGAACTCTTACGCTCTGGTATACCTGGAAAGAGCAGCGAGCATAGGACTTTGGGGCACCGGTGAGTGAAGGCTCTCCAGGAGGGGTGTCGCTAACTTGAGATACTCACAACAGCTGGCTACACCCTCTGGTCACTGAGTACCTACTTTCAACGAAACTTTCAAGCGCTAGTCTGACTAGGATACCAAGTCACGAGAGGTTGAAGAATGATGTCACCTTGCGAACCAAAATGACTGATGATACAAACACTCAGCTCGTGGTATGAAACAATCAGTTACAGCACTCGGGAAAAGATATAAGGGAGTTGTGCCCCCGATATCCTGCAAAATGCGAAGGACAATGCTCGCAGTATTCTCAAGAAAGCTGTCTGATATGCCATAGTTGACGCCAATATTCACATTAATCACGCAGATAATGTAACAATATCTGAGTTTCAGGTTAAGCTGCTGTGAAATTTGATGGACCAATACAGGAAGCTACTCTTTCGGTCTAACTAAATGATGGCCGACTTGTTAAAAACATGTGAATGAATTGATCAAATTATCACCAGCCTTTACGATATTTGATCCATCCATCGAAACCTTGAAGAATGAGCTTGAGCATGGTCATGTCCAAGTGACCCTCATATTCTAGCTTCACTGGCATCTAAGGGGTGACCTTGATGACATCGCCAGGGCGCATAGCACTTCCAAGGTTGTAACGAGTGTCGTGGGTGTACTGTCTAAGAGGGAAACCACCGCCAATCGGGTCGTCAAAGGCGAGCGGGATGCTGCCGGGAGCCGGAGTCGTGCCATCAATGGTCCAATAAAAGACGACGTGGTTGACAGCCAGGTCGTAGAAGAGGTGAAGCAAGATGACGGCGCCCTTGTAGGCGACGCGCTTGTAGTAGCCGGTGTCCGCAGAGAGAGTGATATCAGTGGCACGCTTCTCGATGCCACGGACCTCGAGGTCGACGATCTTGTCGGCGTCGAGGTTGGAGATGTCCCCAGGAATGCGGACGTCGAGAGCCTGGCTATCGACAGGCGTAGCGACATCTCTATTAGAGAGAATGGGGCTGGCCTGGACGAAGCCAGCGACCTGCAGAGCAGCAATGAGAGCAGTGGTGTAACGCATCTTGAATGTTTAACGTGGAGATTGCTATACAAGCGTTAGTCTAACTACCTTAAGTAATAGAGCTTGAGGGCAAGGAATTGAAGGGCGCAATCTACCTTTCAAGCTGTGTTAAGCGGTTCTGGGTGGTAATGAAATGACGGGTGAGTAGAGAGTGACTAAATAAGTAATGATCAAAGAAAGACTGGTGAGTTGGATGTGCCTGATGTAGGATGGAAATATCAATATTGGCCCGGAAGGAAGACGTCTTAAATATTATAATCGTGTCATAGACACATAAAAAATCACTCTGTGAGCCCCTGACAACCCTGGGTCAAGTTCCATGACCCAAAACATGGCACATGAAGTCAAAGATCACGCGACCTGGGTTCTAATCCAGCTGAGGCTAGTCTAGATCCGCCATTTCCCAGTGCAGCGGGCCTATTCAATGATCACTTAGACGCCGCTCTAGAACTCAGGATGAATGTTCTCAGAACGCGCTAAGCCTAAAATCTGAACTAAGATATACAACTCTTACAAAAACCGGCGACTTTCCAAACTTCTCATTGGAGACTAGACTAAAGCCATTGTCTCTTAGTCTTCGGGGTGAACAGGCCGACTGGCATCTGGTACAGGGGAAAAAATCCATTGGCAAAGCCCGTCGCCAGCCAGTGTAACAGGGCAGAGCTATTGAGTCAGGTAGGATCTGCCTGCTCGAGACTTTGACTGTCGTGCATAGGCCAACTCTGTAGCTGTTGATGTAGCCGGTGCTCGATAGCCGATGCAACATACCTGATGTGTGCTCTACCAACTGGCGGTCATCACATTAACTCCAACTGCCCGCGGTGATCAAGCAGATAATAGATATGAGACGAGTACTTCCGAAGTTTTGTATTTAGCCATAACGATAACCCACTAATTCCTGACAGGAAAGGCTCATGCTTGAGATTTTGCGCCATGATGCCTAATTCGGAAGTCAAGGCAGTAAACTCACAGTTCACGATCATGATGCGTGCACAGGCCGACTTCCAGAACCCACAGTCGTCGGCAAGACCGTACATAGTGGCGCGGAGAGTGTCACCACCAATTCGGCCGTCGGGGGTTTTGACTTGGCTTAATATCCGATTGCAGGTAGAGAAACTGGCCAGAAAGCTTGATTAAAAATCTTATGGAGGCACTCGCACATAGTAGTTCATCTGGTCTTCCGGCCTCCGAACAGCCCCTGGCTCATAGCTCCTTATCCAGCCTAATACACTCTAGACCCAATCCACCCGGCACTGAACGAGACCATTGCCAGGGCCTAGGTATAATCCGACTAAACGTAACTTGACAGATTTACTAGTCGTAAACTTAAGTAAGCAATTGATTATCTGGATCATCGATCAGGGCCGTGCCAGGACAAGGAGGGTGGACTGATTTCCAAATGGCTGTGCTCCACTCGTCGGTACAGGAAAGCTTCAATCGTCGATATCATATTTGTAAAGACAGGACGACTAATCAGTGAAGGGCAAGTACGGATAATTTGACCAAATTTGGCACATCTCGCGGAGGCTAATTTCCCTGTAAAACCTTAGTAAAGAAGGACATGTGTTCACGGTACGGAGTAATCCTGCTACTCCGTACAGAGTTATGCTTTGACGACCAGGGGTTTCTACGAACGACACTCATAGGGGCTCGTGCTCCGTCCAGGCGCCCCCGAATGCTTGTTGATACTGATTATCAGGCTCAATCTAATCTCTTGCACGAGAAGTCGTAAATTCCATAAAAGTGCGTTTGGTATTGGGTGTTCATCTTCTCAAGCTGCGCAGGGGCTGAGAACTCTTGGACGTGCTTTGTCTGCAGCCTCGCACCTGTGGCGACGTTGGAGTGATTGGCAGCGCTTTGCTCAACTTCTATCGATCACATGATTTATGAGTCCAGTGGGAGACAGAAGACCCCAGAAACTCTATTAATATGCTCTCCAGGGGTTAGGTATGGAAAGCTCTGGGACCCGGTGTCCTTCCTCACACCTGCCCGGACGCGGCTTCACCGGGCGGTCCGCGCTACTCATCTCACTTGGCTTTCCATGATTTGAACCTGCCAAATGCTATACGGTGGAGCAAGTTCGTTCATATTTGTGTGGGAAGGTGAGAAGCCTCGGCAGCAAGGGTCTCTTTTTGAAGAAAGGTCCACTAACTTGGTACGAAGAACAAGGGTGGCGATGCAGGCGAAGTCGAAGTTCGGATCGCTGATTGGGCTCCTACCTACGTGTCCTGGTCTGAAAAAGCTTCATCGTAACTAGGCAAGGTTCCGAGCCAATGACACCAGAAGCGCTATGCAGAGAAAAGCAAAAATCCTTGGTTGGGACGACTCGAACTACCCGGGCGGAGAAGACGTATCTTGCTTGCTCCGCCTCACTTTTCGACCAGCCTCAGTCCAATCAATCACTTTTGGCCTCATGGGCCCTCGGAGCCTCACTAGGAAAAGGTGCCTTATTGGACACATACATGTGCTTAGCCGGGAGTCGCTTAATATCTGACAGCTTCATTTCTTTTCGTCAGATAGCGCTGGGAATGGTGGTTAGAGGCGGATGCCGATGCGTCATATTATCTAGGGATGGAAGTGGAAAAACATTTCTAAGCTTCTCATGATTCCAGGAAAGAAAGTTTCGAAGACCTGCATTTTGAAATTCCCTCGTACATGTGCTAGTGACAGCAACAGTAAACGGTCTTATCCTAGCCAGAAGTTGATTGGATCTTAACACCACTACTGTCGCAACAAACCCGAATGAGATCTTTAGAGGGTGCAAAAGAAGCCCTTGAGAGTGACTGGAAACCTACAGAGGAAGGAAAAAATCCGGAAGTTACATGCCAAACTAGTACGTTCTTGTCTCACGTCTGTCCGAAACACCTTCTCGTCTCCGTTCGCCCCGTTTCCTTCTGTCTTCCTTATCGTCGTCTTTGCGCGGCCGGGAGCTGGTGCCTTTTTGGTCATCTTTACACGACGCCAAAGGTCGAACGCTGCGTCTCTTTGTATAGATGTCTTCCTCTTTCAAAGGACTGGAGATCAATCAGGAACCGTTTTGGAAGACAGACAACTGCAGAGGTCCTTACCTGCTGGATCGATGGACCTCTATCGATTCAGATCGCGCGGGATTGGGTGGGAAATCTGTGACATACACTCTACGCCCTTCCCGACTGCTTCGGTCCATGGTTGGTTGCTCATAGTTCTCTATGGGTGGTCTGATATTGTCCCAACTCCCTACTCCAATGAGTGTGGGTGACAAGGGCTGTACAGGCGTGTTCGCTGTGCTAGGGCTTGTTGTCGCAGAACTAGCGGCATAGGGATAGCCGTAAGAACTTGCGGCGGAGGAGTGACCTGATAAACCCGAGTAAGACGTCAAAGGGCTATTCGGGTGACTGTGGTGCGGCAAAGATGACGGGCGTATCGAGGTTGCCTGAATCTCATATGACGAGCCACCAGCATAGGCGGAATGTGGTTGCGGCGGCACGGGCTGATAGGACGCCGTGCGGTCTGTTGGGGCACTGCTCGAGTACGAGTACCCCATTGTGACCGTGTTGGGACTAGGGGAATACACACTCGACTGCGAGTATCCGACAGCGCTTGGTGTGCCAAAGGAAGGAAAGCCTTTCGCAGAACATCCATGGCTAATTGGAGATCTGGCATGTGGCTGTGGGAAGGCCGCCTGCACTGGGGACTGGGTGCAAGGGGAGGACACAGTTGATTGGTGCTGGCATGGGACGATAGTCTCAGAACCTCGGCTGAAAGGTTGTTTCTTGGGCTGGAAGTCCATGATACCGGTTATCTGAACCTTCACGAGAAAAGGGCAAAGAGATAGGGATGATTCGAGAATATCTCAGAAAGAAACATAGAAGCATCATTGCCTAACGGCAGGGCTTTTGTCTACATCTTAAAGTAAGTTGGCTGGCTTGTGGATGAACTCAGACTCGCTTTGACAGCTGTCGCATATCACTGACCTAGTGAAAACAGGGCCGGTACGTGGGCTCGATGCGTTGGGCCTCAGTCTATCTCCAAGGCGCCTCATCGGGCTCGAATGTCGTGAGTTTTCAAGCTTCCTTTACCTATCATTCACTAATCGGCATCCAGCCAACTTTTTCATAAACCTATGTCAGCCCGCATCATGCGTGAAAGAAACCTTAGTTTGCTTTGCTGCCTAGACGAGACCGGGCGAGAAGCAAGCCGCCTTATTTCGACTGATCAGGGTTATCATGGGGACGTTCCAGTACCATGCGACCCATGGCGGCTTATGGCGCTAATCTTTTAACTTGGACGGAGTTCTGGACAGTATGCGGGTGAGAGCATGTCCAACCCCTTACTTTGAGCACTTGTAGAAGGGCAGGCCAGGGGCGGCTTGATCGTGCGAGAGGCATCAGTTACATTCCTTGCTCTAAGTCCCTTGCCATGCAAGGCTGTTCTTTCATCGATTCGTTATCACAACTTCTGGTGGAAAAAGCTCAACTTCCTCGAGGCGAAAATGCGAAAATGCGAAAGGGCCGACCTCCGTTTAAAATCGACTGGCTCGAAGTTGGGGTAAATACCTCAATAAACCGCACCTCAAACCCCTCTATGGCGTTGACTTTGGCACTCCCGAATTGGAGAAAGTGCTATTACTGCAACTACCCGCTCACTCTCTGCGTGGGAACCGAGAACAATTCTTTGCGAAAAGGGATTCAGCCCAATAAACGACGGACCAGTCACTGCGGAGTCGGCAGTAGGTCTTATAGCGTGGCGTCAGGAAATAGGGAGGTATCCGACTACTGCTCATTATCCTCAGGTGATGTTTTGGCTGCTGCAATGAGGACATAACAAAGTCGACTTACAATCTCGATCGACGACATATCACGCAAATCGCCTAGCCATTAATATCTGTTAGAGATACGTATCTAACCTAGCCGAGTTAGAGAGCTCACGTTGCCTCTTTATCAGTCGGAAGTTTGGGCAGATGGTAATAGGAACTCGATATCCAGGGTCGAAGACCTGAGCGCATCTCGGCGGGACACCCCAGCTTGCAGTGAGAACCATATCAGGGGGGCTTTGTGCGTGGTCCCCAAAAGTCTCCAGGAGGCCCTTAAGCCGGAGCCTTCGTGTTCACAAGTGAGATCCTAGCCTGGCCAAGCACAAGTAGCAACGTCGCATACTTCACCGCCTTCAGTACATCGTCAATCATGGATTCTTTTAGCGGAATGAGTGCTTGTCACGATTAATTCATTTTCGATAGTTATCCTTGAGGATCATCCAGTCGAAAGGTGATGAATATTGTTACACACATGTACGGGACTTTGTCTGTGTGCCGCTTTAGCAGCCCACTGGCAGTGGTGATCTGCAATGCAGCTAGGCTGAGGTATGAAAAATGCTTACCGAGCAATGCCTTCTCACGTTTCTCTGATGCGTCATCGTCGATCTGATGCAGAAAAAGAGCTAAATTTCATCACAAAATCGACAGAGATGAATTTGTCGGTGGAATGCCAAGCCGGCGTCCCCGAGAAAGTCGTGCTTGGAGTGAATGTACTGGCTGATGTTGCCCAAGGCGGGAGGACGGCACAGCGTATAGTTCGATTGTTATCATCCTGCCATAGAACAACCAGATGGCACTGAAAGGCCCTCTACTCAAAATAGCTGGAACAGCGTCGTGCGAGACCTAGCTGCACTGCGACAGAAATGAGATATCCGGACACAAATGGCTGACGTGGCACCTCAACAGTGGTCATACTTTCAAGCAAAGCCACAATACGGAAGCCACCCACATAGTATTCTTACGGAGAGAGGTCACTATGATGGCATGAAATGCTAAGGGACCATCTTTCAATCCCGGTTGAGACTCAGTGGCGTACCGTATACATCTGCCCTTACGTGCTCTGTCTCAATCCTTACCTTAGCGCAAGCACCCAGGCGAGGCGCCACAGTTGGATCACACAAGAACACCATATAGATGCAGGAGTATTTTAATATAGATGCAGGAGTATTTTATAAAACTACCTAAAATTACATGTATTCGTATGGAGGCCAATCAGTGAATGCTCATCAACAACTTACTAAGTATGGTTCTTGATAAGCTAAGTAAGTGCATCTGAAAGAGACTTTAAGCTCCATCTGTCACTTGACACGCAGCTTATGGTCAAAGGCTCGCTCAAAGCATGTGGCACATTCTACGGCCCGTAAGCGTCTAGCTATCCAAGCCGAACATGCATAATCCAACTCAAGTCTTCGATACTGCTTGGATAATACGTCAAGCCAATAAGCGGATGCTTACATGTAAGCTTTTCCATACTGCGATCCTTCCTGAAAGCAAGGAGGTGCTCCTCCGAAGCCTCTTAGGCTCCGTCCGAAGGAAGTAGAATGATAACCATAACGAATGAGAGACTGCATCCTCCGTAAGGGGTACGCACTTTTTGACCCACTGACAACTGTCTTCTTTGAGTTGGTGGGTCTAGTCAGACACTTCTCTGATGAGGAGTTGATTTGGTATAACAAAGGCTATATGTTGTTATTGTGGAAGCGGGGATCATCCATGTCCTGATTCGAAGTTATTTCACATCAACTCTAGATTCGTGTGGGCTATTAAGACTCTTTTTGATCATTAAGGTCGAGAGCATAGCAACTTAGTAATTAGCCTATCGCTTCCTACAAATTACAGAGTACTTAGACGCCGGAGAGAAAATAGCGAGTCTCTGTCCAACTTCTGAGACGTACCTCAAACAACGGTACGTGGGACAAGGTCTTTTCTCACTGCAAAGGTGCGGACAAAACCAGTATTACAGAATAAATCAAAGGAAACCTGGAAGTCGAGGTAGACTGTTGGGGCATCACCGACAAGGAAAGCGGGAAGCAGCAACGGGTGCACAAGATTATATTCCAATTTGCCATTGTAGGTGGACTGAGGAAGACTTCCACATAGGCCACGCGGAACAGTCTGTGGCCATTCGCGCCTGTCCTGAGGAAACTACTCTTCGCAAGGGCCTCTGCAGTATTCAGCACCAGGAGGAGGCGGGCACCGGGCTCCATCTGGCACAATCCCACTTGCACCTCCAGAGACGCCCTCTCCGTTGAAGTAGCACTTTCCAATATCCCTCTCACAAGGGTTGCCCGGGCCCGGACAACAGTATCCATAGGCATTAATGTCAAAGTTGTAACAAGCAACTGGGTTGACAGGAGCAGCAGTAGGGGTAGCAGTAGGCACCACCTCAGCTGTCGTCTCAGGCTCGGGCACATCAGTGATCACCATGAGTGGCGAGGAGGTAGAGCTAGAACTGCTCGCTCTGCTGGTGCTACGGGCCTCCGCGGCAAGACCGTCGTAGACTGCCTGAGGGAATCCGTCTCTGTCGGGTGATGCATCACCTCCCGTAGGCACTGAGAGCGGCGGTCTCGAAGAACACCGGGTGACTGGTGTCGACGAGGTAGGCGAAGGTTTTGATGAAGATGTCGGTGGCAACGAGGTAGGCGGGGTTGAAGGCTCCGAGGTCTTTGGAGGATTTGACTCTGCAGGCTTAGAGTTCTCGCCGTTGTTCCCATTATCGCCGCCGTTCCCGCCGCCGCCGACTGGAGGCACGACTGGAGGAACCGGCGCAACTGGTGCGATAGGAATGGGAATGGGAACAATGGGATCAACTGGAACCCCACCTTCCTCAGTGGTTGGCGGGGCTGTAGAGTACGAGTATGAGAATGAAGCGCCTGAAAAGGAGCTCACTGGGACAGGTGGCCTGGTGGTGAAGACAGGGCCCCGGGAGCTGGATCGAGGCCCTGAGGATGGTGGTGGTGCTGATTTGCTGGACTGAAGTGCCGAGGATGATGGCCGCACCGGATTGCTGGCTCGAGGTCCTGACGACGATGGCTGCGTTGGATTGATGGATTGGGGTCCCGAAGATGCAGGAGGCACCGGTGGCTTTGAGCGAGAGGCCGACGCCGACCCAGTAGGTTTCTTCGAAGATGGCACCGGCACTTTGCTCGAATGAGCGGTCAGGACACGAGAGCTTGTGCTGTTTCGGTGTGTCGTGATCCAGGTCGACGATGGCTTGGCCTGTCTACGAAGCATCGCCTCATACTTGGCATCTGGACTGTAGTCTGCTCTCGCCATAAGATCTTCGGGTCCTCCGAGCAAAACGCTGCCCGTATCTCTTTTCATAATGGTGCATGACTGCCCGGGTGCTGCACCGCTCTGGGGATCTGCCATGACCTCCAATGCAAAGAAAGCCATGTTTTGAGCGTTTCTAATCTTGTCGGCGCCTTTGAGTCTCGAACAGCTTTTGGTTTATTAGCAAAGCTCTTAGCAGTGCGAGAATTCAGAGATCGTATAATAATCGATGCTTACCAGTTAGCGTCATAGCAGCCGCTGCCATCAGTTTCATTAGGATCAGGGACATCGACGCATCGTCGACCATCACTAACGATGGCTCCTAAGTGCTGGACTTCGTGCAACAACCAAAAGCCGGAAGAGGCGCTTAGTCTCCGCGTATCTTTCCAAGTCCGCAACATGTCTTGTTGTGAGTTGGCCCCGAAAAACCGGTCACATAAGACGATGGAGTGACCTGATAACCCTCCGGCCCCGTGCTGGTGGGCTGCTGCAGCCATTCCGCCGGCGCACATGCTATCATCTGCGGCAGCACACATATACGTAAGCCCGGTAGGGCTGAGGTTGTCTATCCTCATATCATCGACGCGGTTGCGTGCTCCAGGAGCTTTGAGGAAATCTTGAACAGGATCGTAGTTAAGAGTCTTGATGGAGTTCTTTACGGCAGCCTTCGTGTTGTCCTCTGCATTCGACTGTCAGACCATCCTCCAGGCACTGTTAGGCATAGAAGTCGAAACTTACCACCAAACCAAAAGATGTATGCATCAGAAAACTCGGAATCCTTTTCGGCAAGTACAGTAGAAGCCATGAAGGCCAATGCTTGCGTATCTCTGACGGCACCCTCCAACGCGGCGATCTTTTCCTCGCTGCAGCCCCACTCACTTCCAGCCTGCTGATCGATGACATAGAAACCATCTAGAGCTCTCTTACTGGACATGTGCATTGTTTGATCGATTGATCGCTTGGCATGGTCGGAAAGGCCATGACCCAAAGCGCCCTGGCCAGATGCCAGAAGCATTGAGCTTAATAGAGTTAAAGGAGTGAGTGACTGTAACATAGTGATAAACGAATGTGAGTTTCGAACGAGTGTTGCGTTCAAACAGACTAGTAAAACTTCTCAACTTACAATTGCTCGCCCGCCGATATTTGTATCTGGTCTTTCCGATTGATAATCACTATCGTTCGTCAGATGGCCCGGAGGAGCCGCAAAGCTAGACAGGATCTGTTCGATCATTCAGGCCCTTCGGCTTCTAGTAAATGAATGAAAATTGAAGATCAACATTATTTTCCAGTCATTGTTAGAACCAGTCTTGTTCGAACAAGGACAACCTGCATTATCAAAAAGTTTAACCAACTTGATCGAGGAGCGCGCGTGTCAGGAGGCGTGGGTTGCTGCTAAATATGGGGATTCATACGCGGGTTCCCTTGCCATCCCGTCTCAAGACTGCAGTGACGAATGATGGGACGGCTACCACGGCTAGCTGAGTAGCCACAAGCCCTTTCCGATTTGTCTGGGAATGTCGCATGTAGAGCGTGATTCGTCTGAACTTCTTCGTCGCATCCACGGACATTGTCTTGGCTTCATTCCCCGTCATCACTCCTCCGCAAGGCAAGCCCGGTCGAACCTGTGGATCTTTCGTATTTCTCTTCCAGAATCCTTTTAATGTTAATTTGGCGTGCACAACAGGCTTTGAGTAACGTTGATTTGGCCTTTACTACCATCCCAAGATCAGACGATTTGTACGTCGGCTATCGTGACTGACTCGGCATCGCAGTCATCTCTGTTCGAAAAGTACGTGGGGCTAGAGGGTTTGGCTCTGCGGCTGAAGTCAAATTCGATTACTTCGGTCATGTCATCCATTGGCCGTCTAGTTGAGGCAGCGTTGCGGAGAGTGAACCTGTTCAATAGACTGCGTATGATTTGATGATGAACCTATCACATAGCGGGGCACCGATAACTCAAGTCTTGTAAACTCTTTAAGGCTCTGGTTATCGTGAGCTTGTGTGCCAGATACGAAACCGAAATATCGGATCCAGCCCGGTCTCGGACTAGGCCCACGGTTAGGTCGTACTCAAGTAAACGTCATTCGCTCGGGAACCTACTTTGACCATCGATTGTGGAAGCACTTACGAGTATATAGCTAGTTAATGGAATCACAGCAATAGCCAACAATTTGCCAATCATTTTGTCTGGAGCATTTGATCTTGTACCTTTCACACGAGAGCCACAAGAAATGCTTCGCATACATCACGATTTAGGCGGCGTTCCAATACATCATCGAACTCCAATATCATGCGTCATCTGCAAAGCTTAGTCCTCGGTTTCCCTGAATGTGGAAATTTGAGATTCTCGGGCATCTATCATATTACTTATCATCACTCTGATCTATTTGTACAGAGCCTTTAACTTACATGATCAGGCCTTGTATCTCTTTTCGACAGAGAGTTGGAGAACATCCTTCGGAGTGATAGCCTTGACTCTGCTGCCCGTGATATCCTCTCTATCCAGAAGCTGCTGGTACAACGGAGCAAACTCGTCGCAAGTGGTCACGTGAGCTCCAGCCCAAGCCTTTCTGGTTTCCTCGTCGACTTCGAATTGAACCCGGTAAGCGAGGTAGACCTCGTTAAAGCGGATGTTTGTCTTTTCATTCTCCCGAGACGCAGCAATGGCGAAGCTGAAAAGCGCACCTTGCGTCACTGCGGGAGCAGCGCGGAAACCATAGTCGCCTTGAGCACCTGTACATAAGGTCCAAGTGCTGCCAGCAAACCCTTGCTCAAGCAAGTATGGTACTGTCACGCGATAAGCATCTAGGTGCATCATTAGCAATCGGAGTCTTCAGTCTAACTTCAGATATTGTAAATGGAGTTTTGGAGTTTTCTCACAGAAGTACGACTCGAAGTTGACATTGAGAACCTCGCGAAGAGCCGCTGGGTCAATCTCCAAAATTGGAGTCTCCCAGTAGAGTCCACCAGCTGTCATAAACGTTAATTTAACCTACGTGGACATAAAGCTTGCGAATAATTGTAGAACGTACGCGAGGCCCAAACATGCTGAAAGGCAGGGAGTTTGCCAGCCCGAACTTGGTCGACAACTCCTCGGAGAGAGTCCTCAGAAGTAGGATCGGCTTCAACCACGGTGATGTTGTCGCGACTGCCGACGTACTTGAACATCTTCTCGGCACTGGCTTGACTGCGCACAACGGCGATGACATGGCGCTTAGCGCGCAGAGCACCGATAATGACTGCTACGCCAATGTTGCCTGTGGCACCAAAGACAAGGACGGTTTCGGTCATGGTAAAGTCTGAGCTTTAGGGTAGCTTGATTTCGTTTGGTCAGCACAAAATAAACCAGAGAGTCGCTGGTGAATACTTATTGATGGTTATGATGTTGTGAGTAGTGTATTCTGAGAGGTGAAGTAGGTCTTTGGCGATGCATATATATAAGTCCTGTTGACAGAACTGATTTGCTGCTGGCTGCGAATCGCCTGATCCCTCGGATATCCTCGAGCCCGAGCCTCATCACCGAGCGGGGAAAGGCACAGCTATTTTCGACTCTTCCGCAATTAGAAATTCCATGAGTATTGAAGTCGGAGCTGTTCCGGAATTTAAACGTGGTATCAGGCCGTTGAAGTCACTTTGCTGACTAGCATACTTGACATTTGAATGGTCGACGTTCAGATACTGCCAAGTAACTCTTGTAACAGGACCTCGTTATGTAAGCGGGTTCAATTTGCCGTTCCACTTCCCTACAGGATTGCGTATAGATTCTACATTACTAATTGCATGCAGCTGCGTCATTCTGCGTGGCCAAAAAGTTCGTTCTTGCTCTTGACATCTTTTGCCGATTTTTCTGGGGTTCAAGGCGCTTTAGTCACCAGGTTCGGGCTTCCAGCTCCCCCAATACCCGTTAACTGTCCGTCCCACTCCCCGTGCTCGGACGCGGGAGCCTGGGGGCGGCGCGTGCTGAGTAAAGCCGGCACAACACTGGTTCTGAATTATCGTGTTAGTCCGTTGATCCTTGGGCAGCAGCTGCTCTGCTGCTGATCGGGATTTGCCAGCAGCAAGAGTATTTTTGGGAACAGAAAGCTTCGATTGAAACATGCTCAGTACGAGCTTGAGGTGCAATGTGCTTGTTGGACCTATTGGGCAAGCTTGCTAACATCACAAATGGACTCGTCAGACAGCACCTAGTTGCATTTACATTGTCCGCGACTGAGGTAGAATTGTGTGGCAATCCTATCAGGCCAGTTGCGACGTTTTCATGGCCATCTTCGCCCCTGGCACCAAGGACCTCCGAACTTCCCACCTTCTCTTCATTGCGTTTCGGGTTACGCCGGCTGGCAGATCCAGTCATGTATCTGAACTCAATTATTTCTTCGATTTTTGAGGTTGATTTCCCACGAGAGTTCTATTTGAAATTTGAGAGCAGTTCGGCTGGAGCTCGCTTCGAACAGAGGGAATGGAAAAAGATGGCTAGGTTTCTCGGGCCAGTTTGGTCGAAAGCTGGAGGCAATTGAAGTCTCACGAACGTGGACCCCTGAGAGATCCTCGTTCTCCGGCTCTCTTGAAGTATAGAAAAGAAATTGGTTATCACTTGTATAACAGTTTGCAAGTTTGCTATTGCTTGTTGAAGAGACAGCTATAGCGATCAACGTAAGCATGAAGCTAGTTGACTCTCATCATTTGAGTCCCTCTTTCAAGCGGCCCACATGGCTCATGGTAGGATAAGGGCACTTTTCCCACCATAGCGCATGGGGGTTTGACTGACGTGGAATTCCTGTATCACCCAGACCCTGTACGCAGCTAGCGACTACCTTCTGGGTTCGTCGAACTTCATGTTCGGTCTAAACCCCCTGAGAAGAGCCTGGGCACCGACTAGGTTGCAACAATAATGAACATATCGGATCTTCAAGTGCGTGCCTTGTGTGAAAAGCAGAGACCGAACACCATAGTCTGGACAGGAGGTGTGTTTACGGCAGCCGCAGCCCACTCACCTACACGCTTTGGGCAAGTCTTGTTCATTGAGAACTGTTATGCGAGTATCCCTTAGTAGATATAGAACTTCACAGGTTGGATACTATCATGGAGTCTATGGCACTGACCCGTACTTCGTGGGCATTGTTGCAGACCATCTGCTTGTAGCAAGTAAGGATCCCTCTGTCCAAGGTACAAGTGCCGGCGACGACTCAGGACCCCATCATACCCCGAAATAGTCTTGCTCCACCAAATACACGAGAATGAAATAACGTTCGCAATGGTCAATCTGGAAAAGATTCAGCTAGGGGGTGCTAAAGTGTCGGCTGACAATTGACACTTAAATGGTGTCGATGGCATGGGGCATGGATCCAGGGGCATCGTTCATAAGTAGGGTGCGTGGAAGTACGTATGATGAGACAGATGGGTCATGGTATACTTCCCAGAAGACTGCCGAGTAACCCTGAGGGATGTCTAGTGCATCCCAAGTAGACGGGATGGCCACCCATGATCAAGACGCTTCCTCGGGTTGGGCCCGTCAAATTGTCTGCTAGATGAAGCGTCATCGCCTGCATATGGGCCTTCGTGACGTTTCTGAATTCCGATTGGATAGAGGAGCTGCTGTGGCCACGGACTGGCGTTTGCGAGGGTGGTATTCTCGATCAGATTCGAGGATACAAGGTGCGATTTCGATTTCACTCCTACCTAGTTGCTAGAACTTGGCCTCCATAACGACTTGGATTCCGTGGAGTGAGGAGTATCCGGGACATTGAGCTATGTACTGAGACTCCCAAGAGTTTTACGCAGATGGAGTGATTCGCCCAATGAAGCAAGCTTCAATGCTCCGAAGCTCTCTCAGCACAAGCTTTCGCACGATTCCGTGGCCACAAAGCGCTAGGTTATGAATCGGGTTAATGATAGATACTGAGTCATTATTCTCCCCCATTTTCTTCACAGTCTGAGCATGCCCTTCTTTTACCGTCGGATCACCTGAACCAACAGAGAAAACGGGCAACACGTCGTTGGTCTAGGCTCTTTGACGCGCTTAATAGTCAACGCACTTCTTTCGGCACTCCGAAATATCTATTCAGCTGCCCTTGGGCGAAGTAAATGGCTTCCCAAAAGACTATGGTGTGTCAATGCATCGAATTTCTGTCGGCACCTTAGCGTCGGCACCCAGAGACGACGGACTAGAATTCTTCGCTTGGCCATGTTTGTCTGGGCACGTGGAGTGACTAGACCAAATGAGAACGGTCTTCACCCTGGAATCCTCAAGAGGAGATTTCTCGGCAGAGTTCAAGCCGTTTTGCAAGGGCTCTTCCCCACGCGCTCACTTCCGTGCAACGTAGGTTTGGATTAAAACAGTGATTGAGAATTTGTCCTCGTGAGGCTTAGAGGAGCAGCGGTCTTATCAAAGCTTGATCTTTACCCGCACACTTGTTGCGATGGTAGACGTATCGACCAATACCGCACGAATCGCCAAGCCGCGCGCGAGTATTATCCCACGGAATGATAAAGCTCCTTCCAAAAAATGTCGGAGGATTGGGGGTGACATCCCCTGTCTTGATGCCGGCAACATGGTGCCGATTTGGATGTATAGGACTGATGCTAAGCTGTCGGCACACCCTCCTCAAAAACCGCGACGGGTTGATTGGTCAACCCCATGTAATGCTGGGATGACTGCTTGACCTTAGCTCCGGTGATAGATTTCATGAGAGCCTGTCAGATGAGCTGAAGTTCACCTTGCCCCATCTAGGCGTCTCTCCAGATTTCCCCGCATTCTTCCCCCTGCCGTCGCGTGGGGAGAGCTCATAGAGTTCAACCTAGTGGTTCGGCTCTTGACATTTGAGCGTAGGCAGCTGCCGCGAAGACATGCCGAATGTTTGAGGTTGGTCGACCCAGGATCATGGTAACACTAGACGCGTAGCTGTGTCGTCGACAGGTTGATGTCGCAGATCGCGTCGGTAATTCGACCAGACTGTATCGGTCGATGTGTCTTGCCCTGTGTCTACATTTATTGCCCACGTCCTCACCCCGATGTTACTATGGCTTTTTTTTAAATCCATCACTGTGTTTTTGATCGCATCACTGTCCAAGACGTATAATTGCAAGCCAGAAATTCATAACCATGTCGAAAGATCCGGAAAAGACAGCAAGTCCAGCATTGTCTCTTGAACGAATTTCCGCTAACATGTTCTTGTAGACCCGCGAGGAGATTGAACATGAGCTTCACATTGAAGTGGTGCCTGGTACTGAGGTCATGGCCGATGTGTTGAAGCATCACCTGATCAAGAGCGAACACTCGACAGTGGTTCTCGTCCCTCAACCATCACAGGATCCGCACGACCCTTTGAATTGGAAATCGTCATGGAAGTGGTCTACATTGGGCGCGGTCTCTCTGATGACCTTCTCGCAAGGCTTTGCTCCATTGTCTCTTGCGTCCATGTTTCCATACCTTATTCGAGACTACAATAGCAACCTCGAAGACGTCATTCAGTTTACGGGCGTGACCATTCTATTGCTCGGATTCAGCAATTTCATTTGGTGAGACCACAAAAGGAAATTTACTCTCGAGGCCATGGCTGACTTTCTCAAGGGCTCCGATTTCGTCCTCATTTGGTCGACGCCCTGTCTTCATTGTTTCGCAGCTAGTCTGCCTTGCATCGCATGTTCTTAGAGCGAAAGCTACAACGTACGGCTCTTTCATGGGTGCCTGCGTGTAAGTCCTGCTTCTTTTGATCCTAAATTTCGAAAGTACATGCTGACTGTATTGCAGACTCAACGGTATCGGCGCCGGCCCTTCAGAGACCCTGCAACCGCAAGTCATCGCCGATATTTACTTCTTGCACGACCGTGGCCGCTGGAACACGCTATACTGGGTTGTTTATATGGGATCTTTGATGGTGGGTCTATCATAAAAGGCAGCAGGAAGTATTCGTGGCTAACCTCTTCAGATTGCGCCGGTTATTGCGGGCCCAATGGCGGATCATGTTGGATGGCAGAACTTTTGGTGGCTTAACGTTGCGCTGACAGGTGCCTCCATTGTCTACGCCTTCTTTGGCTTCCCGGAGACAAGATGGATTCGTTCTCAGCCAACTCAGGACGCTGTCACAATCGAAGTTGCCGACGAGACATTGAACCCAACCCGGACCGCGGACATGGACCCGTACCTTGGCAAGGGGACACCCTCTAAGCAGCAGTGGTACCTTTTCCAGCGCAACTCGTCGCCCCTGAAGACCATCTGGTTCGACCTCTGGACTCCCTGGAAGCTCTTTGGGTTCCCCATTGTGGTATTTGCATCGTTTGTTGTGAGCTGGAGCTGCAGCAACTTCCTCATCCTAAACCTCACGCAGTCTCAAGTCTTCGCAGCACCCCCTTATAACATGAGTTCTCAGTCTATTGGTAAGCCTCCTGACCCCGGCTCGGCATCCCAGCATCGTTATGACAGACTAACTTTTGTAGGCTTTACCAATCTAGCAGTTCTTGTCGGTGCGCTGATTGGACTCGTCACCGCTGGCCCCTTTAGCGATTGGGTCTCCGCCCGCGCGACTGCTCGGAATAACGGCATCCGAGAGCCTGAGATGCGTCTCCCTGCCATGATTCCATTCGTAATCATCATGATATTTGGTAATATCATCACCGCTATTGGATATCAGAATCACTGGTCCTGGCCTATTATCGTAGTCCTCGGCTACGCGAGCGCAGGCATCCAGGTTGCTGCTTTGCCCAGTATCGCCAGCACCTACGCCATCGACTGCTACAAGCCAGTGACTGGTCCTCTCATGGTTGCCATCACGGTGAACAAGAACGTGTGGGGATACGGCATGGGCAAATTCATTACCCCTTGGACAATACAGGCAGGGTCAGTCAAGTCTCTCTCTTTTGGCCGATGCCATATGCTGACGTGAACGTGCAGTTTCATACCGGCTTTCATGACCAACATGGCGTTGACCGTCTTTTTCTGCGCTTGCGGGGCAATCTTCTACTTCTATGGCAAGACGTTCCGCAGGTGGACTAGGAACAGCACCGTCCACAACTTGTAGAAGATGGGGGATTTATGCTTAGATGGTGACCTAAGTTGGGCTCTAGAAACTTGAGTGGTTGACACTCAGTAACATATTGCAATACAACGATCGAATGGTTTTAAGTTGCTAGTTACCCCGTGTCTTCGAAATGACTCTCCGACATGAAGTTTGTAGGGTCCCGTACAGCCAACTAAATAATTATGGAAGCCGTGTAGGTTCAATCACAACCAATCAGGACAATTCCATCCACTGGAGACTGTGAATTATAATTTGCCGTCTTTCACCTGGCCTTTTCAATGGCAGTGAGGCAGATGACATCATTTGCGAAATTGTTCTGCCAGTGATACTATTGCTAGCGAGAATTGAGAGGAATATTCAAAATTACCACTCTGACCAGATCAGATGACCATGTCAGACATTACACGGAGACATCCCACGGCCATTGGCATATACTTGGTTATGATGACCTCGGCCGGAACCAGTTTGTCGGTTCATCGGCTATAACGGCAGCGCTGCTTCGCAGGGGGTGCTATTGCCCGAGGTTGTACAGATCACGGCTGGTCGCGCACGTATTACGAAGCAGTGGTGAATAACATCTTAGCCTACTCTGTCCGACGTTAGCTTGGGACCATTGTCTAATCTTTCCTGGCACCCGTCCTGATTTGAGGAGGGAAAACACAATTCAACAATGAGCTGGAGCATGCTTTGAGAGGGTAACAGTGCTATTAATAGATCATAAGTTATGCCTGGATTCATGCTTGCTCTGAACCTGCGTCACTATCGCCGCTATCGTCCTCTGATCCATCAACTTCATCCTCGTCTTCGTCGATGTCTTTTCCCGAATTAGTGGGCAGTTGGCTTATCAATCCATCAAGAATTGAATCGAGACCCTTCTTGACTTGTGGATTTGGCGTGGCATCGATGCGCTGCTTCAATTCGGCAATCCTTGCTTGAAGTTCTTCCCTGTCCCTTTGAGCAATATCAATATCCTCATCGGATTCATCCACCTCAGCTTCCACGTCTCTGTCAATGCCTTTTCCGAAAGCCTCTTCGAAGGCGTCAGCCATGCCAATATCTTTGATTGCGAAGACAACTTCTTCGATCCCGCTCCATGTCTCTTTGTTCCCTTTCTTTTTCCCTTTTCTGTCGTTTCTCGGTAGCAGTGCTTTCTTCCAAGCCTTGGCTACTTCGGCGACTGGATTTCCGTAGGCACCACATCCCCAAGCACCGAGGACGATCTTCCTGATGCCCTTGAGCTGGCATATCCGAAGCACAATCTTCATCTTTTCCAGGATGAGTTGTCTGTCTTTTTCTTGAACGTAGTGGCTGAAGCCAGTGTCTTCATCTCGCTCAATTTCCGGATTTCGCAACATGGCAGCGCTAATGCAGTCCACGAACCATCGGTCTTTCTTCTCCAACACGTCGTCCGTATCTTCATCTCGGAATACCAGTACATCTGGTGTGTAAACGGCACCGAGCTCCGGCAAACGGTAGTACTCGTCTTTTAGAGATGGCAGCAGCGTAGTCCGCATACATAATGACTCTTCCTGACTACCGGCTCCGTTGACGAAGCCACCGCCGGGCGTCAGAGGTGAAGCCATGTTGAGTATCGCGACCCGTGTCTCTTTATTGCTTACGTTTACCGGGCGATCCGGTTCCGCCTTCTCGGTCACCAACGCGTGAGCAGCTGTGAGAGTGTCGGCTACTTGAAGTCTGATGTGAAGTGCCCCATTGGTCTCCGAAACATCAGGGCCTTCTTTCTTGGGAGTTCGGGTCTCCTTGACCGCTGACTTTGGCTCGACGATCAGCTCAGCTGAATCGATCCCGCGCTGGGCTCGTGGGTGCGTAGGGAGCAGCGATGGAATTAGCTGATTGAGGGTGACCTTGGCCTTTTTGGCTCGCGCGGCTTTCCGAAAGGCCGCTGGTGGCTGCCCAACTGATGGCTGCGTTCGGCCCATTCTTCTTTTTGTATATGAGTCGAACTGGATTTTGAAGGTAGAATTTCATGCCCTTGGTACGAGAGCTGTCGACGGCGTCGTGAAGCCCGCCTTTAGTAGGTAGGAATATCTTGCGGTGGGGCTGAAAGGCACCTTGATGGCCTGGGGGCAGATTGCTGCGATTATCTTAGACTCCCCAAGCACGCGTTGTTCGCATCCTGACTGTTCCTTTAATCCAATGCCTTGACCGGTGAACGACGGGAGTCTCATGATGAGATCGTGAGAGTGGGCAAGTTCACGATGACGATGAGTGACATGTTCGCGCTCGGATTTTCTTCCACTTGCTCTCCCAGGCGGCGCCAGCTGTGAAAGCACGACCTAGGTACTTGGTCCAGCTGACGAACGCCGAGCCAGGATTTGCATGAGATATTAGGTGATTGATAACTTACTTTCAGCTGCGCTGATGAGTCCGGAATTTTGCTTTTGAATTTTAACTCTTCCAATTGGCTTTTAAAGTTTCCGAATTTACAAACTTGTGCAGCTGTTGCAAACTTCTCTTACTCTCTCATCGTGTTCATGGCAGTTTGAGACTGGGCGAAGTCATCGGGACCCACCTAGGAAACGTTCTCGAAATGGAAGTGGCGCTCACTGAACCTCATCAACTCTCATCCAACTTCACTCATCTCATCGCCCAGGCACCATTCGCGGGATTCAGCATCGCTAACGCTCAATTGGTACTTGCGACGGCCGCATTTTCTGTCACCATGGCGTCTCTCAAGCAGCCTCGTCACGTCGCCGAAATTATGCTCTCATGGCTAGGCCTTGAACTTTTCTCCCTCACTGAGCTTCAAACTCTTTGGGCGGGCTACGGCCACATCTGTGCCCTCACTGCAAAACTTGCCGATACCAATGGTGCCGCTAACTTGGATCAAAAGCCGCTACCTATCCGCCCAGAAGAAGATGGAACATATCGCCTCATCATCAAACTCATCTCACCGCCACGCGCCAAGGGAACAGATGAGGGCCACCTGCGCAAGATGTTAAGCTACGAGGTGGAGCAATATTTCTATCAAGAGATCGCACCGCGACTATCAGATGATGTCGCTGTAGCAAAATGCCTCGCTTCCACTCTAGATATGGACAATAAGCCCCGCAAGGAAGAGCTTGAGGGTCTCACCGCCACCATCATCACGGACCTGCGGCCAGATTTTCCTGTGGCTGGTGAAAAGAGATTGGTCCTCAACCACGAGCAAGTCAATGCCGCGCTGGACTGGCTGGCAAAGTATCACAGCAGTTCTTGGGCATCGCTGCCGGATGACCTTGGGCAATTCGTGCTGCCCCCGCTTGAGGAAGCGAAACGAAGGGAGGCCGGTGATGGCGTCACGGAGCCCAAGATGTGGCTGAATGGAGGTTACACGTACCTTGCCACCAGACGAAAGGAATATGGGTCGCTATGCCGAGACGACTATTCCGAATGGTCTTCGGCATTCTGTGACCCCGTCGAGGGTTCATCTTCTTCAATTGCCGAGCTAGTTGCCGACTTCCTCACACCATCTGCCAGGCCGTTTGAGACATACATTCACGGCGACGTCAAGTCCGAAAACCTCTTCACGACCAAATCTGGCGACAAGGTAGCTTTCTTCGACTTCCAGTACGCGGGACTTGGAATTGGCGGCTGCGATCTCGCCAAGCTATTCACCTGTTCGGTCCCCGTTGAGATGCTCACTCAACACGAAGACATACCGGATGAGCTAGCTATGGATAAGGGTGAGAGAACTATTCTGGAGAAGTACCGAAGTACTCTCATGAGCCAAAAGCCGACGGGCAAGGGGCCCGATAATTATGATTGGGAAACGTTCGTGCGACACTGGGAGACTGCTTTGGTGGATTGGTGTCGCTTCCAGGCATCTTGGGGCTTCTGGGGAAATACGGAATGGCTCGAAGCTAGAGTTAGACATATTCTTGCCGACCAGGGCTGGCGAGATTGGCTCAAGAAGGAGGCAACTAGGAACTAGAGCGAGACTCAGATGTTCAATGTTCTTTGAGAGATGATAGATCATAGAGAAGTCAAATGAAAGTCATTATTTCTGTCGGGCGGACACTCGGTGGCAAATTCTCAGCTTGGGATATCTATTGCACTTTTGCGCTAAACGGACAGCCGGGACCGCTCAACTGAGACATGATGAACTGCTCATAGGACTTGTCCAGGGCTCTCATCTCCTCTTTTCGCCTTCGTGTCTCTACCTCTGGCAGAGTCTCCAATCTTTCAAAAAATGGGACTTTGGGGTCGGGCAGCAAGACCTCTGTGACCAGAAACACTGCTCTCACGATGAAGATGACTATGGCTGCAAGTAAGGGGTTGGCCGGCTCGATGCGAAACGCGCTCAGCGTCGTCGGCAGAGAAAGCGTCCGGGGAAACGCCATGCCAAACCATCGCAGGCCTGGGGGGAAATAACGATAGGCAAAGAGATTGAAGATGGATAAACCGATGTATCGAGCTTTCTCATTGTACTCTCGAGGTGTGTTCTCATACGCCTCGCAGAATGCTATACACCCATCGAAATCTGCTGGGTAGTCCTTCACATTTCCTTTGCCTTCGACTTCGAAAAGAGGGCCCATGTCACGCCAGAAGTGGTGAGCAGCAATCTGCTGCTTTTCCGTAAAACCTGATAAACCAAGCCGTATCCTCAGGCGATGCATCAACACGGCGCTGAAGGTGAGGGTGTAGAGGTAGTCCTCATTGTGGGAAAATCTTCCAGGATACTGTCGGGCGAGGCCGGCGTGTAGCTGGTTGATTCTCTCAACGGCATCTCGGCAACGTTGATCGCTGGGACCATAGTACCACCACGCCATGTTGTAGTGCTCCGTCTTCTCGACTCTGTCGACGGCTTTATGGACGACTTTGCCGCCGTCAGAGCGCCATACCACTTCTGCTCCATGCAGGGGAATGACAAAGTTGGGGAAGGTAAGGGTGTAAATCAAGTTGTTGGCGAAGTCAGAAAGCTGGTAGCTTGATGTCAGACGCCATATAGTCTCATAGTCTGTTTCGGGATCCAAAGTGTCGATTGCTTTCGAGATCCAATGGTAACTGTCTTGGGAGATTTGAGAGTTCGAGGGGTTCATGATGCAGACGTTGTATTTAGATGATTTGGATCTCGGGTGTATGGCAGAAGCATTCAATGTCTCTTCTGCCATCGGTATCAGAAGTGGTCTTCATTCTATCTTATAACACGAGACAGAGGCAACGATGATCGCTTTCGGGGACTTAGGAGATAGGCGTGCTCCTCTCCTGAGAGATCGACTCGACTATCCTTAGCGACGGCATTGTTGCTCGTCCCGACCTCCACACGCGCTGCACCCCACAATATCCGCGGGAGCTTACTCGTGGCAAGGCTTGCATGGGACTTCGGATATAATTTAAAAGTCGCTTGAGTTAGAAATATGGTTGTATGCATTCGTCGCTTAAGTACAGGGCTCTTCGGAATTCCGACGAACCCGATTAGTCAGGCAACCACCACCGAAGGAACGAACCGTTCGGATGATTCTCCGACTTACCCCCTTAGTTCTTCTTACTATTGAATATCAGATCTGTCTCTAGTGAATAGATTCGTAGCCTAGAGCCATTGTTTTCGGGTTGACAAAATGCCCGTGATTCCCGACATACCCTGTAGGCATCCCTCCCAGAGGTACTAATATCTTAGCTCGAGGTAGGACATTTAGGCTGTGGGTACATTAGCCTACGATGTCTTAGTAATCCTTTTGCCGTCCGAGAAGGAAAAGCCACTCGTAATTGCTTGAACTATGGATGAGCATCTTGACCATGGAAATTGGAACTCGTCATCCTGACATCCATGATTCATGATTCATCCCGCATAAATCTAGGAACCTTGCCTAGGATTCATTCGACTTTGCGCGGATGTTATTCATTGGCAAGAGGTTAAAAGCAAATAAGTATATTGAAAGCCTTTGAAAGCTATCTAGCAGAGTAAAACCCTGATCGCGAATCGAACCCTTCTTGTTGCCTCGAACTCATACAGCACCTCTGTTCCTCCATTATGTCTCTCAGCAGACTAGTCCCGTTGTTCCAGATAGCTGACCAACCATCAAACTGAATAGGGAGATCTTCGGACTCTTTTTTTACAAAAGGCCAGAGATGGGGATGCAAGGAAGCTGAACAGCAACGAGACCGGAAGCCTAAGGTAATAAAAGTTAGCGAAACATCTGTACAATGTCACATTTTACTCGGCAGCACTTACGGTGTTGCCATCGGACTTGCAGCAGGCAACGTTCTGCTTGCACTTGCTGTTCAAGAGGTCGTTGGCAACTACTAATTGTTAGCGTTCGACAGAGACACTTGGTATCGGAGAATCTCACTTCCAGCTCCAATGGAGGAGCATCCATCAAGAAGCTTCAAGCCGCCGTTACCGAGGACACCACCCAAGATGCCGGAGAGGATTCCGGATCCCGAGTTGTCGTTGACATTGGTGTCGGCGCTGGCCTGGTTGCAGCAGCTGACGCTGAGGTTCTCGCCGCAGACGTTCTGGGCTTCACCGTAGGTGAGGGTGTCGAGGGTTCTCTTGACCGGAGCAGTGGTGCCGGGAGCGGCGGTGACGGTGAGGGCCATGGCAATGGCAGTAATAGCGGCGGTAGAGAACTGCATTTTGAGAAGATTGAGGTAGACTTGAAGGTCGGGATTTGGAAGTGGCAGATGATGCTGATTAAGAGGGATGAGGATTGCTGAAGAGTGAAGAGAAGATGAATAGATGAGATGAGTTTGCTGAGTGTGATGATGAAGGGAATAGAAGCCTTGACAGGAGGGACAAGCAATGCTCTTTATACATTTCGATCCTACATTTAGAAGACTTGTTCAAGAGATGCTATCCCCACACATGAGCATTCGAAGGACTCAGAGATCGTCAACACAGTAATTCCTTCACTAGTCTTTCTCAGACTCAAGGAATGAGGGCACCCAAGTCATCCCCTGCATTGGCAGTATTCCTTACCGTCTCAAGATGACTTGAACGACGGAGTTGTCTATGATCTACATTGATCCATAGCAGTCGCTCTAGTCATTCTGATTATTCAATTCAAGCATCATTCCGAGTGTTGAAGCGCACTCCACACAGCAACAATGTTGCGTCCCTTACCTTCATTCCACGTGCTGGCGCTTACTGCCGAGTGCCGCCATCATATCGAAGACCGCAAGGGATAGTAAGAGTATACCAGTATTCTATTCGACTAATATCGCATTCATGCCTTAGTACCCTTGCAAATAGGATTCCCATCTATTGCGGCTTCTAGGAGCATGTCAGAGCGCAGGGATCGAAGGAAGAGTGAACTTCTCCTTCTCATTCCAACCAGACCTATCCATCTTTGCGCGACTTTAGAAAGAGATCTACATGCAGCCGCGAAGGCTCCATTTTCAGTGCATCTCCGTATCGAACCGCAAGGGGCCGGCAGTCGGGAAGATCT